TGACCTATCTGTAGGGAAGGAACCAGGGGAAGCCTCGAAATGATATTCAATTTGGTTAAGGAACCCTCTGAATTCTTTAGAATCACCTCCAAAACGAGGGGGAGGTGAAAGGGTTATGGATGGAGGTTTATATCCTACAGGTGCAGGTATAGGTGGCGGAACTACAGGTGGTTCTCTGGAGCAAGGTCTGTAACGCTTGGGCAAACTGATCTAACCTGTGGTCCATATCCTCCACCCTGTTCTCACAGGCTATCATATGTTTACATAGTTCCGCAGGATCCATGGCCCTGTCGTAATATCACGGCTGCTATGTAAACATATACATACAAAAGGAAAGGGAAAAAAAAGGACAGAGCGTAAACCGGGCCTTAGAATGGCCGGACTAATACGCTAGAGATAGAGAATGGTCAAAGGGAAAGCCGAGGTCAAGGAAGCCAGAAATACTCAGATACCGTTTAAACAAGCCAAGTCAGGGGAACCATAATTCGGACTAACCAAGGAAAAGCCAAGATCAGGATACCAGGAAGTAATATTCACAAAGATAAACGCACTCTAGGGAACCAGGAACAGGAAACCACGACAGGGAAAGGTACTGTGGTGAATTATCGATTTAAATATCCCTCTCTAGGCTCTGATTGGTCAGAGGGTGACCTCTGTCCCCAGAATGTGCTCGTGCGTTGATGTCGTGACGTCACGCGCACGTTCGTATAATTTTGGGGGGTGGAGCCATGGATGGACGCGACCTCATGGTCGGCGCCATCTTGGATTTCCCTGAGCAGCGTGGAGGAACGGTTTCCGGCTCGCCGTTGAGCAGGTAAGCTCAGTGAGTTGGTGCGGTCGTGCCGGTCGGGCACGGACACACATGGCGGCGAGCCGGAGGCCGTAACAATGAGGCAATTATACCAAATCAATTACTTACATTGACCTTAAAACCCAAGGGAAAGACTGGCAATCCAATGATTAAAATTAACATGTTGAACAATTAATGGATTTTACTTATGGGAAGGATTTTCTATGTAGTCTTTAAGTCTGCTTAAAAACAAGAGCAATGTCAAAATCGAGAATTTGATCCACTGTGACACACTGTGTTTGACAATAATAAACGCAATGCTCACATATGCACAGTTAATAGTCTGGTTATATGTTAATTAAAAAATCCAAAATCTCTAGTGGGATTAATACTTTTAAGGATAATGTTTGACAGCCATGAATCGGGTGCCTGTATATTACCCATAACGAGAGACAAATGAATCTGCTTTGATTACACCGTTTGTGACAATGCAAGCACTTTTCCTCTGGAGCCTTCAATTTACTTATTGCCAAGCAGAAGAATGGATATATTTGTGAAAACATGTTTGCTATCACCATTTTCCCTGAATCATCATTACATGTGCTCAGTTTATTTACTTTCACACTTTTATTATCCAGACATATTTATAATATAATCACAGACTTTGCCTGAATATATTCCCATCCTCTCTTTCTTAAATGCCTTTGTTTTTTGTAAAGCACAATTAAAGGGACACTATAGTCAGACTAAAACCAAATTGCTAATGCCAATAAACACGAATCCCACAAATAGCCGGTTGTTATTACAAACAGTGCAAACCCACTGTTACGAACGCTGGTAGTTATAGTACCTTGTTCGTCTATTCCTCCCGAACTGCTGAGCCTTAGTGATTATAGTTGCAGTTTGGGTGTAGATATGAATAGTTCTGGACAAATGCAGCTTCCAAGTAGTTTCTCCCCAGCCAGTAGATAGTTACCCAAACATGAGCCTAGACTTAATGAAGGGTACAACAGGAATGAAGGTTTATTGATGCCACACTGGCTTTTATGCAAGTCCCCATGCAAGGGGACCTCCCACCTGGACCTTGTTGGGCACCAGGACACAAAGATTACAACCATTTTACAGTGACAAAGTGAAACACTCCATCATTACCATCATTTTACAGTGACAAAGTGAAACACTCCAATTGCAAACAGACAATCCCCTCTTCTTTGCCTGTGAGATAATTAAGTTAACTAACGGATAACCCAATTATCTCCAGGCAGAAAAACATATTTTCCCCAAAACTTAGAAAGCACCCTAAAACACATGGTATCCCCATAAATGACATATCCCCTGATAGCCCTGATCTGGGTGACCAACATATTCAAAAATCACCCAGATCGGGGGCGGAACTTGCGGTTGGACGGAGCGGTCACATGTAGCAGCAGCTCCGCGATCGGTACAGCCTAAAAGGCGGCAAAAACGCGGCAAAAGAGCCCAAAACATCCCTACCAAGGTGCCCAACAGCAGGGGAACCTCCTACCCACGAGATGGCACCCCCAAAGTCCCAAAGGGCATCGGATTTCTTCCGGCAGGGTAAGGGAGGGAAGCAGCGCATGGAACAAGATGGCGGCGGTTCCCGCTCACCCACTCACACCTCAGACGCAGGGTCAGATACAGATTCGAGGCAAGTAACCACTGATGATCTCTGTGTCGGAAAAACGCCTGGCGGCCATGCTGCAGGACTTACGCATCTCTATGAAGACTGACTTCCAAGCTGCGGTCTCTGACATGCGCAAAGACATCCATGAAGTGGGGACACGGGTGAATGCGCTAGAAGAAAAAACTGATGAGCTTTGCCACATGAATGACACCATAGTGGAGAAAATACAAAGGATGGAAGCTGATAACAAACGCCTTATGGAAAAACTGGCAGATCTGGAAGACCGCTCACGCCGCAATAATATCCGCGTGCGTGGGGTACCAGAAACAGTGACACAAGAAGAGCTGCCGACCTACCTACTGCGACTCTTCCAAGCGATCCAACCAAGCCTAGAGCTGGCAGATCTCAGCCTGGATCAGGCACACCGAGTGCCAAAACCTCAAAACCTTGCACAGGAAGTACCAAGAGACATTGTGACCAGATTGCACTACTACAGTGCTAAGGAAGCCATACTCATGGCGCAAAGGAAGGCCTCAGCGATGCCGCCAACCTATGAATGTATCTCCCTCTTCGCCGACCTCTCGCCGACGACAATGGCCAGGAGAAGGGACTTCATTAACATTACGAAATGTCTCAGAAACAACAAAATACCGTACAGGTGGGGATTTCCTACAAAACTCCTTATCTGGCAGAATGGCTCCCTAATAAAGATTGAAGATCCGGTGCTGGGAATGGACAAGCTCAAGACCTGGGGCTTGTTCCCAGACAGCAGAGAATCAAACGCCCAAGCCTCCCTAAAGAAGGTGACCGCGGATTGGTCCAAGGCCTAAAGGGTGCTACCGTCACACAGAAGGGGGTGCCGGCTACAGCCTGACTCAGCCACTCTGTTAAAGTTCCATGAGACTCCCCATGGTGACCATCCCAATCTGGGAATGGCATAGCATGAAGGACATTCAGCACCCACGTGAGTACTCTTACTTGTCCTCACCCAGCCCCCCCCCCAACCCAGCACAAAAGAAAAAATGACTCTGCCACACCACGGCGCAACTTGGCCCACCCTGTCACTGCGAGACTTACCCCTAAGCAGTCAGACTCGCTGCTCAGAAACCTTGCAGAGACTGTTTACTAAAATCTGAACCCAGCAAGGCCGGTCAAAAAAGCTGAAAAACTGCAGGGCACAGAGGTTGTACTCACCCTCCCCACCACCACCATCAAGCTACATGGGAGAGGAAATCGCCCGACCCACTCATGGACTTATGCAAAAAACGGCTCAATCAAGCCTCCATATCCCACCCCCCCGCCGCCTACCTCTTAGAGGGAGCCGGGCTCTAAAAGAAGTACAGGCCTCACCAAATATCGGACGCCCCCCCGACGCGCTTATGGGACACCGCCCGCCGCTGTGACCCCCTCTCAGTGCAGTAGAGGGTGCGAGCTCGGCAGCGGGGTCCCCCACATAATGCTTAATAGCTGTTTGAAATGTATATACTTTATTTCTGTTTTATGGTTTTGTTGCCTAGGTTATGATTCAGGTTGTTCCCCCGTCCTAACCCCCTACCCGAGATGCTCCCTTTTCACTACTGGGTAAGACGAGGGGAAAAAATAGCCTCATCCTACTACCTCTGTCATGAAGTGGCAGTAGGTAATACTACACCCAAACGACCAGGCCCTAGGGGCACCCCAACTAGTTAAAATGACCTCCGCCAATAAATTCCGCCTGGTGTCTCTGAATGCCCATGGGCTGAACTCCCCACAAAAACGCAGGCTGGCGTTCTCCCAATTACGCACCCTACACGCTTCTGTAGCATGCATACGGGAAACCCACTTCTCAATTAAAAATCCACCAAAATTCTCGTCCACATCTTATCCACAAGCCTACCATGCCACGGCACCGAATAAGACACGAGGTGTCAGCATTCTCTTCCACTCTGATTGGCAATTTAAATGTGAAGTAGAATACAAAAGCCCCGATGGCCGGCTTTTAATACTAGTAGGATCACTAAATGACGTCCAGGTGACGGTAGTCAACCTATATGCCCCCAACACCAACCAATATGACTTCATTAGGAAAGCTTTACAACAAGTAGACAACAAGTAGACAAGAAGAAGGGGGGGCAGACGCTTGTATGTTGGGACTTTAATTGCGTACTGGACCCTGATCTAGATAGGACCGGCAAACCCTGCTCCCACTTGCGATCCACACAACTAGGGACAAAAATAACAGCGCTCCTCAACTCACATGGCCTACACGATACATGGCGTTCACTATACCCAGCATCTAAAGACTACACGTTCTATTCCAAGGTACATGATCGATACTCCCGGATAGACATGTGCTTAGTGGATGGAAAAACGCTAGATACCCTAGAGGAGGTCTCCATTGCCCCATTAACTTGGTCAGACCATGCCCCCCTCACATCAGTCTTTACCACGCTCCACCCGGTCCGGGGTCGGGGACAGTGGAGACTAAATTAATCACTTATAGACAATGTGGATAGGGCGGCTGAGATAAGGAGCGCCTTGGCGCACTACTTTGTAGATAACCATTACACCGACACGAACGTCGCTATGACATGGCTTGCCCATAAGGCGGCCACGCGCGGTCTGCTAATACGACAAGGGGCAAAACTGAAGCGCCAACTGACAGAAAAGAGCAGGACCTTGCTGACTGACTTAAAACAGGCAGAAACACGACACAAGACTTCCCCCACACACTCCAACAGGCAGGAGGTACAAAAGATAAGGGCCACCATAGAAGCACTACAGATGCAGCAAGTAGAACGGGCAATTCGTAAAATGAAAACCAACTACTATAGACAGGGAAACAGAGCGGGCAAAAGATTAGCCTCCCAACTCAAGGAACGCAACTCACAGGTAAAGATCCCATATATCAAGGACGACACGGGCACCAAGATTAGAAACCCCAGAGCAATAGTAGACAAATTTGCCCTATTTTACGCAGGGCTATATAACATATCTGAGGACACCACCCAACACCAACCCAGCCCCCAAGACATTACTACCTTCCTAGAGGGGGTGACTCTCCCTCGGCTCTCCAATGAACAGGCCACTGCACTGACCAACCCGATTGTAGCATCTGAGGTATCAAAGGCTCTACACGACACACCCAGACGGCTTCTCAACCCACTACTACAGGGTTTTTGAGGACCAGCTACTTCCCCACCTCACGGCCTTATTCAACCATATCCTAGAGTCAGGTGAGATACCCCCGGAAATGTTGGAAGCCACCATTATTACGCAAAACTACCGATACATGCGCAAACTACCGCCCAATCTCACTCCTCAACGCTGACACAAAGTTGTTTGCCAAGACCCTTGCGAACAGAATATGCCCTATACTAGCTCAATTAGTATCCCTAGAACAATCAGGGTTTGTCCCGGGGGGACAAGTGGAAGATAACACCAGACGAGCCCTTGACGTAATGGAACTTATGAATAGAGATCGGTCACAGGGCTTGATAATGGCCTTAGACGCAGGGAAGGCCTTTGACAGACTCCACTGGGGTTATATGACAGAGGTCCTTCGTAGGTTCAACTTCCCGATGAAATTCCTGACCGGGCTCCTATCCCTTTACTCGTCCCCCCAAGCCACAGTCATGAACTCCGGTTTCATCTCCAGAAGATTCGCCCTAACGAACGGCACAAGGCAGGGATGCCCCCTATCCCCCCTCATTTTTATCCTGGCACCGGAGCCCCGCTTCATAAAATCAGGATTAACCCCAGCATTATAGGCGCCCCCTCCCCGATAGGCCCACAAAAAATGGCAGTGTTTGCTGACGACATCCTTCTCTTCCTAGCAAACCCTTCGGACTCCCTACCGGCCCTCCTGGACCTACTACAGGAATACGGCCAGGTCTCTTACTACAAAAACAATGTGGCAAAAACACAGGTACTCCCACTGAACATGCCCCGATCCCAACTCACGACCCTACGAACGTTATATCCCTTTGAATGGAGGAAGGATACCATTTCCTATCTAGCACCCTCCAAACTAGCACCCTCCAAACAGCTCCTCATAAAACATAACCACGGGCATCTCACAACAAAAATAGAGCAGGTGCTGGAGGGCTGCAGAAACAAAAACAAACACACATCCTGGTTGGGGCGCTTCAACGCTATAAAAATGATCATTCTACTGCAAGTATTATTTCTATTCAGGGCCCTGCCTATCAGTTTACCAAACTACACCCTCCGAGAATTTCAGAGACTTCTCAAAGCACACATATGGAGGAAAAAACCACCCATGATCTCACTAGCAAACATCAGCACAGCCATGGGGGGAGGCGGGGTGGGTGTGCCACACATAACCAAATATTATCTAGCAACAAACATATCTCAGACGGCCTCCTCTCCTCCTCTAACTGCCCACTGTGGCATCGACTGGAAAGTGCGGTCTGTGCACCCTACTCCCTCAGGGACCTGGTTTGGATCCCAGCCAAGGCCCAACCTCGACTCACAAACCCTCTCACGACAACCAAGCTGTCCCTGCAGCTATGGCTGAGATGGGCCCCAAAAATGCTCAGTGCAAAGGTAGAAACCTTTGCCCCACTGATGAGTCTCCAGCACCACACACATGACCTGGCCCTGGGCGAGTGGGTGGACAGAGGGGTAACGCAGATAGCACACCTCTATGGAGCAAACGGGCTGCTAGCATTCCCGGACCTCCAGAGCCAATACCATCTACCAAACAGCGAAATATTCACGTATTTACGCATAAAACATATAGTATGGGCTGCTGGTAAGGAAATGACACCAGCACAACCCCAAAACCACTTTGACTTGCTATGCCAAGGTCTAAAACACCCCCAAAAAACACTCTTCCTGTGTTACCATAGGTTGCTAGACATAGACAGACCGGCCAAACAATCATACATGCTCAAATGGGAAAGAGAGTTGAACTGCGAACTCGAGCATGGGAAGTGGATAGGGGCCATGACATTGGTTAAGCGGGCGACAAAGTGCTTAGACCATGTAGAAGCAGCCTACAAGATGTGGATGCAGTGGTGCTACACACAACATAGGCTGGCCCAAATATACCCAGGGGTGCAGGATAGATGCTGGTGCTGCAGCCAACAAGTGGGAAATACGAGCCACATATTCTGGTACTGCCCGGCACTTGGCCAATAGTGGCAACAAATCCAAGACATAATTAAATCCAAACTAGGAAAACAATTACCACTCAAACCTGAACACTATCTGCTCCACATGCTGCCCTGAGACCTTACAGCCTATGAAGCAGCGCTGATTACCCACATCACTTTAGCAGCTAAAACGTGCATAGCTGCCCTGTGGAAAACTACGACAGTACCTGACATAAAAGCAGTACTCGCCAAAGTAAGCCTCACCCAACAGTACGAGCAGATGGCACATACAATAGGTGGCAAACTAGAACACTACAACAGAACATGGTCTAAGTGGTGATGCCTGGGTGGATACCAAGAAGTCAAATTACACCCCACCAAGCCTTAAAGCAAGAGAGCATCTCACCCCTCCCCCATATTACACCCTTATCCCAGTTAACCCCCCCACAAAATAAGGGCTTACGTTGCTTTACCGAGCCTTAAAATATGAGATGATGAGCAGGGAAATCAGTTTCCAGCCCACAAGACACAAAACCAAATAAATAAATAAAACGCAAAGGTGATACATACCCAACTGTTAACCATCTGGCCCACCCCAAAGGAGAGCGGAGGATATAGGTGGGGGGCTACCCCCCAGGTGCCCGGGGGACACCACTTAGCACACGCCAGAGAGCGTGCCCAGCCTACTGGGTACCAAAAACAGGGCATTACTCACCACTTATAACAAAAGCATGAATGTCGACTGAAACGAAACACTGTACCATTGCCACAAGGATGTATTGTAAAATGCCGTTGAAAAATGTTATCACTATACACTCTCTGTATATGCAATAAGTGTGAAATGTAAAATGTATGTTAAAGTGTCAATCCGAAACCTTTTCATCTCAATAAAAATGAAACATTTAAAAATCACCCAGATCAGTTCAGGGGTTTTCGAATTGTATAGAAGTCTCATTTTACCAACCGCACACAAGGCTCTGCCCAAAACAGTTCCATGAGCTTAGGTTGTGCAGTCGGTCTAGTTCAAAAAAGTCATATAAACTAAATAAAACACGAACGGAGCCCCCTGGCTCATAGGAGCGATTGTTCACCTTGTTCGTGGGCAGTAAACTACCGTACGGTGCTCTCCTAGTTGTTCGTGAAAAGGAAGCAGGCGTTCGTTTGTATTTACCGGTGTTCGACGACCAAGTCCCGCTGCCTCCTTTTGTGCAAACAAGATGGCCCCGTTTTCATTTCCACGTGGTGTTCGGCTACCACCCAGAGAGATAATGAGACAGGGGGGTGGTCAGTGTTCGGTAGTTTTATCTACCGAACTAATACAGCCTAAAAAGTCACAAATGGCCTTAAAACTCTGAAATGAAAAGTCCCTTTTCTTCACACCCACCATACAAAAACATGAAAAAAAATCAAACCAGCACATCCGTGAACATAAAACTACAAAATAAATAGAGTGCATACAACACAATACCTACCGCACCCTGGAATCCCTATATGAGAGAAAAAGTCAGCAGGGAGGGACAAAACAAGTTAAACGAACTCAGAAGGGGTGGGACAATACTTGCCTCCGTGTCTTTCATAAAATCTTGACTTTTCGTCATGAAATAGCAAAATCATGTAATTTTATGTCAAGACACGCAGGCTCATATTGTAAGTTTAAAGCTGACCAACAACCGCCGAAATAGCGTGAGGGACGAAACGTGGATTCACACAACCAGTTCGCCATCCTCATCAAACCTTCCAGACGCGCCCCTGAAGCCACCATAGACGTGGCTCATGCCCCCCAGGAAGACTGGGCGCCAAAAACTGACCTGTCCACACCAGCCTGTGACATCCCCCACTTCACCCAGCGAGCCAAGGTAGTACTTGAAACAGGAGACAACGGTTGTCGAATCGAGAAAAATAGTTGCGGAGACGATACAGAACGATGCCCAGTGGTCCGAAGCTCTTTTCGCGCAAACAAGCAACAGGACACAACACCGGAGAAGCAGGAAAATGGAGATGTTAAAGGTCACCTTGTCTGGAGTGAAGGACTGTGCATTGTAGTCCAGGGCACGAACATCCGAAACCCGTTTGCATGAAATGAGGCAAAAGATAGGTCCGTGTTAGGAGGCCAGGAACTGAAAAGAGACAGCACACAGGAGACATCCCAAGTGGAGGAGTAACAAGGCCTAGGAGGGCACGACAGTCGCGACCCCCAAAGCAATCGGCACACTAAGAGGTGTTGGCCCGCGGGACAACCGTCAAAACCATCATGAGCCGAAGAAATAGCTGACCTGTACAAATCAATCATGCGATACGCACGGCCAGCCTCAAACAAAGATGTAAGGAATTGAAGGATTGCAGTCACAGGTGCCGAAACGGGATCCATGTAACTAGTCAGGCACCAGCCAGCCTAAGCTCGTCATGCGGTGCCATATGACCGCCTAGTACCGAGAGCCCATGCATCCGTCAGGAAACTTCTAGTTACATCTGAAACCCCTTGGACATCCCAGGGACCCTGGAAATTTGCCATGCAAGCAACAGGAGGGATCCATTCAGCAGAAGTGGATGCTGTAGGCCTATCAGAACCAGAAGAAGGTCCGGCTAAGGCAGCAACAACCTGGGTAAATGCACTGCCAGCTCTAGCAGCTGTGGGAACCAGGACTGGGTCCCCCAAAACGGGGCCAGCAGGATCAATTTGGTCTGTTGGCGGTGAACAAGGAGTAGAACTTAAGGGATCATGGCAAATGGGGGGAAGGCATATTAGAGTGAGCCGTTCCAGTCTTGCAGGAAAGCATCCACCACAGCCGGGTCCAGCTATAGAACCGCGACAATGGGATGTTGAGACGTGAGACAAAAGGACCCCAGAGAGACGAGATAGCGGGGAACACCCCCACGTCCAATCTCCAGTCGCTGCTGTCTGAAAGATAGCGTGAACTCCATTCCGCGTGAATGTTGTGGAGTCCCGGGAGGTACTCTGCCTGGAGCATCAAATCCTTGGCCAAGCAATACATCCAAAAGTCCCTCGCCAGGCAAACCAGAACTGCCGACTGTGTGCTGCCCATGTGATTGACATAATGGACTGCCGAGACGTTGTCCATGCGCAGCTGGATGCATGAACTGGTAGACCTGTTCGCGAAACTCCGAATCACAGAGGAACAGGCTAGGAGCTCCAGAGTGTTGATGTGGAGTTGGGCTTCGTCCTCCGACTAACGTCCCACTGTAGTCACACAGTTGCAATGGGCACCCCAGCTGTGAAGACTTGCGTCCGAGTCCACTGTGAACTCTGGTAGGGAACCAAAGATGGCCTTGCCATTCCAAGCAGTGAGGTTGTGGATCAACCAAGTAAATTCGTCTCGCGTCTCGTTGTCCACAGAGATCATGTCCGCGTAGGAGGCGCCGTTGCGGAAGTGTGCGATCTTCAGTCGGTGGAGGGCCAAGTGTCGTCCTTCCAAAGGAAAGGCAATAAGTCTCTTGACGTCTCGGCCACTAAGACCATCAAGTACGCATCCTTCAGATCCAGTTTCACCATCCAGTCGTTGCGAAGGAGTAGATCTTGCAGAAGGTGGATGCCCTCCATCTTGAAGTGGCCGTAGCGCACCAAGGCATTGAGGGGATGATGATTGATAACGGGGCACATCTGCCCGCCTTTCTTTTCCACCAAGAAAATGTTGCTAAGGAACCTGGCAGGGGACATGGGTGCTAGTTCAATCATCCCTTTCTTGTGGAGGGCCGATAATTCTGTGTCTATTAACTTGCAATCTCGTAGGGAGAATGAGATCGGGCGACATGGAGGGATGTGGCAACTCTATGTGGACCCAAGCATCAGAGGTAATGGCTGACCAGACTGGGAAAAAATGACAGAGTCTTACCCTACACAAACCTGAGAAGAAACACGAGGTAGATGTAAACTTACCGTAAGGGCATCTGGAACCGGAGTTCCCTCTGAAGCCTCTGGACCGCCATGGTCTTCGACATGAAGGGAAGACCTCTCGCCTCCTGATAGTGGGGTCACTGGGTATAGGAGCCTCGTCCTGAGCCACGGGAGTTGTACTAGTTACGGTCGGACAGACGACCCCTGAATTTGCCGACCCTGGTAGAGACCCGCCCCTGAAATACCCTCTTCGTGAATGTTTGGGCTTTATCAAGGGAGGTAAACGGCCAACAAAACGCCCCAAGTCTTCTATAAGGAGTCTCCAAACAAGAGGTCTTGGGTATCCTTCCTCCCCTCGGTGAGGGCGAGATATGCCAATTTTGGCTCTATTTTAAAGAGAATGGCTTTTCACCGTTCAATAGACAGGGAGGTGTTTACACTGCCCGCAATGCAGATAGCCCTCTGCACCCAGCCACGTAGTTCTTCTGGGTCATCCTGTCTGTTCTCAGCTCTGGCGTCTTCTGCCAAGTCAAAGAGCTTAGCCAAGGGAACAAAAACACCTCTAAATGCTTATCTTGGCATGACGTAAGTGCATTTTAGGGTCAACAAACAGTTTTTATTGGGCACCAAAGGCCATGGGCACTCAGCCCTGAGCTTACTCTGGGCCACCTTGCTGAGTGGGTGGCTTACCCAGTTCTCCAGGTAATGTGCCACATGGTCCTCTGGGAGCCACTCAGCTGTCCTCGAGTGATGGAGATCATCCGGGTCGAACATAGGCTCTCCAGACGGATCCAGGAGAGTAAAGCCCGCTGTAGTGGGGGTAGTCACTTCGAAAACCACTCTCTGCCACCCCCGACTGAGTGGAGGTCAAAAGGTCAAGGCCCTGCCAAAAGGATTCATCATCAGAAGAACTCAGCACCAGCCTCCTCACTAAACTCTAGCACATTTGCCGCACCTCGGAAAGGCTATTTTGCATGATATCATGGGTGACCTCAGGTTCACGAGTCATAGGGGTTCTGGAGGCAGAGGGAGTTAGGTGCCTGGATTTGGCAGTAGCCTTCTTGGGTGTCCCCTGAAGGGTCGGATCAAGAACGCGGCTGGCGCCAGAGTAATGTCTGGGAGATTGTTTGAAAAAGGGCAGAGGGCATAGAGCCCATAGTTGCCATAATGGCGTCAGTGACTGAGCGTTGCAGTGCCAGGGACTGAGCCTCATCAGTGTGAGACATACGGCCAACTACTGATGGAGGGGATCTAGAAACTGAAGAGGGGTTCCCCAGGCCTTCAGTCATATCCATCTTATCAGGGGAAGGAGGGCAGGCAGGCACCTTAGGCTTGGGCATATTGCAAAGTGAGCCCCACAAAGAAACAGCACAATACAAGACCCTTTTACAAAAAAACTACAGCTACAGACAAAATAATAATACAGGCTAGTAAGGGTTAATCACCCAAACTAGCTACACCAAAGAAGGAGAGAGAGGGGAGCTCACCAGGGCCCAGACCAGCAGACAGCGTAGACACGAAGCAAAGACAGAGCCAGAAGGACGGGTAAAATCTGAAAATGGCCACCGCCAGTCTCACGAGACTCGCAGCAATAAAAATTCCACAAACGCGTCCAATTCGTGAACCAAAACTCGTGAATGGGACGAATTTATTGAACAAACTAATGAACGGCCATTTGCTACAAAAACTGCCGAACAAGAAACCATTCGCGGAAAAACTATTCGAACGAGATAGTTTGCAGCAAAATTGTCGATCAATACAATTTCCCCCAAACTCCCGAATGGCACGAATTTGAGGCAAAATTTAGGCTAAAGGCCCAAGTCTGTCGTGAAACAGCCGAACTGAAGATGCGAAAAACGGGCGCAAAACGTCGTCAAACAGCCAGGAAAAAGGGGGAGACCCAAAAAAGACAAGAGAAAACAAAGGAATATAAGAAAAATAAAGGAGACAAAGGGAGGCAAACGCCAAGGGACTCCAAAAAGGAACAAGGCAAAGTCAAAAGAGAAAGGAGAAACACATGCAAGAAAACCCCAGAGCTCAAAGGTAAATAACATAAACCAAAAACTATATAAAGTAGTATAATAAAGTAGAATAACAAGAGAGAATCAACTATGAAAATTAACCAAAGCATATAAAAGGCAATTAAAGGCAGATAATGCTAAGAGTAAAAATTCGGGTACTTATCTTGACTGTGTAGCAGCAAAGAAAGAGGAAGCTTTAGACTTGGATGGGGATTGGCTGGTGTCTATATATGTATATGTTCTATTTTTTCTATTTGTGTACTTTGCTGCTATTGGGGGACAGTAAAGAAAGGGTTAAGCAATATGAGCCTCCGTGTCTTGACATAAAATTTGTAGTTTGTGAAGTGCAGTAATACAGAAGCAAACATAGCGTATTACAGTTAAAAAGATAAGTTATTTTTAAAGAATGCTCACTGCTCATAATATATGCATAAAAGAACTGTTAATGTAAATTAATTTTGCATTTTGTAAACCACACTTCTACAGTTGTCTGCCAGCTAGGGGCAATCTGGTCCCTCTAAATGTTGCTGTAGTTCCCTCTCAGTATTTTGGAATGATAAACCATCCCTGCTTCTTATTCAGACCTCAGACTTGTAGAAAATACACCCCCACTTCAAGTGCCAAGAATACACTCCAGTGTGTTAGAATAAAACACATACACAATCGGAGGGTGGTGACAGACCGACATGATGAATGGTCGCATGAACGAGCAGCTCCTGCAGCTTTCAGTCTTAGTCTCTAAATAAAACAAAAATGTACATACCCTACCCCTAAGAGCTGCAGTCCATTGTGCACAGAGATGCTGGTACTGATCCTAAGCTTACAACTCAAATTTGGAAGGGAATTTAATGCCTTCATAGCTGAGCCCTACTCAGGAAGTAAGTGTGGTGCATGGCTGCTGCTCTGCTATCCTGCCCAATAATAACTAGCCGAACCCTTGTCTCTATGTACGCATGGTCTCCTTCCCCCCGCTTTGGACCAGGGTGGTGTTCTCAGTCCTTGTCCTGGAGGATAAAATATATAATATGGTGAGAGCAATATACACCAAGTGTAAACAAGATAAAAGCATGCAATGTTACCCTTTATCTTGAATTTTCACATAAATGTTCTAAAAATATAAAATGCATAACATAGTATAGCCTGTATGTAAAGGACAAATAAAATAAGATATAAAATAGCCCACTCACGTGGTGCTGAGCCTAAAAGAGTGGCTCAGACTACAAGCGCCTTTTGAAATATACTGGAGACCCAAGTGCTGACAAACAGGTTGAAATGGTTCCTTCAGAAGTTTCTCCTTGATAAATGCCAGGTAGAGAAATACTGGAACAAATTAACCTTTATTTTGCATAAAATTGCATTAAAAAAAGCATATAATGGAATCTCCAAATATATTGCACTAACGCGTTTCGACCGATAATGGTCTTCATCAAAGTGCTACATGTCTTCACAAGTTATTCATTTAAATATCTTCAAAAAAGGCGCGCTCAGCTTTCCCGCCGGTTCACTTCCGGTTTCCGGTCGTGGTCCCGGTCAGCTGACTTCCGGTTTTCGGTTTGCGTCATACGTCCAAAGAACACTTCCGGGTCAGCGGTCATGTTGTTTTGTAGTCCTATGGGCTTCCGGGTTCCGGCGAAAAAGTCCTCCCTCATTATTCTTTAGTACACATATCCATTCCAAGAAAGTCTTTAGTGCACATGTCCATTCTAAAAAAGTCTTTACCACACATGTCCATTAAATACTCTTAAAATAAACATGAAAAACATCCATTCTATGGATAACATATTCTTCTAAATATTAAAATCTTGTAAATTTCAATGTTATGCTCAAGGGAAATAAAATATATATATAGTATGAGAAAAGAAGAAAGAGAAAAAAATTTTCATTAAAATATATAATAAATACCACATAAAATGTATATAAAAATAACAATTCATATAAAATTATAATAAAATATGACCTATAAAATGTATAACATATATTTATATGGAAAAAAAAAAGAGGAATTTATAAAAAAGAAGCAATTTCAAAATCTACATTCAATCCTTCAGGGGTTAAAGTATTTAAGGTGAACATCCACCTCATTTCTGCTCTACTTAAAATATTTTCTTTACAACCCCCTCTCCAATGTACTTTAATCTTCTCTATACCAATAAATTTAAGACCTTCTGGGTTACCATTATGGTGCTCTAAGAAATGTTTCGAAACACTATGGTTAACAAATTTTTTCTTTATATTGTTAATGTGTTCCCCCACTCTGACTTTTAATTTTCTAATCGTTTTACCAATATATTGGTAACCACATGGACAGGTTAAAAGATATATAACATTAGTTGTATTGCACGTAATAAGCGAATGTATTTTATACTCTTCCCCTGAATTTCTACTTGAGGAAAAGGTTTTTATACTTTTGTTTGTATTCCTTTTTAATCTACATCCAGTGCAATCCCCACAATAATAAAAACCTACTTGTCCATCTAAAAAATTGTTTTTATCCTGCTTTTCTATCTTTTTTATCTGTCTAAAATTTCTAGCTCCTCTAAAAATGAATTGGGGTCTATCCACTAAATAAAGTAAAAGGTCTTTATCTTCCTTTAACACATGCCAATTTTTTTTAAAAACATTACATACTGATCTATTATTGGTACTAAAATTCAGAATCAAAGGAATAAAATCATCTTTTTTTCTTTATTTTTATATTTCAAGAGTTGACTCCTATCTTTATTACCTATTTCATCTCTAGCATTTTTAATAAAAATGGGATCATATCCCTTATCTATGAATTGTTGTGTTAAATTACAAGATTGATTCTGATAATCTTTAAGGTCCGTACAGTTCCTCCTTAATCTGAGGAACTGACCCTTTGGTACATTATCCAGCCAAGGTTTAAAGTGACAGCTGCGTAAATCTATAAAACTATTAACATCTACCTTCTTAAAATGAGTTTTACTCCTAATTTGGTCTGATTCAATAAAAATATCCAGATCTAAAAAGGTGGTGTTATGATTGCTAATGTTGGAGACAAGTTTAATATTCCAATCATTGGAATTTACAAAATCTAAAAATTTGGTCAGGGAATCCTCATCTCCTTTCCAAATAATAAAAATTTCATCTATATAACGCTTATAGAGGACCAGGTTTGCTCCCAGATCTGCAGCAGGGGGGACAAACATTTCCTCCCAATATGACATGAATAAATTGGCTTAACTGGGAGCAAACCTGGTCCCTATAGCTGTTCCTTGGATCTGCAAATAGAATTGGTCTTCATACCAAAAAAAAATTTTAATATAATTTCTATCCCTTTTAAAATGAAATCGACTTGTAACGCGTTAAAATCTCCAAATTTTTTTAAACAATGTCTTGCCGCATTGCATCCTCTATCATGAGTTATGTTTGTATACAGGCTGCTGACATCACAGGTTGCCATAATATATTCCTTATCCCATTTAAAATTTTCTAGAATATTAAGTAGACTCATTGTATCTTTTAAATAAGTTGGACATTTTTTAACTAAATCCTGTAAAAATTGATCAATATATTGTGATAAATTAGACAGGAGTGATCCTATGCCAGACACTATTGGTCTCCCAGGTGGATTAAGAATATCTTTATGTATTTTAGGCAATACATAGATTACTGGTATTCTTGGATGCTCCACTTTTAAAAATTTATATTCTTTTTTATTCAAGATTCCTGTTTCCATCCCTTCTTTTATAAAGCTTTGATACTCTTCCTTTATCTTAATTAATGGGTTATCGTCTAATTTTAAATAGGTAGTATTATCATCTAATTGATTCTGAATTTCTTTTAGATATTTATTCTTCTGCCAGATCACTACGCCTCCCCCTTTATCTGCCGGTTTTATTATTATAGATTTGTCTTCTTTCAAATCTTTTAGTGCTAATTTTTCTTTTTTTGTGAAATTTTTCTGATATTTATTAAGAGGTTTTAACTTTCTCAAATCCTTCAGGCATAATTTTTCAAAGACCTTCATTTTTTATTTCATGGATAAAATTAAGACTTTTGTTTCAAATCTGTATGTTTATAAAAATTGTTAAAATAATCAGTATCTTCCTCTTTAGGTATAAAATCTTTAAAAAAAAATTTTAAACATAATTTACGTAAAAATCTGTTTAAATCTAAAAAAACTATCAAATTTATCAGCCTCACAACTTGGTGAAAACTTAAAACCTTTCTGTAAAACAGACATATGAGTATCTGTCAAAATTTTATCAGAAAGGTTAAAAATGGGGATGGATTTATCCTCTAGTTTCTCCTCCCCCTCTCGTGTTTTTTTTTCTCTTTCCCTCTTCCTCTACTTCTCCTTCCTCCACTTCCCTTGTTCTCTTTAATGGAGTATTTACTTTTCTCCTGTTTAGATATGTTGGTCCTAAAAAAAGATCAAAAAGATCTTGACTTTCTTCCCCAAGATCTCTTAACTTTTCAAATCTATTAAAAGTAAAAGTCCTTTGTGGGGAGGCTCTTTTATATGTGTTACTTTTATGTAGTGGGGGATTACTAGGTTCTCCCCTATTAGAATTTCTTCTTCTCCGGGGGGTAACTTTTTTCCATTCCTCTTCCCTTCTAAATTGAACTCTATCTCCAAAATATTCCCTTCTATTTTTTCCTTGTCCCTCCCTTGTTTGATATTGATATGTAGTATCCCTATTTTTTCCCTTTGTTGTATTTTCTTTATTATAATAGGTTCCACCTTTTCTATTTTTGTTTTTGTTTATTTCCAAAGTTGCAAAATTTCTAATTTTTCCCTGAGCATAATCATCCATATCTCTTTTAAACTTCTTTCTTTTAGTTTCTATAATCTTTATTTCTAACCTAACAATTTTTTCTATCATTTTTCTATTGATATTTTCAAATTCATCCATCTGTATAAAAGGTTCTAATTTTATCTGAATATCTTTATTTTTTTCCTCTAATTGATGCAGAGTCTGACCCCTCTGCTCTATTATTATTCCTATCATATGGAATGAAAATGATTCTAGTGAGTTATTCCATATGTTCATAATAACCTCATGATCTTGATCTAAAGTAGGAAATTTTTGAAACCTTAAACCTCTTGGAGTAATTTTATGTGTAACATATCTTTCTAATATAAAAACCTCCCACTTGATTTTTTTCATTTCTCTGATCAGTAACTTTTCTAATTGATCACATATGATATCCAAATTGTCACTAAAAAAATATAATTTTTATGACGATGATCTTATCGTCAAATCTTTTATCCATATCTGTTTGCCATGTTTTTCTCATGTTAAAAATAGACATAGTAGGGAGGGGCGTGGCCGACCGTCGGAAGTGATGGACGCACACTGAGCGAGCTCCGCGATCACGGGCTCGAAAACACGGCTAAAACAACCCTTACCGGGTGCATCCCCTGCCCACCAACGCTCACATAATGTCCCAGCACCGGGCGAAAAAGGCTACGGAGGCAAAAGAAAAAAACGCCTTCTTCACAGCCCGCACGCCGCAACATAAGACCGCCGACCCCCAGATCCAAGATGGCGCCGGCCAAGAATGTGACATGGAAAGAGAAGATACAGTAAGCAGACAAGAAGACTGCCCCCTGACCCCAAATCTCCTGCAAGCAATGTTAGATGCAGCAGTCACCAAAATGCAAACTGCTGTCACCAATGCCTTAAATGACATAAGAAAAGGCTTAAATGAGATAGAAGCCAGGACCTCCCACCTGGAGGACACCGTGGAAAACCTCACTGGAGCCTGTAATGATGCTGACACCCGCCTCAGCATACTAGAAGAACAAATGCACAAGAGACCAAAATGGCGGATGCCGAAGACAGGTCACGCCGCAACAATATACGGCTGAGAGGGGTACCAGAGGATATTGCACCGCAAAATCTCACGGCCTACGCTGTGGAGCTTTTCCACACATTACTGCCTGATATCCCCGCAGAAATGTTTCTACTAGACCGCATTCACAGACTCCCCAAGCCTCAACACCTACCGCTTTCCACTCCGAGAGATGTCCTTATGAGACTCCACTACTACCACATCAAAGAACAGATCCTGAGGGCACACCGCACCAAAAAGGACTTACCTACCCAATTCAAAGATATACTCCTGTTCATGGACCTATCAGCAGAGACACTACGCCGCAGACGATCCTTCAAGGCAGTGGCAGACTCGCTGAGGCAAAACCGAGTACCATACAGATGGGGCTACCCAGCCAAGCTGCTCATAACAAAGGGAGGGAAAATCATCCCGGCTGCTACACCGGCGGAGGGACTGAATCTCCTGAAGCAGTGGGGTTTATCCCACAACACACAGCCAAACCCCAGAAACCCCGGTAAACAGCTACCCGAAGACAGCAGACCCCAGAAGACGAGACGTACCTCTCCGAGAGAGGACTGATCGCACCCGATAAGAAACAGCAAGTTTGAAATATGTTTGCATTGTTACCTAAATGCTATACCCTAGATTATAACGTTTTGTTAATGTCATGTTTAATACTAATTGACACCCTTAGGATATGCCCTCGAATAACTCCCCCTGTTGAAGGGAGCGGCACCGAACACGCCGCCACACAAGGCCTTGCCTAACGACACCGCCTTGCTTATATAGGGTGCACATCCCTCTCTTTTCCTCTACTAGTTTGACGGCCGTCCCTTGCGGACACAGCCTCCTCTAAAAAACCTCCTAAGCCCTGCTATACCCACAGCGGTGCTGTACGCTCCAACCAGTACACACCAACCTTTTAGGCAGGGGGGATGCCCCGGAATCACATAGGGCCCGTAGCGATCTACGCTCAAACCGAACCGCCCACACTACCCCCACCTAGGAAGTGCCATAGCGAAGGCACATACCCTTTAAGACACCTTGTACGATACTTTCTTTGTTTACTGTTTAACCGTTTATATTTTTATTTTATGTTATTTGATTATTCTGTGCTGGAAAAGTTGATTGATTTCCCAATTGCACCTAGCTCCTACCAGACCGTGAACACTCGTTGCTGAACCACACGGTCGCCCACGCCGGCCGAGCTGTTCATCCCCTCGACTCCCCAAGACTGAGACTGTCCCCCTTCTCGCCTCCACACCACTTAACTGCCCCACACGACTACCTCATATTATCCACATACACAAGATACACCACCCACGAAAAATGAAGCTACTTACCCACAACGTAAGAGGTCTCAACTCACCCAACAAACGACACACTCTCCTTAAAGAACTAAACAACGCGCACGCAGACATCGTCTGCTTACAGGAGACCCACTTTAAACAGGACTCCAACCCTGTTCTGGGTCTCAAATCCTACCCACACCAGTTTCATTCCACCTCCCCAACCAAAAGCAAAGGTGTAACTATACTGATAAGCCACTCTATAGCCTTTGACATAATCTCAATCGACTCTGATCCGAAAGGTCGTTACATCATCCTAATTTGCACCCTAAATAACTCAACGTTCACGATAGTGAACTCCTACTCACCAAATGAGAACCAAAGGACCTACCTAGCCCACCTACTTGACAAAGTTGAGAAAACCCAAACGGGCACCACAGTCATCTGCGGTGACTTCAATCACATACTAGACCCTGATACAGACTCCACAGCCCGACACTCATCGTCACGCAAGAAATCATTACACAAAAGCTGCAACTCCATAAACAAACTCCTGTCTGCACATGGACTATACGACGTATGGAGGATTCTCCACCCCACTAACAAGGAATACACCCACTACTCCCAAGTACATAATACCTACTCCCGGATAGACGGGTTCCTCCTGCGCACCGCGCACCTTCAACTAATACGAGCGTGTGACATAGAAACATCTACGATCTCGGACCACAATCCGGTGTCATTGGTCCTGGCAGACTCGTACCAATTCAAACACCGCAGCCCCTGGAGAATGAACGAACATCTCCTTAACGAACCCTCTTTCCTAAATCAAGTAAGAGACGAAATAACTTCATACTTCACAACCAATAGCCCTGCAGACACGACCCCGGCCACCCGCTGGCTAGCCCACAAAGCTGTCGTTAGAGGCATTCTGATTAGTAGAGCAGCCCATCTTAAAAAAATGAACTACTCCTCCATGCTTTCACTCCTTAAGAAGCTCCAAGACCTCCATAGATCGAACCAAGCAAGCCCCACAAAAGCACTCCAGCAGCAAATACAATCCACGCAAGTCGAAATTAACGCTATACACCTCCGCAAGGCAACGGCTGCACTGAAAACCCTAAAAGCCACATCCTACTCGATGGGCAACAAAGCTACAAAAACACTAGCGCACAGACTTAGGGACCAACAGACACAAACTAAAATACAATACATAAAAACGCACACTGGACACAGAGTACTGCAACCCTCACACATATGCAACGAATTCGCCCACTACTACGGTTCTCTATACAACTTAAAAGACGACCAAAATGTGCCCAGACCCTCACCGACATCCATTAGGTCTTACCTCAACAACCTCGCACTCCCCACTATAAACGCACATCAAGCGACACAGCTTAGTGCCCCAATCACCTTAGAAGAAGTCCTTCGCCACATCGAGGCACTGCCCAGAGGTAAAGCGCCAGGCCCAGATGGGTACACAAACACATACTACAAGACATTCAAAAACGAACTGGCCCCTTCCCTTACCCATTTCTTCAATGAAGCAACCAACCAGAGCTCCTTCCCCACTGAGTTCCTGTCTGCCCACGTAATTACGATACCCAAACCAGGCAAGACTCCAACAGTGTGCCAAAATTTCAGACCTATCTCTCTGCTTAACGCAGACGCGAAACTCTACGCGAAAATCCATGCTGACCGACTTAAAACAATACTACCCTCCCTCATACACACAGACCAGGTAGGTTTCGTGGCGGGCAGACATGGCCCAGATAATACCAGAAAGGTCCTGAATCTACACCATCTCCTAAAACATACCAACACCGAGAGCATTATGCTATCACTTGACGCCGAAAAGGCGTTCGATCGCCTCAACTGGCATTTTTTACACGAAGCCATGGCCCTCTACGGCTTTCCTCAGACCTTCCTGTCAGTTATACAGGCTTTATACAGCAACCCCACAGCGACAGTCCTGACCTCGGGGTTCTGCTCGCAACCCTTCCCGATAACCAACGGCACCCGCCAAGGTTGCCCACTGTCTCCCCTCCTATACGTCCTGGCCCTAGAACCCCTGGCCATAGCCATCCGCAAGAACAATAACATACATGGAGTCCCACTTGGCCAACAGGAATATAAGCTCAATCTATTCGCAGATGACATATTACTCACACTTACCCAACCACTCATTTCCCTTCCCTCCCTACACAAAGAACTACACGCATACAGCCAACAATCCTACTACAAACTCAACATCACCAAAACACAAGCAATGTGCCTCAACATGCCCAGAACCACTGAAAATGTCCTTAAAGCGACACACGAATATGATTGGAGAACAGACTTTCTAACGTTCTTAGGCATCAAGATTACCAACAAATACACTGATCTCTTTACAGCGAACTACGCAAAACTACAAAAGGAAATTGAACAACTACTTCGTAGATGGGCAAATCTATTCCTATCATGGGTCGGAAAGATAGCTGCTATCAAAATGACAGTACTCCCTAAGCTCCTTTATCTCTTTCGGTCCTTGCCAATTAAGATCCCACAAAACTACCTGACAAAAATGCAAGCAATCCTTCTCCGTTCCTGCTGGAGTGGAAAACACCCCAGAGTACCTAAAGCCCTGCTCTTTAGACACGTACGACAAGGGGGAATGGGTTTCCCCAACTTAAAACTATACCACCAAGCAGCCCTACTCACCAACGTCATTAACGCTCACACCACGACACAACCCCCGCAATGGGTAGCGATGGAAAGTCTACTCTGCACAAACCACGATCTCTCATCCACCTTATGGTCCCCCAAACATACAAGACCGAAGAGCCCGGACCTGCTGCCTACCACCAGGCTCTTAATATCCACATGGGACACCTGCAGGGAAAACCTATGCTCAGCGCATCCATGGGCACTAACAGCCCCAACCAAAACACTACACCACTGCAATGGCACGTTCCCTCATCACAAATGGGAAGAAAAAGGCATCACACACATGTATCACCTCTACACGCCCGAAGGCCTGAAACACTTCCCAGACCTCCAAGCCGAATTTACACTCCCATCCAACTTCACATTCTCATACCTTCAATTAAAGGCCTTACTGCAAAACAACACGATACACAGCAGAAAACCGACCTTACAGACCACGGCGACGAAGTTCGAAATGCACTGCATGGCAACATCTCCCCCTAAAAAAGCGCTCTCCACCTGCTACAACGAACTAACAAACCTCAAAACCGAAAACACTTGGAAATTCATGAAAGATTGGCAGGAGGACCTCCAGGAAACAATTTCCCATCAAGAATGGAAGAAAATCTTCACAGCACATGAAGGAATGTCCTCCTGCTCAGCCCACTTTGAAACGGCACGTAAACTGCTATATCGATGGTATATGGTACCCGCACGACTACACTCCATGTACCCAGGTTCGTCGGACATATGCTGGCGATGCAACTCTCACAGAGGCACGATGCTACATGTATGGTGGTCCTGCCGCACGGTAAACAACTTGTGGAAGAAGACTGAACAAATGATTCAAGATATTACGGAATATCCCCTGCCTCACGAGCCCAAAACGATCCTCCTGCGATCACTACCGGAAACTATCCCCAAACCAGCAAAAAAAATGATATTCCTTATACTGAGCACAGTCTCCACCCTAATAGCCAGAAACTGGAAGACCTCAAATCTCCCCTCAACCCAGGAAATCACCGCCTTGATGTCAACAACAGTAGACTACGAACTCCGAATGTGGCACCTACTGAAAATCGGAAAGCTGAGCCCAGCCATCGCCGAGATGTGGCAAACCTACCTTTCAACGAGGATCCCACCAACACAACCCCCTTAGCCTAATGCGAAGAGAGGCAAAAAAGAGATAGACCACACGATCCTCTCCCTGCTGGAAGCAGCAACCCTGCCCACTGCCCACCTGATACACCTCTAACACCCACGTCTATACACGACCTGAGACACACCCCCTCTCCCCCTGACGCTCCCGACGGATATCGACCACATTGGGGCTACACTACCTCTAGCACCAAGTTCTCAACCCTCACTCCCACCCTCCACCCCCCAATCTCACCCTCACTCTCACCCTCCAACCGTGACTAAAAGCCTTACGAAAGCACAAGCCATTCGCACCTGGCCCCAGCATGACACCTTACACTCAATATAAGAGAAAAGTAGCTTAGACGAGCACCTCCCAGGGACTAGGCCACTGAAGCAGAGTACATTCTGAACCCCACTGCAACCACTAAAGCCACTCCCCCACTTATTCAGAAAGGGGACCCTTTATCGAAAGCAGCTAATGTACACTCATCGTGTCAATCCACAACGGAAACATATACCAGACCTGACAGGTCTCCCCTAAAGGAACCCCACCAAGAGACGATGCACACATCGGCAACGAAATAGCCCTCTACCAGCAAATGAGAGTAAGCACTCAATTAACAACAAGAGACGATTCCCCGGAATCCGGCAGACACCCTACACGAAACAGAAGTGCTATAAGCCCCAATTAGGCGAACCCCTTAGAGTTCCCCTCCATGACTTATCCTTATTCCCCTACACAATTGGGCCACAATTATGAAAAATAGAGTTAAAACCAATAACCACCTACACAAAGGTCCCGCAGCCAGACGTCCCAAAAGGAAGGGCTGCCCTAGGCACGAAAGTATATGTAATGTGAACTTAAAAATACAAGATGTAATGTTTCTATCTGCTATATGACTGTTGTGCTTGAATTACGAAAATACACGGTACTGAACTACCGGTCTTTTTTTTTTCCCCCCTCATAACCACCCCTTCTCTTCTGTACCCCTACAAAACTGATGAAAATGAATAAAAATTGTCAAATTCAAAAAAAAAAAAAAATAGACATAGTAAAGATAACTATAACAATATCTTCCTTTTCAAGAGTGATAATCAACAGTACATATAAAACACAATAAAAGAAAAGTAAAATATTGAATTTAGAAGAATATGTTATCCATAGAATGGATGTTTTTCATGTTTATTTTAAGAGTATTTAATGGACATGTGTGGTAAAGACTTTTTTAGAATGGACATGTGCACTAAAGACTTTCTTGGAATGGATATGTGTACTAAAGAATAATGAGGGAGGAATTTTTTGCCGGAACCCGGAAGCCCATAGGACTACAAAACAACATGACCGCTGACCCGGAAGTGTTCTTTGGACGTATAACGCAAACCGGAAACCGGAAGTCAGCTGACCGGGGACCACGACCGGAAACCAGAAGTGAACCGGCGGGAAAGCTGAGTGCGCCTTTTTTGAAGATATTTAAATGAATAACTTGTGAAGACATGTAGCACTTTGATGAAGACCATTATCGGTCGAAACGCGTTAGTGCAATATATTTGGAGATTCCATTATATGCTTTTTATTATGCAATCTTATGCAAAATAAAGGTTTATTTGATCCAGTATTTCTCTACCTGGCATTTATCAAGGAGAAACTTCTGAAGGAACCATTTCAACCTGTTTGTCAGCACTTGGGTCTCCAGGATATTTCAAAAGGCGCTTGTAGTCTGAGCCACTCATTTAGGCTCAGCCAGGGCCGTCTTTAATATTGATTGGACCCTGGGCAAGCATCTGCTTGGGCCCCCTTGGCATGCAATCACTCCCTCCACCCCAACCTAGAGGCGAAACTAATGTAGAGAGTGCCTTGGTGCAAAAAAATAATAATTCAGGCCTGCCCTGTAGTACAAGAGTAAAGAAAAGATAGATCCCCATCTGTCATACAACTCCTGCGATGCTATGCCAGGTGGGGATCTACCATCCTTGCAGGGTTGTATTTTTGAGCACTGTTTGTGCAATTGAATGTCAGCATGTTATTGTATAGAGTGTATGTGTGCATGTAGGGGTGTATTTGTATGTACTGTTACCATTGGAATGCAGTGATGTACTTGTGTGTAGTGTTTGCGTTTGAATGCAGTAATGTGTGATTGTCTGTAGTGTTGGCTTTTAAATGCAGGTGTACTTTTGTGTGTAGAGTTGGTGTTTGTATATAATTTTAGCGTTTTAATACAGGAATGTGTTTGTATGTAATGTTTGTATTTGCATGCAGGGGGTTGTTTGGATGTAGTGTTGTGTACATTTGTGTGTAGTATTGGTGTTTCAGCAAACTGGTGTGTTTGTATGTAATGTTTGTGTTTGCAGGGCTCTGTTTGCATGTTGTGTGATTTCTATAACACATATACACATACACATTAACACGCAGATACACACATAGGCACACTGACACATGCTCACACCTTGACACATACTGGCACATACACACACACACACACTCAGATACACACCCTTTGACACACAGATACAAGCACTTTGATACACACACACACACACTGGCACATCCACACACAGAGGTACACACACACACTGACACAGGTATGTACATACACACTCAGATACACACATACATAAAGGTATAAATGCAGGGGTGTATATGTGTACAGTGCTAGAGATGGAGTGTATTTGTGTTGGCATTAAAATGCTGGGATGTATGCATTACCACACACTCAGATGCACATTTACACACACTGACACATACATACATACACACACACAAACACACACACAGGTACACATACACACTGACACACAAGTACACATACACAGGTATACATACACACAGAAACACTGACACACAGACAAACACAGCCAGATACAAACACTGACACAAACACAGCCAGATACACACACTGACACAAACACTACACACACAGGACATAAACACAGCCAGATACACACACATAAACACAGCCAGATACACACACACATATATGTGTACATTTACATATTTTAATCTCTGCCTTCTAGCAGCTCTTGGACAGCAACTCCCAGCAACCTTGGCCATAATAATGTCTCAACTCTGTTCTTACATACCCTGGTTCAGAATTTGGCAAAAGTGACATTTGGAAATGGTATACAGCCTTTGATAACACTTGATGCAATAATATGTTAAAATAAATACTTTTAAAATTTATATTTAATAGGGAACTGTCAGGTTCTTCTAGGATTTTTAACATGTACTTATTCCCTGTGTGTTACATTACAAACACCAACACTTGAATAACAGTGATATCAGAAATAAGCAAAACAAAAAAACAAAACATATTTAGCCATCCTCCTGTCTCCTTACCTTTTGGGTACAGAAAGGTGGCTTCCCTGGGGTCCAGTGGGATCTTGTTGGCCCAGGCTGATGGGAGTCTGCCATCAGCTTTCTCAGTCCCTCTCCCCAACAATGCTTGCATCCTCCTCCGTGTGGTGTGTGCCTCCTCCCCAGCGGCACTGAGGAGGAAGTGATGTGACCTCACTTCCTCCCAGCATGCCACGGAGAAGAAAAGGGATCACAGGGCAGTGTGTGAGGGGCTAGCTGTGTGTTTGTATTCAGCCAACCCCCATATTACAAGGGCCCGGTCCAGAGCAGGGGTGCTGCAGGGGGCCCATGGGGCAGCTGGCTTAGGGTCCCCAGGAGTAACTGGGCCCGGGGCAGCTGCCCCTTTTGCCCCTCCTTAAAGACGGCCCAGGGCTCAGCACCACGTGAGTGGGCTATTTTATATCTTATTTTATTTGTCCTTTACATACAGGCTATACTATGTTATGCATTTTATATTTTTAGGACATTTATGTGAAAATTCAAGATAAAGGGTAACATTGCATGCTTTTATCTTGTTTACACTTGGTGTATATTGCTCTCACCATATTATATATTTTATTCTGTTATTTATTGTTTGTGTGATTTGGAGTGACTCACACTTGGTGATTTTGAGCATTCAATATTTTACTTTTCTTTTATTGTGTTTTACTTGTCCTGGAGGCCCTATGCAACTTCAATTTGCTGCCATAACACTATGCAAAAAGTAGACTTACCTAAAATGGCAGATGCCCTATGTTGAGGTGACCGCAGTAGGGAACAAGCTGACCTTACCTACGAACTGGACAAAATCTTTGCAGGCTTCTGTGACATGCTGGACCGCCGCAAGTGGAGTGGCCACCCACACCAGAGTTTACTGTCTGGGTTTCAGTGGGAGACATTGGCTTTGGTACTGGGACAAGCCTGTGACAGGTGGAGGAGGCTGGAGCAACCTGAATCAGCGGCTGCAGTATGTGGCCCACCGATGGCAGAGATCCTCGTAGACCTGATCTTGCATCTGCAAACATAGAAGGTTAAGTCCTGCGCTCAAACTCCCACCAATCCTAGGTGGCAGCAATGACTATAGTACACATCAGCCACAATACATACGATGAAAACCAAAAGATAAGTTACCTGCACACTATTCTAGATCACCATGCACATTTAAATAACTGGAGGTTACCTGGCAGGTGGGCTTACCCTTTAATGGCCATTGAAGGGAAACAAAAAACTTCAAATTATTTAAATGTGCATAGGGACCTAGGATGGTGCGCAGGTGACTTTTTCTCTGATCTTGCATTTGCCTATAAGGATGGCACACAGCTGGAGATATCACAAATCACTATGCTTGTCTTGATACAACGTCATATATGTAGGAATTCCTTACCTGGGGTGATCATGTAAATGCCAATTATGCATGCTGATACATTTGAGTGCATTAACAAATGCAAAATCTAAATAATATTACTTTCAATTTAACTAATGAAATATCACCTATAAATAAAATATAATATTTTTTGATAATTTGAGCAAAGAACAAATAGAAATCTGTTACTAAACAACCGAAGAATGTTTACAAAAGCAAAGAGGAAAATATACATATATAAAAATATAAATAAAACATTATAAGAAACAAAAAAAGGGAAATAACTAAAACACTCGAATGATGACTTGCCTACGTAATCTCTCTTCGAATATTTGAGGGCTAAAAGATGTAGAGATTGAGAAAAAGCTACAGAAAAACAATGGGAAAAGATGAAATGTTTAATTATGCCAAAATACCTTATTCGGTTCTCTACTTGCATTGGTTTTCATTCTACAAATCAATAAAGCCTCCCTCTGTGAAAAAACCTGTGCTGTTCTCTTATCTCTCCAGTTAGATACTTCTTTATCTTTGTCTATGAAAATAAACTCATCCAAAGAGAATTTAAGCAGTTAGTGCGAACTATATTTTTGTTCAGTCTGCTAATAGCATTTTCATTTTCTAAAATCCTCTTACTTGGATATCTCACCGTGGCAAATGTGCTGAATTGTAGAAGGGATTTACAATAAACATTAGATTCTTAATTGCATAATTTAAAAGGGTGTTTTATATTAATTTTTATTTAATTTTTTTTTAAAGTTTCCCCTATTACAGTGCTTTAGATCTGTGGCATATTTTGCTTGTAAAATTTTCATTTTTTAAAGCATTGTGTTATAATAGTAAATAGCATAGTAGTTTTTTTTTTAAAATTAACTTCATTCACTTTTATCTTTTTTTAAATATATGTACATGTAGTGCAGCATTGATGTTATATTTGTCTTGTTTTGTCTATTCGATCTATCTTGTACATTTTTAAATTCACTTATATATTTAAAAGTTCACATTTTTAATTTGTATTTGTATTTATTTATAAATAACATTTTCCACTGAAATATTGAGCATTACTTTTAAATTTTAGCTTTTATAACAGATATTCCTCAGCAGCTGATCAAAAATTGATAATTCCATATTTTATTTCTGATTTATATATTCTGATTTAATAAATGTGTATGTTTATATTCAAATCTATTAGTTAGTGAAAGGATACGTCTGTTAATAAAACAACTATCATTTACAGACAGACCCTTCATTGATTTACTTGGGAGAGGTGTAGATATGTTGCTTTGACACATTTAAGTATTTTGGTGCACCATATATTGCCGTTTCTCCCACAATTATTTTTTTTTCTGATGGCATAGCATGGATGTCGGATGAAAACTATACATTGAACTACAGATTTTGATCCTCTTCTGAATTATTGCATGTTGCAGCCAATTGGTTTGTTTAATCGGTTTGCAGAGAATGGTAAACATTTAGCTACTAAATGCATGTAACTAAACTCAGAGAGTGGGTAAAGGAGAGTCAAAGAGCAAGATTAAGGCATTAAGGCATACCAGAGAGAAACAAGTCAAGGGGATTACAGAGAGCAAATTAGTAACAAGCCAAAGCAAAACAAGAATAACCAGAACACACTATACTGTATATACTCGAGTATAAGCCGACCCGAATATAAACCAAGGCACCTAATTTTACCAGAAAAAAACCTGGGAAAACTTATTGACGCGAATATTAGCCTAGGGTGGGAAATGCAGCAGCTACTGGTAAATTTCAAAATAAAAATAGATACCAATAAAATTACCGATATTTTGTACATTACCATTTATTAAGGTAAATGCACAAAATATACATGCCAGGATATGTGTGTGTGTGTGTCTGTGTGTTTATGTAGTGTGTGTATAGTGAATACAGTGTGTGTATATAATGAATTCAGTGTCTGTGTGTGTGTGTGTGTGTAGTGTGTGTATATAATGAATGCAGAGTGTGTGTGTGTGTGTGTGTAGTGTGTGTATATAATGAATGCAGAATGTGTGTGTATATAATGAATGCAGGGTGTGTGTGTATATAATGAATGCAGCATGTGTGTGTTTGTGTGAATGCAGTGTGTGTGTGTGTGTATATATAATGCAGAGTGTGTGTGTGTTTGTGTAGTGTGTGTAAACTGGGTGGGGGGAGGGCATTTTTATTATTTTAACATTTTTTACTTTTTTTTTTTTTAGTCCCCCCTCCCTGCTTCATACTTGACCAGGGAGGGAGGCTATGTCAATTCCTGGTGGTCCGGTGGCATGGGCTGTGCAGTGGGGGCCCGCAGAAGCTCTTACTTACCTTCCCAGCAGCTCACCTGAGTAACTCTCGCGGCCTGCGTGCCGCACAGAGCGTTGCCATGGTAACCCGTGGCAACGCTCTGACGGCCGGCGGGACTCGCCACTTCTTTTAGATCAACAGCAAAAACAGATGAGAGAAAAGCTGAACTTGATGGACGCATGCCTCTTTTCAGCTACGTAACCGAGTTTGTATATGTTTTATTATGTATTGAGTAGAAACTGATAGGCCAGCATAAATTTTGAGATGCAAATTTGCATGCATACTGTGAAGCTGATTAGAGCTAGGTACAGTGAACTAATTGATATCATATATAATGCAAACCACTTCATTTTTTTTCTTTTTACATTTTTCCTTACTCCAATCTGAATGAGGGTGTTAAGACACAGAGATATTGTTTGGCAATAGGTTATTTGAAACATATATTTTTATAAGCTGTGCTTAGTTTTTTATTTTTTATTTTCGTTCTTTAATGTTGTATGTCACTGTCTACTGAGGTTAAGGATTACTTTAAGCATCATGACTACTCCAGTGATTTTAATGATTTTAAGTAGTGAAGGTGCCTAGAATTTCTGTGCTACCTCCCCCCCCCCCCATGCTGTCAGAGGTGTCATTCCCTCTCCTGCAGCTTTAGAGGGGCATCATTACCCAGGCCAGAACTACTGTTCTGAGTGGCTAATGTTAATTCTGTGCAATACTGGCCCAGCATGCTGGCCCCAGACAGCCAATGGCTGCACACATCCCCGTCATGCAGCCCCTGCTTTCCCTTTAGTCCTTCTGTACGCGTGCGCACGGGGTGTGCTGGGTGTGCCTGGGCACACCCTAATCCCCGCGGCCCGCCCTATGTGCCTCCATGGGCTGGTGAGGGATATCAAAAGATCTCCATCCCTGCCCACAGGCAGGGAGGGAGGCAGAAGAGGACCTGGGGAGCTCTAGCTAGCAGCTCTGCTGGGTTCCTCTGCGAGGTCGGAGCGTTGCCACAGAAACGGTCAGAACTCGTGAGAGTGAACTCTAGCCCCGCAGGCTAGAGTTCACTCACCACTGGACCACCAGGGATGGCAGCAGCACGGTCCCCACTAACTACAAAAGGTAGTGGGGCTATTAACTAAATGGTCCTCCCATCCCCACACAATACACACAAACAGCACCCACACACACACACAGCACCCTTACACAGCACACTAACAGCACCCACACACATACGTCACCATTACACACACTAACAGCACCCTCACACACACGTCACCATTACACACACTAACAGCACCCTCACACACACAGCACCCTTATACATACACACACACACTAACAGCACCCTCACACACACACAGTGCCCTCACACACGCAGCACCCTTACACACACACACACATTAACAGCACCTTCACATACACGCACCACCCTCACAAACAATAACACACACAGCACCCTTACATTATCACAGAGCCCTCACACACACACACACAGCAGTGTGTGTGTGTGTGTGTGTGTGTATGTATATGTATATAAAGCACAAACACACGCCGCGTATATATATGTACAATAGGCTGCGCACGCCTATGAGTCCATCCTTCCTGACCCCCATTCCCCTCTATACGTTTGGTGAGGGGGTGGACCAGCAGGGCAAGGATTACTTTAACCAAAAACAGTGTTTTATGAAACCACTGTGCTTTGGTTGTAGTAACCTTTTAAACTACAAAATAGTTTTTGCTTGTTTGTTTGGTTTTCTTTGCACTTCTATCGCTATTTTTTTGGTTTACTCTATCTTGGGGACATCTTTTAAGCAGTTTTTTGAATGTTTTGATCTCACTCAACCTTATTAACTCAGCTTGATACTGCAAGATTTAAAACACTGAACCAAAGCCATGCTGAGGAGCCTCTGAAAGACAAAATGGATATAGATAGATGAACACTGACATCATAAGCATGCATGGCACATTTCATTATGATGAGCACCTATTGAATGTTTTCATTTTTTTATTTAAAGCAAGCAGTTATTGAATACTAAATCATAAAGAACACCTAACCTATTTAAAGGACCACTACAGGCACCCAGACCACTTCAGCTTAATGAAGTGGTCTGGGTGCCAGGTCCAGCTAGGGTTAACCCTTTTTTAAACAAACATAGCACTTTCAGAGAAACTGCTATGTTTATGTTAGGGTTAATCCAGCCTCCAGTGGCTGTCTCATTGACACCCGCTAGAGGCGCTTCCGTGCTTCTCACTGTGAAAATCACAGTGAGAAGACGCCAGCGTTCATAGGAAAGCATTGTGAATGTTTTCCTATGGACTGGCTGAATGCGCGCGCGGCTAATGCCGCGCATGCGCATTCAGCCGAAGAGGAGGCAGAGAGCTCCCCGTCCGGCGCTGGAGAAAGAGGTAAGTTTAACCCCTTCTTCTCTATCCAGCCCGGCGGGAGGGGGACCCAGAGGGTGGGGGCATCCTCAGGGCACTATAGTGCCAGGAAAACGAGTATGTTTTCCTGGCACTATAGTGGTCCTTTAACGTAAATGTCACCTAACATTGTCCTATTGTTTCCTCTTCTCTTCCTCTTTCAGAATCTGTTTTTCTTTTCTTAATTTCTGATTTATTTATCTTTAAAACATAAGACAAAGTAGGGACTTCCTTGTCTTCTGTATTTTTTCTATACTCCGCAATCTTAAAAAAGGGTGGAACTTAAGGCAAGCTTCACCCTTTGTTAGGTTAACAGAGGAAGTGATGCTTGCATTAAGCTCCACCCTTTTGTCACAATTATCAATCATAGGAAAAATACATAAGCAAATGTAGTCCCTACTTTGTCTCATGTTTTAAAGAGAAATAGATCAGAGATAAAGATAAGAAGAGCATATTCTGAAAGAGGAAGAGAATGTGAAACAATAGGAGAAAGGTAAAGTTGAGGTGACAGAGATACTTTAAATGTTTTTTTTATTTTACCATATGACAGGGGCTTTATATTTGCATAATCTTTCTTTACTTTAAACTCCAGCAGCACAGATCAATCAAAACTTTTAAACCAATCAGAAACAAGAGTCACTACTATAAATAGCTCTGTGATGCCTTCCACTTCCTCTTTCTTTGCTGCTCCTGCCAGAGTACAGGTCAGAGTATTCCTTCAGTCACTTATCTATTCGGAATTTATCATTATTATAACAGTATTCTGTTTGTGTTTTTATTTAATTTCTCTTATCCCTCTGTCCCTGCTCCTTTATACCTGCCTTCCCTCCAATCTACCCGGCTGTCTGCCTGAATAGCACTCCGCCCAAGTCCTACTCCATTGCTCGTGGGCGGGTTGTGCTACCGGTTCCTGTTCCCTTCGTCGGGCCCTTTCCGGGTGGTGGTGGTGGGGAGGGGGGGGTTGGGACTCTGTGGGATTTTGGGGGTATTGCTCTCCACCGCTTGCACGGACCGCGGGAAATCCATCTTGGATTTCAAACTGCGATACTCACTGCGGCCTCTTGTCTTCCCCTGGCCTTTTTCAGACTGCTTTAAGCGTGGGTATGTCTCCTGACGACCAGATACCCGGCAACACTCTTCAGGGACACTTCTCCCCTGTCAGGATTCTGTCAGCAATAACAAGTAAGGATAATTGCCATATGCTCTTATTATCCTATTGTCTATTACAGATACTGAACGCAGGGTCTAACCTGCAGTACTATCAGGGTGAGCCTTTGATACTGAAGGGACCAGGGCATTTCAGGTACCATAACCCTTATTAGGATCCCCACGCTTATATACACGGTTAAATCTGTTTGACTGGTACCTTTCCCCACAGGGGGGACACAGGGTATACAACCCCTGCAATATTGGAAGCTTTTAACGCCTCCCACCAATTCAGGGTCTCACTCCCTGACACACTAGCCGCTCACTGCGACCAGCATTGAGATTCACTCTCACTATAATTGGGTCTACCTCACTTATGTTGAGTAACTAGTATTACGCCATTGGGCATACCCTGATTGTACTTGCAAAGGGACTCCCGGTAGCCTAACACGGTCTGCACGGATGCTAATTCTGTATACTCTCCTCCACAGACCACAAAATGAGTGATACACCACTGCAGACCCAGGACTTCCAGTCCATGATTAACGCTGCAGTGGCAGCATTGGTGGAAAAAGCCTTAGCTAAAATGCTCACCCAACCTCCTCCAGAGGTACTCAACCTGCCCTCGGGCGCATCCCCTTCACATGGTGACGATGCTGCAGGGTATGAAAGATCCATTCTGAGCGTTGTGCCCATAATTAAATGCCACAGAACTGGCACAACACCCGTATCCAGACCTAAAGGGAAAGAACCAGTGTGAATACTGACACTATATGGCGGACTTACCCTTCGCACTTTGCCATTCAAGCAATTCTTGGGATTACATGGGATCCGCATTGTTTTCCTGAGTTATAATTATTGGACTTGTTCACTGGAATGTTAGTTCGCTTCAAAGAAAGAGGAAGTGGAAGGCATCACGGAGCTATTTATAGTAGTGACTCTTGTTTCTGATTGGTTTAAAAGTTTTGATTGATCTGTGCTGCTGGAGTTTAAAGTAAAGAAAGATTATGCAAATATTCGCCTCCTGTCATTAGTAAAATTATGATTATAAATACAATGTTAGCATAATCTACAATTATCAGCAATTTTTGCCTGAGTTACACAATTTAATTCCTCTCATTATTTTATCTATAAATTGTGCTAGCAAAATCTCAAGCCAATGTGTAGATTTTGTGCAAAACCACTATGAAAATCTCCCCTCCTCCCATTTAGACTCTCTGCATAGACTCTATGCTAATGTCTGTCTGTAAGAGAACACACGTAGAGGCTGTTCTCTTGCTCTGCTGATGTACCAGAAGTTGGGAAGTGATCTAAACCTTCCCAAACAGGGTAAGTGCAAAAGAGAAGGTTGCCACCCACAATGGTGGACTAACTGCATCAACAATAACATGATTTTACATAATTTGCATTATGGGAGAACAGCTGAAATACAGATTTTCACAGATGCTGTGTCTGGAGATAGCAATTTTTAAATTTATTTTTACATTTGCTGTAGAATATACTGTTGCGGTTAATTTACCCTAAACTGTTCGGTGTTTTGATACTTTTTTGATTCCACTACAACTTGATCTCTTCGCTTGATGTTAGCAGACAACATCGCAAAAAAAAAAAAAAAAATGTGGCTCCACCAGGCCCAATTAGTCCTAAAACGGCACTGCACTGCATATGAAGTCCTGCACCATGAATCAAAATTAAATGGACTGCTTTGCCACTCTCTAACAACATTTATCATCCCCTTCATTACATTTACGGATTGCTTTCTTTCAATGCAGCATCAGCTCCAAGTGTAGTATTCCTTTATCCAGGCTAACTGCATGAAGACCTTGTGAATTTACATGGCAGGATATGCATGGAAACCTACTGAACTGATTCTGTTGGTTTTAGTGCAGATATGTGATTACAATTTTAATTGTACTGCTAGTAAGCATAAACTAGTTTTTAAAGGGACACAATACTCACCAGAACCGCTACAGCTTAGTAGTGGTTCTGGTGTCAATAGCATATCCCTGAGGGCTTCTTAATGTAAACTGCTTTTTCAGAGAAAAGGCAGCGTTTACATTACTGGATAGTAACGATCTTGGTGCAGTCACTGAAAAGCTATTAGAGGTGCTCCCTATCTCTATGCTGTATAGTATGCAGCACTGACTTTCAGTGTCTCCACACTCTGCATAAAGACACTGAACGCTACCCATAGAGATACATTGATTCAATGCATCTCTATGAGGAAATGCTGATTGGGGCAGCGTGGCGTTTTACCGCACATGAGCAATGGCCTGATGATCTCAGCCATGGAGACAGTGCCAGCCAGGTAAGTTTAAGTCCTTTATACTCCAGAGAGAGGGGGGCCGTTCACCTAAATATCTATTACAGCACTACAGTGTTAGGAATACATAGTGTTCATACAGTTAGAGTACTATAAGGTCCATTTTTTTTTTTTTTTTTTAAACCACGCACCGTTATTGTCGAACTTGGGCTATATCCAGACATTTTTCCTACTCCTACTCCGTCTCCCACTCATGCATCTATGTGTATATAACAGGTCTTGACAAATTGCTTGAAATATCGGAGCCAGCTAAAAAAGCTAGGAGCCAGATTTTTCAACATCAAAAATACAATTCTTAAAGGGACACTATAGTCACCAGAGTTAATACAGATCTTTATACTCTTCCTGCACACTTCTCAATGTAAACACTGACTTTTCAGAATAAATGCAGTGTTTTCATTGCTGTGTGGTAACACCTCTGGTGATAGTCACTTAGATGGCCTCTATAAGTGCTTCCTGGGTCAGTGCATCTTTATGATGCGAAGTTGATTGTGCAGCATAGTCTCCCAATGTTTTTCTATGGGGAAGCATTGGATTGGCTGAGATTGTCAAGATTGATAATTTCAGCCATGGAGATAGGGCCAGCAGCAAAGACACCAGCACGGCCTGGGGAAAAAGGTGAGTAAAACACCTTTCCCTTTCCTTTATTTTAAATCCACCCAGTCATCTCCCAGCTCTGCTCTCTATAGCGCTGATTAGTGATGCGTGTCCAGAATGATCCATAATCTGGCTCACAGGATCACCGGAGGATGCGCGAGGGAGATTACAGCTCCCTCGCTGCCTCCCTCCCTCAGCACTCAATGAGATGACCATCCGCCTGCCTGATCACCTCAGCCCTGCGTAAGATGAGTGCTCACCTCCAATTTCAGGCAGCCGGTCACTTCAGGGGCTGAACAGGCTCACAAATCGCTCGAACAAATTTCATGGTCGCCATGGAGATCTGGCGTCTGGGATTTGTCGAGCCCTGGTATATTATATAGCTAGAAGAGGAAGAGACACAGTGAACATGCCACTTCTAGGAGCAACTTTAATGATTTAACTCACTTCTTCTGCAGAGTCGTACTAATAAAGTACAGGCTATTTTGTTTTTTGAAGCAGCAACTCTGATGAGTGTGAACCAACAATCAAGGACCTAAAAGCATGGTTGGAAAAATCTGTGTTTCTAAATCAGGATCTGGTGGGACATTACTAGCTGTAACAAGCACGTTAGATTCAGCAAGAATAAACAGAGGACTGTGTTTCAATAACTTACCTGATTTTCTGCTTGATGAGGCAAACCTGATTTCTTTTAAATTAATGCCAATCATTATTCCATTTCCTAAAGCACTGATGGTGAAATGTATGGCATGGGCGCCACCAGGCTGATTACATGTTTTGATACACCATGTTAGGGGTGACCTTTTACAGCTATGGCAAATTATGCTCAAACACTGTTTTGTGCTTTTGTTGTTTGGGTGTGTGGAGATAGGCAATGTACACCTTCTAATCTAGACACTTTAAAACAACGTGCCCTGTATGCCTTTTCGTTACACTTAGAGATCCTGTGGTTTCCAACCAGTCCATTCAAGATACATGTGCTAGTTTGCTTTTAAAACAATGTAAAGAATGGGAAATTTGACTTATCAATGTGTGTGAAATGGTTTTACGCCACTGCCTTGTAATATGGTAAGAAATGTACCATGTTTGCATTGTTTGACCTATGAGGGGATAGGCCAAACAATGCAGAGATTTCTGTAAAGGAGATGGCTCAGACAGTATACTACATATATATTCGACAACCTGAGTCTGAAATTGTGTTAGAGATGGCAGTGGAACAGATCTGTTGGAGCAGCAGAGCATTTAGCGCATTTGCATGTTCATATTGTTCCCATAAATAACTTTCAAGGGGTAAGATTAATATTTAATGTAATATTTTTAAAGGAACACTATAAGCACAAAGACAAATTCAGCTTAATGGAGTGGTTTTGGTGCTTAGGTCATGTCCCTGCAGTCTAACTCAATTCTCTGTCATTTGGAAGTTAACTACACAGTCCACCTACACACTTCCTGTAAAGAGAGTTCTAATTTGTAAACTAACTTTATAGCACAGTGTATTTAATCTAGAATTTATCATCTCATGCTCTGTTTTAAGGTCTGTAGACCCTACAGGAACTCCCTGTGTGTAATTAAAGTTCAATTAACAAAGCAGGAGATACAAACTTTGCAAGTAAACACACTGTGCTGACTGAAAATACATTTTTTTCATGTAGGCTGTGTGAGTCACAGCCGGGGGAGGTAGCGTTAAGGCTGCTTAAACAGAAATAAATGACCTATACACCAAAACTGCTAACTGCTAAAGTTGTTTTGGCTCTTAGAGTATCCGTTTAAATTAATTTCCCTAAATGATTCCCTGTGCAGTAGATACATTGTCATTAATTGTTTGACAAGAGTGTCTCTTAGCCAGAGAAATGGAAGAAAGAATGGGGTGACAGACATAGTCAGCATCACAGCAGAAACGGACCGTTACAAAAAAGTGTTGTAGGAGAGGAACGGGGTGGGCGTTACATCAGAATTCAGCTTGATGACAGCGGTATATAAACCTGTCATGACAGGATCACTTCAGTGAATTGTATAGTTGTTGTCAGCTTTCATTGTCCATTTAAATGCTGGCCAGCTCAAAGAAAAGAAAAGTTAGTATATCCAGCAGAACATGTAATATTTTTGGTTTTGTAACATTATCTTTGTCCAGTGTATAAAATAGTTTCAATAAGCATTTTACCGAATGGTGATGTTTTTTTTTTTTGGTGTGCATGGTGATTAAGATATACAAGTTTGTGGTGCCCCAACAGCAATCCTCAAGCATCTTTTCAAGCATAACATTAGGAGCAGTAGGATAAGGAGCACATTTTTATATAATAACAGATGCGTAATACGAACATTCAATCAGACTGCATGTACTGTATGGTTAATGGCCATTTAGCTGCAAGCAGTTACCGCCATATTTCCTAAGTTACTTAAACATTTAATGGCGGCTGGAGTAAGTAGTGTGGCTGGTCTAACCGATACTGCATCAAATAATAGAGCTGCTAAACTTTCATGTAACTAAGCGTGGAGTACAATAAAGCTCTGTAGGTTTGGTCTAGTTGTACATAACATAGTAGTGAATAACTCAGAAGGTTAATCTATGTAACTTGCGTGAGGATGAGTGAGGTTATACACAGAGATGCTTAGTAAATAATTATAAGGTACACCAGTGAAGCAAGGTTCGATATATGAATTAATAGTGTTGGCTTAGCGTATTGACTATGTAATACCTTTTCTCACTTGAGGGAGAACATGCTGTTGAGAACCTAGTTATATTTGTGTGCTGGCATTAAGTATATGCAAACAATACAGGCTAAGCTTATTAGTTATACCTTCATACTTGGCATTAAAATAATAAAATGAAAGCAAACTAAACAAACTCAACATGCTAATTCTCGAAAGTGAGGTTTAGTACGGGAGTCCAGCACAATATGAGTGTGGGTGATTATTATGTCGGTGATTTCACGCCACGCGGCGTCCAGGATCTCATTGTGCCCTCATCCGATTCCTAGCTTGGGGGGAGGCTGCAAAGCTCTCACTAGGTGATTCCCAACTGGTGGAGTTTTGCCGGTGCGGAGTGCTGTTTATGTGCTTTCACCACACTGCGACTTGGGCTGCCGCTGTTGGGAGTTGCCATCCTGAGATACTGTGGGAGTCAGTGCCCCGGCACCATGGGCCTTGTTCTGATTTCCCGCTGCAGCATGTCCCGTGCGCCCTAAACGGCCAGCACACCGGTAACTTCTTGATGTCTGCCTCATTTGTACAGAGTCTCGTAGAGCAGGCACATTGCATGAAAGCCTTGAAGATGCGGCAGCATCTTGTGAACAGGTATGGAGCTTTAGATCTTTCGGGTAGGCTGGTGTAGATGTTTGGTTGCCATTAGCGGTGTGCCCCCCTCTGCCTTCTGCTGCGGTGAGCGGGTTTGGTATTGGCTTAGAGGAGTGCATGGGAGTTTGGCCCGGAAGGCGGGCTGGTGCATGACGGGCTGCTGGATTGGCGACCTGGCTGTGGTCAGTTGACACGTTTGCTTAGGCTGTTGCTTAGCCTCCAGATTTGCCCAAAAGTTGGCGAAGTGATAGTCCAGTCAGGCTAAGAATAAGTCGATGTAGGCCTCGGCTGAGGTAACGCCTGCAGCCATCGCCATATTGCTCGCGTGGCGCTTTTCAACGCTAAGTACAGAAGGTATTGGTGTGTGTTCTCCTGGGACCGGGATGACCCTCGCCGGTCAAAAAGGGGGGGGGGGAGGGGGAGGTGCAGAAGTCCGCATGACTAGTCGTATTTAGCTCCATTCCTCTGTTGCCAGAAGTGCTTGTAGGCCGCACCGAGTGTCAGCGTGGCGGCACCAACTGCCCTCAATTTTGGTGTCAATCGATTTATCCTGATCTCTGCTGTGCTGTTTGCTGTATGAACGGCTGGCTGGCTTAATTTATGAGGGGTTTTGTCGTGTGTAGCCCAGGAGCTCATGAATCATGCTTCCTTTCAGCCCGCCAGTCAGGCCCCGGCCCCGAATGGTGATGTCTTGATTTCTTTTCCTCTACTGATGCTGTCGGAGAGATTTCCAGCACTGAAACTAGCTCACACCATGCTAGCAAGCCGCAGGCCGGAAGAGCAAAACTGCATTTCACTGCTTCATTGAGATGCTTATTTGTGCAGTATAAATGCATATTTTATTTACAAATTTGTGCTACACAAAGGTAGTAAGGAAGTATGATGAAAGAGCAGTGAAAATATGCCATCCTAACAGTAGATTTTGGGGACACCAGTGAACTATCCCCAACAATCATAGCACGACGCGTCATTAGATGCTCTAGCACAGGGGTAGCACAGGGGTGGTCAACCTGGTCCCTACCGCCCACTACTGGGCGGTTGGTGATTTCAGGTGGGCGGTGGAGAGTTCTGCAGAAAATGCCCAGTGGGCCTTGATGGCCGTGGACCAAGGCCGGCAGGGGAGATGCATTCATCTCCCCTGCCGGCCCATGAATTAGAGAGAGGGAAGGACCTGGGAGGCTCTCTGTTCCTCCCGCGAAAAGGCTGGTCAGAGCGTTGCCACGTGTTACCATGGCAATGCTCTGATACACTGCTGTTTTTGTTTTTTGCCAGCACAGGACCACCATGGCTTGCAGCATTATGTCCCCCCTCCCTAGTAAAAGGTAAGAAGAAGGGAGGGGTAGACATTAAGATACATTTTCACATCTCACACACCTACACACTTCAAAGACCCTATGCACCCTTCACACACAAACAAATACTACACTCCTCATACACCCTCTACTTCTCACACACACTGCCCCCTCACTCACACACTGCACCCTTCACACACAAACTACACACACTACACCCTTCACACACAGCACCTCACAGACACACATATAGAAAAAAGTAGAATAGAAAATAGAAAAAAAAGATACATTTAAAAAAACAAAAACAACTCCTTTCTAAACAAAATAAAAAATGTTTTTAAAAAATTGCACTTGCGCACTAAAATTAGTTACTGCAGCACTGGTGGGTGGTAAGTTTTACCATCAACAAAGATACAAAAGTGGGTCGTAGGTATTAAAAGGTTGACTACCCCTGCTCGAGTACTATGTTTGGAGAACTAGGACCCTGCAGGGAGCACTTAACACTAAAATGACTGGCAGGGAGCCTTGTATGTATTCACACCAGGCTGACTTGCCAGTAATATGGACGGATACAACTCCCTTTATGGGTGGGTCCACACGTTTTGGGTGGAGACAGTGACACAATCACATCACTAGCCCACCCCCTTTATTCCCCTCCCACTAGCCTCCTGATTCTTGGAAGGCTGATGCTGGGAGGTATGTGACTAGCAGGAAAAAGTGATGAGGCCTCTGTACAAATGGGGTTCTAGTCCTGTCTTGGCCAGTGGTTTTTGAAGGAACACTCCAGATATGGTCAAAACCTTATCTCAAGGAGGTCCTAGGCACCTGTCTCCTCTTTTTCCAGCGAAGCCCTCGGCTCAATAGGGAAGCCTCAGGCTTGACTATGGTAACAGGCTGGTTCAGCCTATTGCTAGGAACTGTGTCTTCCTTTAACATTTTTTTTTTTGTAAAACATTTTCATTGAAATTGTTTCCGATGAGAAGGACAATAAAGCGTTGCACAATAAATGACAACTGGTCGGGGGGTGGGGCCAGGCCGACTAGAAGCAGATAAGCATGACTCTGAGCCCGAGCCCCAAACAAAGGCCATATAATATAACTTACCCAAACATCGGACATCTGGGCACGCTGAAAGAGAGATACACCCCAGCATTAAAAAGACACCTGCAAAGGGCCAACAGCACGCTGGGAACACCAACACGAATAAATCCGGCCTACCTATCAGCATAAGCCTGACCTCAGACGGCGCAAGAGCATGATTTAGAGAGCGGTGACCCTCATCATGGAGTCACCTATCCTCGTGGGGGACCACGCCGGCTCGGGAACCCGCCCCCCAGTCGGTGGGGGTGATCCCGGCCCCATGGGGATGACACATGCGAGGCGGACATCTCCACTCGAGGACCATGCTGGTCCCCTACACTGGCAAGGGCAGTCAGGAAGAGGCCTGCCAGAATAACAGACCACAGAGACTGTGGCGGCTGACACGGTGGAGAGGGTGCACAGTTAAAGAGGAAGCACCCAGGACGAGATTGAAACCAGCTAGTGGAAGCCCAGAAGAAGAAGAGGATGCAGCACACATAGCAGGCTTGAGCGGGGCGGAGCACCAGATGGAGCCTCTGTGATGCTCCCACACCCGCAGGAGTAGTGAGTACCCCGGCCCCTAGGTCCCTGGAGAGCCATGCCCCTGCTGCTGTGAGCCCTGCGGGGCAGGGATGTGCTGCCCTTCCGGCAGACCGGTGGCTGTGTAGGTCGCGCACCGGCCCCAAGTGCAAGGCCGGCACCGGGAGAGATATGGGAGTACTTGCTGCAGAGGGAACAGAGCGGTGCTGGGGAGGTGCAGGGGGCTGGCGGGCAGCGGAGTTTGTGGTGGGGTCTGGTTGAAAGCCCCGAGTGCCCACGGTGCCACGATGGACCCAGCCGGTGGGCTGGGGCATTGTAGAGGTGACGGAAGGAGGCTCGGCATATGCTTTTTATGTAACTGCTTCGTTGACATTTATTTAAGTGACTTCTACACATCAGCTTCAGAATGGATATGCTATCTATGTTGTAGTGCCCCCACGGGCAAAAGCTTGATGCCATTCATTATTGCCTACTGCTACTTGAATAGCCAGACTGCTGTAATATATGATGTATATTAATATGCTTATATCTTAACAGAGAAATGACCATGCTCATCGAGTCACATATCTTGCGTTCACTCTGACACTCAAGGAACAGGTCCACACGTAGGCACCATAGTTTATTTGAAATGTTACAAAGACTCCCTGGGCCAAAGTTTACCGTTAATTGACTGGACGCACATTTTACATGTAGCTACTCGTCATTATTAATGCATTCACAACTGTTAGCCTAAGGATTTTCATAAACGCCTAGATCATTTATCGTGCGCTCTCAGAGCATGCCGCGCACACTAGGAATGGGCTCAAGCACACTGTAGGCCTAAATTGCTTCCATACTAGTCACAGCCTTAAGATACTTAGCCTGATATAGAAAATAAATTTCCGCCCTCACGATCTTAAACCCTACGTTTTTAGATGTTATGTTTGCTTTATGGGCGATATATAGATTATTAGACAAGTGTGCCTTCTCAGCAGGTCAACAGCATTAAATATTAGACCACATGTCCGTTTGTTTAAAAGCAACCAGAAAAATGCTGGAGCGCTCAATAGGGTAACAGCCAATAATGCATAATTTTTGTTATTCGCTCCCTTTATTATACTAGCTTAATACGACATGCCTATGATTGTGATGTTTCGTTTCGTAAAGCTTATGTATACCTAATATTTGTGAATACTTACATAGTTACATAGCTGAAAAGAGACTTGCGTCCATCAAGTTCAGCCTACCACACATTTGTTTTTTGCTGTTGATCCAAAAGAAGGCAAAAAACTCCAGTTTGAAGCACAATTTTGCAACAAGCTAGGAAAAAAATTCCTTCTTGACCCCAGAATGGCAGTCAGATTTATCCTTGGATCAAGCAGTTATTACCCTATATTGAAAGATTATATCCTTGAATATTCTGTTCTTGCAAGTATGCATCTAGTAGCCGTTTGAACATCTGTATGGCCTCTGATAAAACCACTTCTTCAGGCAGAGAATTCCACATCCTTATTGTTCTTACAGTAAAAAAACCTTTCCTTTGCCTTAGATGAAATCTTCTTTATTCCAGTCTAAACGCATGGCCTCGTGTCCTATGTAAAGTCAGGTTTGTGAATAGATTTCCACACAATGGTTTGTATTGGCCCCGAATATATTTGTATAATGTTATCATATCCCCTCTCAGGCGACGTTTTTCTAAACTAAATAGGTTTAAATTTGTTAACCTTTCTTCATAGCCGATATGTTCCATTCCTTTTATTAATTTTGTAGCCCGCCTCTGCACTTTTTCTAGTGCCATAATATCCTTCTTTAGAACAGGTGCCCAAAATTGCACAGCATATTCAATATGGGGTCTTACCAGTGATTTATAAAGAGGCAAAATGATATTCTTGTCCCGAGAATGAATGCCCTTTTTCATGCATGACAATACCTTACTGGCCTTGGCCACTGCTGATTGACATTGCACATTGTTGCATAGTTTGTTGTCTATAACAATCCCCAAGTCCTTTTCTTGTGTTGTTATGCCTAATTCGCTTCCATTAAGGGTATACGTTGCTTGTGTATTCTTTACGCCGAAGTGCATAACTTTACATTTTTCAACATTAAATTTCATCTGTCATTTGAGTGCCCAGTCCCCCAGTCTATCTAAATCCCTCTGCAGCAAAGTAATATCTTGCTCACATTGTATTGTTTTACAAAGTTTGGTGTCATCTGCAAACACTGAAACATGACTTTCAATGCAGTCTTCAAGATCATTTATAAACATGTTAAACAGAAGGGGTCCCAGAACAGACCCTTGAGGGACACCACTTGCCGCCTCTGTCCAGCTTGAAAATTTACCATTAATGACAACTCTTTGTACTCTGTTTTTAAGCCACTTGCTTACATTAATCCATACGCCTCTGCGCAGGCAACCACATGATATACAGATAAAACCACAATATGAATGCCTCATGCCAATTGTAACCTCAATACGCACGCCTCTGTGTAGGCGACTAACTGCATTAATTGTGAACACTTGAAACCCGTGTTTATTTTGTGATTCAATAAAAATATTTGAAACAATAAATGACAACTGATTTCCAGACTAATAATGCAAAACTATAGCATCGACGAAGATTTTCATTGCAAGGGGGTGAGGGAGCAGATGGAAAAGGGGACGGGAGAGAAACATGTACAGGAGACAGATAGCTAGTAAACATCCACTATTACAACCATACACTAAAATAGCAGATACAATAGATACAATTGTTTAGTCCTTTCCTAGCGGTTAATATCAACTGTTCTAGATAAAATGATAAAGAGTATAGTCTAGTAGGCAAAGAACAAATGTAAGATGAGAAACATTTAATAAATATGTATCCAGCAAATAATACTTAAACATATGATGATATCTTATACATACAATATATATCCGGTTTTGATACAGATTATTAGAGGTTAACAGGCATCCTCGCACAGGCAAAACAGTAGACTGGAACATTGTGTACTCCTTCACCTGACATCTTAATGTCTCACATCAATGTCCTATTCTCTGGGGAGATGTCCAGGAAACCCACCACAGTGGGTAAATGCCATTGGAGGTAGTCTATATGAGCAGAATTGTACCAAGCGTCCAGAGAACTCTACTCAACGTCTGCCAGTAATAGATTATATAGTAATAGAATTTTAAGCGCATAACACACTTTTCTAATGATAACCAATAACCTAATATATTATGAAATGTTTGTGTAGGAGCAAAATGTATAACACAAACAACCCACCCACTTGATTTCTACAAGAAATGTTAACTAATAATTTCTTGTTAGTCAATTACAGTAGCTAAAGAACAAATAAGCACTGCAAAGAAACATTAACTTGCAAAATCTATAACATAACAAATTTATATTTGTGTACCTGAAATGTCTATTTAGATTTACCATCAAAAACAGGCACACTGCAATGTCTATATCACCTATTAGCATCATAACCATAAACGTGATATAAACGTACCATTTTACATTTTTTGTTGGCCATATCATAATTGGCTGGTTGAGCTCAACATCTTGAGATTAACATTCTCTGACTTTGGCTGTGTTAACAGCAGAAAATACCTTAATGACATATGGATTGCGGTCTCTTTGATAACTGTTGTGCAATATCATACAAAAGTCAGAAATCATTTTTGAGGGGTTACCAATGCAGGATTGTAATGTGGGCCAAGGGCTTAATATTTCAAGTTTTAGACTACTAGTCAGGTTTTATAGTTAAGTCAAGTTTGTAGGGTCCATGTAGCACTCACCAGAGGTGAATTTCTATTTGCCACGGCTACATTTTCACTCACCTATAACTATTGGTGAGTGGGAATTTTGAGCCCTGTTTAGGCCATGGTCCATTACATTATGCCTTACTTTACTACAACTGAAATACCTATCATAGGAACTTAAATTCAATTCTGTTATTTATAAAAAGGTGAAACGATCATGAGAGCAAACAAATACTTAGTTTTCTGTGTATAGCGTGGCTTCCAATGTTAATTTTGGGCGCCAAATTGCAATTTAGTTTTAGTCATAGTCTTTTGACTAAAAAGCCATTTTAGTTTAAGTCGTATTTTAGTCATTTGTCGACTAATATTTGACTAAAATTGTTAGTAGACAAAATTAACACTGGTGGGTTCTTATAGGTTATATCCACAGATGTTTTAGAAATACAACTTCCATTTGACATTCCAGTATGCTTTTGCTAATAATAGAAAGCATCATGGGAGTTTTAGATGAAAGCACGAGGTATAAGGTGGTGGAAGGATTGATATGTAATAAAGTGTTAAAAAAATATGAAAACTGGTCATTTTGTTAATGCAGTTGCAAAAACCTGGGTGCATTTTTCCACCCTTGTATTTTGGAAATAAAAAATATGCATATGAAAAGTATTTCATTATAAACATTTTAAATAAAAACAACCTAAATACATTTTCTTGCAGGCTTAAAATAGGATCCAGATTCATTGTGCCAGATCCCTACCCCAAACAAAGAAATGACAGACATCCCAGTAAATTCTGTAACATTTCAAGGATCTAAACTCTGACATAAAGTTATGGCACAGTATTTTTTTGCTTTCAAAAAGTTATGTATTAATAATCACAATCAAAAGTGACCATTTGTCTGAAGCAATGTAAGATGTATGTTTGTAGTTTTACGTTTTTCAGCTTACAAATGTGTTTTTGAAATTGACCCTGAACAATATTGAAAGGCAATATAGGGTCTGGAACAGTGGAGATGCAAATGATCTAATAGATGAGTCTGTCACATGCATTCATTAATGTATGTCTCTCTATTCAAGAAGGGATCATAATCAAGGCTCGGAAATGACAGACCTGTGTGCTTCTTAAAGGACCACTCTAGGCACCCAGACCACTTCAGCTTAATGAAGTGGTCAAGGTGCCAGGTCCAGCTAGGGTTAACCCATTTTTTCATAAACATAGCAGTTTCAGAGAAACTGCTATGTTTATGAATGGGTTAAGCCTTCCCCCTAATCCTCTAGTGGCTGTCTCATTGACAGCCATTAGAGGCGCTTGCGTGCTTCTCACTGTGATTTTCACAGTGAGAGCACGCCAACATCCATTGGAAAGCATTATGCATGCTTTCCTATGTGACCGGCTGAATGCGCGCGCAGCTCTTGCCGCGTGTGCGCATTCAGCCGACGGGGAGGAGAAGAGGAGGATCAGAGGAGGAGAGCTCTCCGCCCAGCGCTGGAAAAAGGTAAGTTTAAACCCCTTTCCAGAGCCAGGCGGGAGAGGGTCCCTGAGGGTGGGGCACCCTCAGGGCACTATAGTGCCAGGAAAACGAGTATGTTTTCCTGGCACTATAGTGGTCCTTTAATCTTATACGGGGTTACCGAAATATGTGAAAGGTCGCTGAGAGATAATATTCAAGAATGCATTGTAAATGTTATTTGTAGGAACCAACATGAAGGACAAATATTATTGTGACGATAGTAGCCTCGTCACTGGTTCTTGGAGGAGCCTGTTTGCCAGCCTCCAGTACTGTGACTATGGCCCCTTTGGGTTAAAGACTGTTTGTGCCTGTTTGGACTTAGACAGGAACCATTCAAAGTTTCGAAGTGGCACTTCGAACTCCCGAACTCATTCAAAGCACCATTCGAATACGTGACCGTGGCGGCCATCTTGTTTAGTCGAACGCATCCAGCGGTGTTTGGTCATTGAGTGCAGTGCTTATGGTGCTCGCAAGTACTAGGAAGCAGCGATTGACGGAGGAACCCACTCGGGGTGCCAGGCGGTCTATCACACTTATACTTACAAATTGTGATTGTTTTAGAACCACATTTTATGATGTACTTTGTGGAAGTATAGATCGGGGTGTTGCTGCAGATGTGATCTAGGATATTTCTAAGGCATTTGACAACGTTATTCACCAAAGTGAGAATTATGGGGGATTGAAAGTGAATGCAGACAGAATTTCAAATTTGGAATTTACTTGGAATTCCCCCAATTCTCACTTTAGTTGATAGCCCTGTTCTTGGATTCAACAGAGGTTTAAAGAAAGAGTGTGGAGAGTAATAAGTAATAAAAAATATTCAAATTGGACAAACGTAATAAGTAGAATCCCTTAATGCTCAAGTCTCTGCCACATAGGAGTTAAAGCACTCGTTTCGGTTCATGCCACCATAACTACACTTCCTCTGGCTGTGACTCACAATCTCCATGAAAAAAAAAAAAATCAGAGGTTAACTTACTTTAGTTTTTATCTCCTGCTCTGTAAATTGAACTTTAATCTCACACAGGAGGTTCCTGCAGGGTCTAGTTTACTATTAACTGTACAGGAGATAAGAACTTCTAGATTAAATCTCTTTTCAGGAGGTGTTTATGAAGGCTGTGAGGTCACATGTAGGAAGGTGTGATTAGGACTGCATAAAAATAAATAAATCTATCTATTGAAGTAGTTCCCAACCTTTTTTGACTTGAGTACCCCTTGGTAGACCATTTCCATAAATTGTGCCCCCATTATTTCCAATATATATGTTTTTCTCTGCCCAATTTCCCATTTTCTCTGCCTGCTCTTCTTCTGACAGGTGTGGGAGTGTAACAGTGTGAGGGCAGTGTGTGGGAGGGTGACGTTGTGGGAGGGAGGCAGTGTGTGTGGAAAGGTGACATTGTGAGGAGGCAGTGTGTGGGAGAAGGATAGTGTGGGAGGGCATGTGACAGTGTGGGGGAGGTGGCGACAGAGCATGGGGGAAGTGTGTGGGGAGGTTGTCAGTGTGGGGGAGTGGGGTGACAGTGTGTGGAAAGGGGATTGTAGGGGGATGGTATGTAGGGAGGGCAGTTGGGGGGACAGTGTGTGGGGAGGAGGGCAGTGTGGAAGGAGAATAGGTGACAGTGTGTGGGGGAAGTTTTTCCGGAGGGTGACAGTGTGGGGAGGACAGGTGACAGTATGTGGGGAGGTTTACGGTGTGTGGAGATGTTGGGGAGGTTTATGACAGAGTGAGGAGGTGACTATGTGGAAGCGCGTGACATTGTGGAAGGAGGACAGGTGAAATTGGAGGGGGCAGTGTGTGGGTAGGGTGACAGTGTGGGGGTAACAGTGTGAGGAGGGCAGAGGGCAGTGTGGGAGAGGGCAGGTGCCAGTGTGTGAAGGGGGGTATGACAGTGTGTGGGAAGGGGGGTGACACTGTGAGGTGGAGGGGACTGACATTGTGTGGAGGATGTGTGACAGTTTGGGAAGACGGTGGCAGTGTGGGGGTAGCGTGTGGGAAGAGGACAGGTGTCAGAGGGAGGCAGTGGGGAGGGGGCAATGACAGTGTGGGAGGATGACAATAGGGAGGAGGGCAATGACAGGGTGGTAGGGGGACAGTGGGGAGAGTAACATTGGAGACGGAGGCAGTATCAGTGTGGGAGGGAGACAGTGGTGAGGGGGCAATGGCAGTGTGTAAGCATTACAGTGAGGAAGGAGAAGAGGTAGTGTGGGAGGGAGGGAGGCAGGCAGTGTCAGTGTGAGAGGGGGGCAATGGCAGTGTGGGAGAGTGACAGTAGGGAGGGGGGCAATGGCAGTGTTGGAGAGTGACAGTGGGGAGGAGGCAGTGGCAGTGTGGGAGATGGGCAATGGCAGCATGGGAGAGTGACAGTAGGGAGGGGGCAGTGTGGAAGGGAGACAGGGTGAGTGTGGGGGGGCAGTGGCAGTGTGGGAGGATGACAGTGGGGAGGGGGGTTGTGGCAGTGTGACAGTATGGAAGGGTCACAGATATACACATTCAGACACTCACACATACATACATATTCAGATACTCACACATACATATTCAGACACTCATACATATTCAGACTCACACAGACATACAGATTCAGACACTCACACATAATATACATACATACACACAGATTCAGACACTCAGACATACAGATTCAGACACTCACACATAACATACCTACACATTCACACACTCACACATACATACAGATGCAGACACTAATACATACATACAGATTCAGACACTCACACATAACATACATACAGATTCAGACACTCTCACACATTCATATTCAGACACTAACACATGCATACATACAGATTCAGACACTCACACATAACATACAGATTCAGACACTCACACATAACATACAGATTCAGACACTCACAGACTTACAGATTCAGACACTAACACATGCATACATACAGATTCAGACACTCACACATACATACATATTCAGACACTCACATAACATACATACACATTCAGACACTCACATAACATACATACACATTCAGACACTCACACATGCATACATACAGATTCAGACACTAACACATGCATACATACAGATTCAGACACTAACACATGCATACATACAGATTCAGATACTCATACATACATTCAGATTCAGACACTCACACAGACATACAGATTCATTGCAGACACTCACACATACATACAGATTCATTGCAGACACTCACACATACATACAGATTCAGACACTCATACATACATACATACATACAGGTTAAGATTTTAGCCAAAAGTGTTTAAATATAATCACATAGGATATATATAAAAACTAGGGTGCCACAATCACAGTGGTGTGACAATAATTACCACTCAGATGATGAATCCATATATAGGAGGAAAAAAATATATATATAATCATAGTATAGTAATTTTTTAACCACAAATAATTTTATAAAATAGTTCAAATCACACTCACAAAAAAACATGGCACAATTAGAAAAACTCCTAAATTGTGCAAAAGATCTTATAAGCCACTAGCTGGGCTAAGTTCCCTTGTGTAGCCTATGGTATGTCTTGGCATCAATAGTCTCACTTCCTCAAATTTCCAGTTAATGAGGGTCCATAAAAGAGTTCCTTTGATGGAGGTAAAGGCTGTGCAAATCCTTTCTGGGGAACAGCTTACACGGTTCTTGCTCGACGCGTTTCGTCTTTGTGGACTTTTTCAATAGTCTAGTGGTCTTCTCTATTCCATTAGTTTATAGCCTTAAATTTTGCACGCTTTTCCGGTATGCATGCGCGAGCGATATGAAATGCATGTAATTGCGCCCGACCATCTCACCGTGCACGTGCAACCAACCTGAAACGCAGATAAACTTTATTGATACTGTTCGTGGACAATAGCAACGTATAAGTCGAACAAAGTATATGTTCAGGACTTACTTTGTCCGTGATTTTGAATGAACAGAAGAACATATAGTGTGTGAATACCACTTACAATGTGAAAATAAAATAAAAATTATATTGATACATGGTCAGAATACAAACTATAATAATATATATTCAGACATGATCTATTTTGGAATGATATACCTGAAGTCACATAAGTTAAAGCCATATAACCTATAACCGATATAATTAAAAAGGTCATACTGAGGAATTAAAGTAGTCCTATACAGATTCAGACACTAGCACATGCATACATACAGATTCAGACACTCACACATACATACATACATACATACAGATTCAGACACTGAACTGTACCCCTGGGGGTACGCGTACCACAGGTTGGGAACCGCTGATCTATTGAATGGCAGAGGATTGAACAGTGATCTATACATTAAAACTGATTTGTTAAGCTAAAGTTGTGATTATGGTATTCCTTTAAAGTAATACAGCCTAAATACATTATTAAGGAATGGGCAGTCAGGTTGCAGATAGGATTAAATACAAACAAATACAAAGTTATGCAGTTTGTAATGATGAATATGCAATCACCTTATCACGGAATCCGGGAGCTAGAGATAATTGTAAATAAGGACTTGGGAATTGTTAAAAACAAGAGACTATGATAAAATGTGCAATTTCAGTCATCAAGGTACTGTAGATACATAAAAAAGGTTAAAAAAATAAATTTAAAAAAAAGTGAAGAGAAAATTATAATTTAGCCTTGAATATATAGTGAAACTTTGGCCACTTTTATAGAGCTGAGAAAAGTGTAGGGGTAGGCTACAAAACGAAGCCCATGGAGAAAGCGCAGCTTAGGGAATAGGGCCTTGACAGGGCTAGTAGGCGGGTTAGGAGGTGGGAGCAGTAAGGGATTGGTGGAGCAGTGCTTGGGGCTTGGCTGATATAAATGGTCAGCCATTTTGTGATCCCTCACTCTAATTTTGCAGGGGGTCTTTGGGGTTGTCCACCAGGGGGAGCACGTCAGGCCTCTCGCGACAGGGGGGGTGCAGCCAGGAGAGAGCGAAGTCGAGTGGCGGGGTCCCCTGGGGGGTCTACTGGTACGGCAGATTATTCGGGTGTGGAATGATACAGAATGATGTTAGCTCCCGACAGCGTCTCCAGCTTGTAATCCACGAGATGCTGGTGACGGTGATGTGAGGCGGGCACGGCGCCAGACGCGACGGCTTCTGCGGGTGGCCAGGGCTGCAGGTAGCGTGGAGTGAATGGCAAGGGAACAGGTGGGCCGCCAGGGTCGCACCTTGGTAGCTATGGCCGGCTGCGGCGAGCAGGCGGACCACAGGGGTTGCGCCTTGCATGGAACGAGAGATGGGCCGTGAGGTCATGCAGTAGTAGGTCCCCGAGACCCAGTTGGGTCAGATAGTGGGGCATTTTGAGGACGCCCCCTTCTCCAACCTACGGGTGTCACCCTTGGGGGTGGTCCCCAAGAAAGAGGTGGGGAAGTACCACCTCATCCATCACCTATCTTACCCCAAAGGGGCATCCGTCAATGATGACATTACCACGCATCATTCGACCAAGCGGTCGAGTTGGTTAAAGGGGCCGGGGGGCATATTGAGGCAGCGTTCCGGTTGTTACCCGTGCACCCAGTGAATCATCACCTGCTGGGTTGCTTCTTTGAAGGGCGGTTCTTTGGGTTGCTCCATTTCTTGCTCGTACTTCGAGAAGTTTAGCTCGTTCCTGGAATGGGTGGTGAAATGGGAATCTGGTAGCCGGGCAGTGGTACACTACCTGGACGAGTTCTTGTGTGTGGGCCTGGCTGAGTCCCCAACTTGTTGCTACTTGCTGAGGACAATCGAGTGGGTGGCCAGCACGTTTGGGGTGCTGCTGGCAGCGGACAAGACAGAGGGCCACCTGTTTAAGTTTCCTCGGGCTGGAAATCGACTACCAGCTAGGGGAATGCCGTCTTCCCTTGGCGAAACTCGTGGGGCTGTGGGAGGTGGTAGCGGCAGTTGCGGAAGGTCACGTTGAAGGATCTGCAATTGCTTATTGGCAAGCTCAACTTCGCGTGTCATGTCGTTCCCATGGGGCAGATATTCAGACGGAGCCTTGCCAGGGCTATGGCTGGGGTGCGGATGCCGCACCACTTTGTGTGGGTGTCCTCGTCATGAGGGCAGACCTGGGGGTTTGGGACACATTCCTGGAGCATTTCAGTGGCATGGTATTCTTCAGGCGGGAGGCAGTGTCAGCTGCCAAACTGGAGCTGTACACGGATGCCTCGGGTAGCGTGGGATTTGGGGCGTACTTTGGCGGGTGGTGGTGCACGGCGCCCTGGCCAGCTGCTTGGCTGGGGAGCCCACTGGTACGGAACTTGGCCTTTCTGGAACTGTTCTCGTTGGTGGCCGCCTTGTTGCTTTGGGGTGCACTCCTGAGCGACAGAAAGGTGGTCTTCTAAACGGATAATATGGCAGTGGTGCATGCAGTTTATAATATGTCGGCCGCCTCGGTGCCAGTGGTGCAGCTGCTGCGGAAGTTTGTATTACCCTGCATGTCCCTCAATGTGGTATTTGAACGCAGTGGCTGATGCTCTTTCTCGTTTGCAGTTGTCCCGATTCCCGAGAAGACTGGCCGGGGCAGATGTGGCGGCTCGGGACGTCCTGCTTGGGGGGCTGCTGAGGGCATTGATGGCCCCGGGTACCTGGATGGCATATTGTAAGGTTTGGGATGCATGGGAACGGTCGCTGGAGGGTTTGGATAGAGTCGTGGCAGGTGGTGCTGAGCTGGATGCGTTGCTTTGGGAAACATTCCGACTGCTTAGCAGGGGGTCCTCCACGGCAGTAGTGGATAGGCACAGGGCTGCGCTGGCATTCTGGTTTAAATTGCGCGAGTGGGTAGACTTCACTAAGCACTTTGTGATAAGGCAAGCGCTCAAAGGTTTACGGAAAGACAACATGAACCGGGATGCCAGGAGGCCGGTTTCCATCGCGCTCCTGGAAAAGTTGGTGAGTTCACTCGGTGACATCTGTTTCAACGCATATGAAACAGGGTTATTCACAATGGCCTTTTTGTTGGCCTACTTTGGCGCTTTCCGGATAGGAGAGCTGGTCAGTGCTAACAGGGCGTGCCAAGGGGGAATATTGCTCTTGGATGTTCGGTTGGAGCTCGCTTGGGTGGAGATCTACCTTGCCCGCTCTAAAACTGATGTCAAAGGAAAGGGTGTCGAAGTAGTGCTGCATGCGTTTCCGGGATCCCCATTGTGTCTGGTAGCTAGTACATCTTGATATTTGTCCCAGTGGCCGAAGAATGGCGGTTCGTTTTATTACACATGGATGGTTCCTCACTCTCCTGTTTCCAGTTCCTCAGGGTCTTTCGGATAGGGCTTAGCAGGCTGGCCTCTGGCCGAGCCAGTTCGGGACACACTCGCTCAGGATAGGGTCCGCGATGGTGGCTACATGGTTGGGACTGGGGGATGAGCTTGTTAAAAAGATCGGTAGGTGGGAATCGGTCCGGTTCCGGTCTTACGATGGCATTGACAAACTGATGTGAGGGTTGGCTTGGGGGGGTGCGGCTTGGGGGGGTGCAGCTGACATGTTTCTCTTGTTCCCGTAGATCAAGTCGCTTGGATCGTGGGCCATTCCTTCATATTCTGGGCCAAAAGGAGAGCTGCAGCTCATTCTCGGGGTCAGCAGCTGGGCTTCCCTGAGAACCGGATGAGGTTGCTCTGGTTTGGCTACAGGTGGCAGGAGGTTTGCAGTGAGGTGTATAGGATGGTGGCGGGTGGTAGAAGACCAGATCTGCTGGTCTTACACGCAGGTGGCAATGACCTCAGGCTTATCCCGCTGCGTCTCTTGGTTAAGCGGATGAAGCAGGAATGAATTAGATTAGGGCGAGGGTCCCTGGGGTACATCTGGTCTGGTCGGAAATGGTTCCCCGCCTCCTTTGGCGGCATGCTCGGGACAGCGACCAACAGCTGCCGGGCTAAGGTGAACAGGTTGATGGCTAACTTTATCAGGAAGGTGGTGGTCCGGCACAGGGAGCTGGAGGAGAGGTTAGCGGGCTATTTCTCCTCCGATGGCGTCCATCTCTGGGATGTAGGGTGGGACCTTTTTAATTTAGGGTTGCAGGAAGGCTTGGCCAAGGCGTTATTTCTGCGGGGTGGCGGAGCTCAGACGGCTTAAGGTGTCAAGGTCTGAGCTTGTGGCGGGGTGGGGTAAGGAACATTAAGGATAATGGAGCTTAGTTAAGAGAGGAATAAGGGGAGTTAGTTGATTGGTTAAAAGGGTACACTGTTTGTACATGTTTTGGTAGGTTTTGAGTCCGTTGGTGGCTCAGAACCTTGGTGGTGTTTCGAGTCTATTGGTGGCTCAGAACATCGGTGGTGTAGGGGTATCTGGGTATACACCTACCAGGTGAAATTGATCAATGTTGGTACGTTACATGTTATATTATATGATTGTTATATATTGGAATGTATTATGTGGTGGGTCATTGCCTTGATGTAAATATGGGAAAGATGATACGAGGTTGGGGGTGTGGGAGGTAACGACCCTTATATATATAATTGTAAATCATAACTATTATCATTATTATCTTTATTATCATTAAAGCTGTTGACAATTTGACCCATACCTCTAAGTGTCCGTGTCTTATTGGGTGGGTTGGGGTTAAGTCAGATATCCTTCCCCCTGCCCAAATTGCGACTATGCACCTGTCATGAATAAGGTAATAAAAGGTGTTAATTGTGTATGATATTGTCTCAGAGGGGATATGATACAATGTACTAATGTATTCAGTGACCAGCACAAACAGATTCATCAGAAGTTCGCAGATCTATCTTTTTAAAGAAAATAATGTGGGATAACAAATAGTTGATCCAAGGAGACATCTGACTGACATTTTAAGCACAGGAAGGATTTTCTGGAATCTCTTTTATGTGATTGTGCAACTACACGTTATAGTGTGTAAAAAAAATTACTAACCCATTGTACAAATCTACTCATCAGCAATTCATCTTTTTGCAATTCCAGGAATTAACTCAAGAGTCAGCATCTTTTCTTGATAAACGTTTCAGCAGCTGGATTGTGGAAAGTCAAGCAGATTATGCTGGTAAGAGCAATGACTTCCACCCATATAGTATTTATATTGGTGAGTATACAAATCTATTTTACTATGTTTTTGAGACAGGCCTAAGATGCCAATCACTTCCGAGCACAGATTCACAAGAGGAGGCTGAACTCACCTATGTCGTACCACATCCACTGCTTCAGCTCAGCATATCTTCCTCTAGTAGTGAGTACCAGAATTTATTCACTGCCTACAGGTCTGTCATCTAGAACCTAACTGGGGCTTATTACTTTGCAGAGAGATTACATAGCAACATAATATAAGATTTTTCTTTCCCTAAAGGTTAGGGTAAGGTCATTATTATTAGATAGCAAGGTATTATTATATATGATGTATTGATTTATATGGTGTTTCTAATACTTAGCAACAAGGCCCAAAATGTATTCCAATTGAAGGTGCTAAACACATATTATGCATTTACCACATTACAACATATTTATACTGTAAAACAATGAAAAGTATTAGTACCCTTGATTGCAGTGCTTTTTTCCATCTTAGCCTTGCAAAATACCACCATCATTGTTTTTACTGTATTTATCAAAAAATGTATGACACATTAGAAGGGAGTCACAACTATCGCTCTCCTATATCAAATTAAGTTCAATCCATATGTTTTCAAAAGATTTTTAACCTGGAGTTTGAAATGGTATTGTAGAAAAGGAGATTTTTACACAACGAAAAATTGTACTTAATGCAGGACAAGTATGTTATATCCTAAGTTACCACTAGAGGCAGCACAAAAGCAAAGACTTGTTCTAGCTCATTCTGGATATAACACTCTTTACACTACATCAGGGGTAGGCAACCTACGGCACTAGTGCCATGCACGGCACTCAAGGTGTCTTTGCACGGCACTCAGGGCTGCTAGAGCCAAACAGACTCTGGCCTATCAGGAGTCCCAGATAAACTTCAGATATCTGCTAATGCAAAAAGGTGGTGAAGGGAAATCCTTAATTTAAGCATTGCAGCACGTAGAGGAAGTTATCTCAGATCACATCATTCCAGCACTTGTGAATGGGAATCCACACTGGAGTAGAGCAGCCCGCAACTGCTGTTGCAGCTCCTGTCCTTGAGCTGTACCTGGCAGTCCTGGTCCCCACTGGAACCCAGGGAAGCCACCCACACTGCTAAATATACACAGAGCTGCAGAATAACCCTCCCCTCATACAAATAATACAAACAGCCCACACACAAACACAACATACAATCCGCACAAACTTAACACCACTGACAATCCACATACATGCACACAACCCCACATGCAGCCTCTCACATGCAATGCCCCAAACAGCCCCACAATACCATAAACTACTCATAAACATATACAATGATACAAAGCAACTACAGTATACGTAACAAGCAGAATAGAGCAACATACACACCTCAATTTAAAGAATTAGGACCGGCACACTACAGGACATCACAATCCTATTTCGGCACAGTGCTGCTAAAAGGTTGCCTATCCCTGCACTACATAGTTGACAACCAGCAGAGGCCAGAGAATGATAAATAAGGACAAGCATATCAAAAATAAAAAAAATAAATGATCAAATCCTACAAATATGAAATTATGGCCTACAAATACCAGAATATTTTGAATGCAATAGATGGTCAGAGAAGGGAATTGTGGTTCAGCAACATCGGGGGGGTCCAGAGATGTCTGGTGTGGGATAAGGGTAAGGGGGCAATCTACACCACAGCTTAGAACCAAGAAAGTAAATCAAAATTGTAACGGATCGACGGGCACCTTGACTGGGTACCTCCGTTGAAGGATGCTCCTAGCGCTTCCTGAGGACTCCAAGCACTGCAGCAGACACCATAACCACCATAGACTCCTCCAAGAGCTAAGTAGTGATTTAGCAAGGGAGTATGACAAGCATAGCAATCCCTGTAGCAGATTCCCCCAATAAGAGACGGCACTCCAAATGAGGGTGAAGTAGAACTTAACTGAGGTTTAATTTCACATTCCTTGCTTTTATGCAATGCTCCGATGCAAGGGAGACACCCAAAATAATTAGTACATTCACCAATCGGATACATGTTCCCTCCCACACATCTCCTCCCTTCTGCCTGTGATACACTTATCTCAACACAATAGACTAACTTAATTATCACAGGCAGAGAAATACAGTTTTTAGCAAATTCCATACAGGGGTTAAAAAGTTAGCTGGAGGTCCCTTTTTGACCGACCGCAAGCACATTTTTATGCCCAAAACAGTTCCATAGATTTGGGCTGTGCAGTCGGTCTATCTCAGGATAAAAATGGGACTTAGTCTCTGCGGTTGTAAAATCATTGTGGGAGAAGGTAAGTCTCAGCGGTGTTCGCGGAACTGTGTAGCCGATTTCAGTTCCATGAATTTGGCTACACACACCGCTGACCGCATTGAATAAAAAGAGATGGCCGCCACTACGTGTTTGTTTGCGCGAACGGCGACCCCCCAGCGTTTGGCAATTTACCTACAGCAGGCTCCCAGCCTGGGAAGTAAATTGCCTGCACACTTCCAGCTCTGGGTGGTCCGCCTGTGCAGTGAATGGCTCAGTAAGCCCCAATTACCGAACCATAAGGAAAAAAGCCATTTAAAAGTTATTTCCAAAGTCTGGGGACATTGGGGACACCATCTCAAAGGGGCAGTGTCCCAAACAAGTCTGGGGACACTGGGGACACAGTTTTAAAGGGGCCTTCTCCCAAATAGGTCTGGGGACACAGATTTAAAGGGGCATTGTCCCAAATTTTCGCCATGCCCCAAAATGGTTCTTAAACGGCTAGCAGCACCAAACTAATCCAATATGCCCAAATATTGTACTTAAAGGGCCACATCTTCCAGGGACCATAATCACTGGGTAGGAGGCGGGCCAGCAGCCCCCTCCAAGAATACATGGCAAACTCCGTTAGAGGGGAGAGTTTGCTACAAAAATATTTCATAAACTTGTACATTTATTTGAGACCAATGTAATACATTGATAAATGGAATGATTTACCGTAATAATAAAAAACTTTTGCATGACTGTATGAATTACATGATTGAATTTTAGCATTTGCTGAATTGCTTGCATTCACCCCTATCATACACAAGGCAGTTCTTGTTCAGGTGTTTATTTACCTCACCAACTATTGTAACTCTCTCCCTATTGCCCTTCATAATGCCCAAACTGACCCTTTACAGCAAGCATGTGGCCCACAATGAATATATTTGCGGCCCGCCTGCCCTGGGACCACTGTGTGCTGTGCCTGCGACCAGCCGCAAGATAGGAAAGCTATTTCCTGTCTGGTTCTTGTCTTCCCTCCCACGACCACAAGAGGGCAAAGTGGCTGTCTGTCTGTAGAGCAGGTCAGGCACTCACCCTTCCTTCCTGCTCACAGTGCCAGAGGAGCCTGGCCTGCTTGCAGAGTAGAGCTGGAACTGGAGGACGGGTGGATCATCTTAAGGTAAGGGAAGAGGGGTTTGGGGGACCTTCCTATGTAGTTGGGGGGGGGGGGCAATGTATTAATTAGGGGAGGGTGGTGGCCAGTGTATTAAATTGGGGGGGGGAATGGGCACTGTATTAATTTGGGGATGGGGCAAGTGTTTTAATTTGGAGAGGGAGGGGACCAGTGTGTTAAATTGGGTAATGGAGGGGGCCAGTGTATTAAATTGAGGAAGGGAGTGGGGCAGTGTATTAATATGAGGGAGGGAGGGGGCAGTGAATTAATTTAGGGGCTGGAGGGGGACAGTGTATTAAATTGGGGGAGAGAATGGGGCAGTGTATAAGAGTGGTAGGAGGGGGCAGTGTGTTAAATTGGGGGTAGGGCAGTGTATTCATTTGGGGAGGGAGTTTATTCATTTGAGGGAGGGGGCAGTGTATTAATTTGAGAGAGGGAGGGAGCAGTGTATTCATTTGGAGGAAGGAATGTAGAGGAATTTTTTTGAATGTATTTTATGTGTATACAGTTTTCTGTTGAGAACACTGTAACGGACCGTTTTGCACACAAGGGGTAAAAAACCGTTTAGGCGATCGGCCCCCTTTCCAGAGATGCAGGCACAGCTACTGCAGAACACCAAACTCCCAAACTGGATACAAAATAGCACTCCAACTCCCGAACTGGAACCTCCCAAATAGCTGCTAGCAGACGAACAGGAAAAGCTCACAAGCGGCTTACACTCCTGGCAATCAGTCTCTAACAGCATACAGTGAATCCTCCCCAAGAACGAGACAAGGCTCCGTGTTGAGGGTCAAGCAGTGGTCTGAGGTGCTGGCACACCCAGCCTGGTTTTTATTACAGTCTTGTAAATACAGGACCGCCCACAGGGAGGTATAAAACAACCAATCACATCACAGTTACATCCCACATATTCCCTCCCCTTATCCTGAGTGTTAAAACATACTTTTTACCCAACTTTCATAACTCTAAAACTATACATCACATTCACATAAAATTACATATTCACAATCAATCCATTCAGGGGAACAACATATTCAAAAATGGCACAAATCAGACAAGGGGTTCAAAAGTTAGTAAAAAGTCCTTTGTGACTAAATGAAGCATGGCTTTCTGGCCCAAACCAGTTTCAGAGTCTTCTATCCTGGAGATAAGTAATTCAATTATCTCCCAGGACAGACACAAGACTCCATTAAGCACATGGTTGCAAAAAGACACAAAACACTTTAAAATACATAAAGTCACATTTACACATAAAACACAGACATTTCACATATCCCCAGATAGCTCAGGTCTGAGCGCACATTATTAAGTGAATGGCGCTCAGACCACACAATACAGTTTAATCGCCATGGAGCCAAAGTCTTTACAGTCAGTTTCATACAAATGGGCTCCATGGGATTCCTATCTGGGGTAGAACACATTCAAACAAATCTACTGAACCCCAGGCAGAAAAGCACGAATACAGCTTTTCTGCAGGCAAAAATAAAGTCTTTTAAAAGGGGGCCATAGTCCAAAGGCAGCAGGCGAGCAACCAGGCTTCTCCAATGCAATGTGGCGAGATTGGTCTCGTCACATCTCTCCCCTTTTCCAAACAGACTAACAGGGTATCTGACCTCCTGCCGGTCAGTGCCCTTGTTAGTCCAGCAGCCCACCCACAACAAATAATCAACAGCACAGCCCACCCACAATAAATGGTTACTACACCTGGGTAAAGGGAAGCTTGTCCATGTCCAGGTGCCTCACCACGGCTGTGCTGGGTACGGGTACGCTGACTTGGTGGGTTGCTGCGTGGGCAGAGACCAGCGGCACTCTGCCCTGTTGCCAGCGCTACTGGGAGGGTAGCCTGGTGGAAGCCTGGTTGTTGGAGGGGGAGACCGACTGTCTCCCCTTTAAATACACCGCTCTGCTGCTGCTGCTGGAGACTGACTGTCTCCCCTTTAGATGCACAGTCCTGCTGCTGGAGACCGACCGTCTCCCCTTTGGTTACCCATCTCTGCTGCTGGAGGGGGAGACCGACTGTCTCCCCTTTGGCTAAACAGCCCTGTCGCTGGGGGGCAGGACCGACCGTCCCTACCCCCTGTGCTGGCAGTGTAGAGACTACGGTCCCATCTGCACGGTTGTGGGGCTTACTGTCTCCCCTTTGTACATTAAGCTGCCGCTGGGGAGAGGGGGTAACAAGCTCCTCTCCCATACAAACTTCCAGCTGTGGGGGAGGGAGACCGACTGTCTCTGCTCCCAATACAGAGTCCTGCTGCTGGGGAAAGGAGACTGGGCTATCTATTCCCGGTAGGACACTCTGCCGCTGGGGAATGGAGACTGGGCTCCCAATTCCCAAAGCATCATACTGCCGCTGGGGAATGGAGACTGGGCTCCCAATTCCCAAAGCATCATACTGCCGCTGGGGAATGGAGACTGGGCTCCCAATTCCCAAAGTATCATACTGCCGCTGGGGAATGGAGACTGGGCTCCCAATTCCCAAAGCATCATTCTGCCGCTGGGGAATGGAGACTGGGCTCCCAATTCCCAAAAAATCACGCTGCCGCTGGGGAGGGAGGACACTGCTCTCCTCTCCCTGGACTTCCACTGCCTTCCCGGCATATCACTTGGCTGCTGGGGGGCAGGAACAACTACCTCTGCCCCCTGTAACTCAGCCTGCCGCTGGGGAATGGAGCTCAGGCTCCCAATTCCCTGCAATATCTCCCGCTGGGGAATGGAGCTCGGGCTCCCAATTCCCTGCAATTTCTCCTGCTGGGGAATGGAGCTCGGGCTCCCAATTCCCTGCAATTCATTCTGCTGCTGGGGGACAGGAGCGACTATCTCTGTCCCCTGTAACTCAGCCTGCCGCTGGGGAATGGAGCTCAGGCTCCCAATTCCCTGCAATATCTCCCGCTGGGGAATGGAGACTGGGCTCCCAATTCCCAATAAATCACACGGCCGCTGGGGAATGGAGACTGGGCTCCCAATTCCCTGCAGGACCGGTGGAGAGACCTCGGTCCCATCTCTACCGGCCACCTGGGGTTCTTCCCAGAAAATATCCACAATGTCTTCCCAGCTGAATGGGTCTGGTTCTGGCTCTGTCACCTTGCTGTCCTGCTGAATCTTCTCAATGGAGTGGAAGAGATCTCGGTAGTCCTGCTCCAGTTCCCACTCCAGGGTTGCTAGGTGAGCCAGGTCTTGCTCAATGTCGTGAGTGTCGTCCCAGTCATACCTGCTCTCCCTCCACTCCAAGAGATCACTGAACCGGGCTTGTGTAGGGCTCCCAAATTCAGGCTCTGAAAAAGCCTCCCATAACAAGCCAGGACCATCAAACTCCTCTCCCTCTGGCTTGTCATGCTCGGCTGTCCAGGGCAGGTACTGTGCCCCATACCACCAAAGCGCCTGGTATGCATCTTCCAGCCAAATCTCCTGCCATACCCGGTGCTCCAATTCCTTCACCCATTCATCTAGGGGCTGCTCTCCCAGGAAGGGCATCCGCAGGGCCACTTGCTTCTTCAACCGCTGCTCTTCACTGGGGATACTCTCACCCCGCTGGTACTGTACATTATCCAGGGCCTGGTACCAGATGCCTTTCCTTAATGCATCCCGGCCATCCAGGTCCTCCTCCTCGTATGACACTGCTGGTTCCATGCTGTTGCTGTCAGGGTCGCTGTACTCAGACATGCGTTGCCCTCAAATTGTAAATCCAAGGAATGGTGTCGCCTGTAGCTGTCCTGTAGTCTGTGGGAACGATCCCACCGCTTGCCACCAATTGTAACGGACCGTTTTGCACACAAGGGGTAAAAACCGTTTAGGCGATCGGCCCCCTTTCCAGAGATACAGGCACAGCTACTGCAGAACACCAAACTCCCAAACTGGATACAAAATAGCACTCCAACTCCCGAACTGGAACCTCCCAAATAGCTGCTAGCAGACGAACAGGAAAAGCAGACAACAGCTTACACTCCTGGCAATCAGTCTCTAACAGCATACAGTGAATCCCCCCAAGAACGAGACAAGGCTCCGTGTTGAGGGTCAAGCAGTGGTCTGAGGTGCTGGCACACCCAGCCTGGTTTTTATTACAGTCTTGCAAATACAGGACCGCCCACAGGGAGGTATAAAACAACCAATCACATCACAGTTACATCCCACATATTCCCTCCCCTTATCCTGAGAGGAAACTCAATTATACATACAGTTAAAACATACTTTCTACCCAACTTTCATAACTCTAAAACCATACATCACATTCACATAAAATTACATATGCACAATCAATCCATTCAGGGGAACAACATATTCAAAAATGGCACAAATCAGACAAGGGGTTCAAAAGTTAGTAAAAAGTCTTTTGTGACTAAATGAAGCATGGCTTTCTGGCCCAAACCAGTTTCAGAGTCTTCTATCCTGGAGATAAGTAATTCAATTATCTCCCAGGATAGACACAAGACTCCATTAAGCACATGGTTGCAAAAAGACACAAAACACTTTAAAATACATAAAGTCACATTTATTACATAAAACACAGACATGTACATATCCCCAGATAGCTCAGGTCTGAGCGCACATTATTAAGTGAATGGCGCTCAGACCACACGAATACAGTTTAATCGCCATGGAGCCAAAGTCTTTACAGTCAGTTTCATACAAATGGGCTCCATGGGATTCCTATCTGGGGTAGAACACATTCAAACAAATCTACTGAACCCCAGGCAGAAAAGCACGAATACAGCTTTTCTGCAGGCAAAAATAAAGTCTTTTAAAAGGGGGCCATAGTCCAAAGGCAGCAGGCGAGCAACCAGGCTTCTCCAATGCAATGTGGCGAGATTGGTCTCGTCACAAACACTATAATCAAGAATGACCCAAAAGTGATATTTAATTAATATAACCACATATTGCCATTCCAGTCCATGTGCAAATGCCATTTAATAAACTGCAGGAACATACACTTATTTGCTCTAGATAAATACATTTTATTGAGCTCTCTTAAAATATGCTTTTGGAATGGATAAGGCATCTAAACTAGAGAGAGTGATTTGGCAATCCCAAAATGCAGATAAGTTGTGAGTCTCCCCATATAAGACCCTTGAATATATCACAGTGGGCTGGGAGAAGACAAATATACATTATTTGAATTACTCATGTTTACATCCTTATGAAAGTTGAACACTTGTAAATGTAAAGGCTTGTTTATTTTTATTCAAGAGCATTTATAAAAAGAGATATGACATTTAAATGCAGCAAGCGCCCCCAACAACAACCTTGGCACACCAAGCTGACTCGATATCTCCAAAAATGCTCCAGAACTGCTGAATGCTGTTGGAGAAAGTCTCACTTTGCGTCTGACTTTCTCCACTATAAATTTTTGCTGCGGTCATACAACTTGGATCTTTGCTCTGCAAAAGTAAATTACTTCAATACCCTCATAACCACACTCTCCTGCGAACCCAAACGACTATTTCACACATTTAACTCTCTTCTTCGTCCTATTGTTCCTCCTCCACCTACTAACTTGACCGCCTTAGACTTTGCAACTCACTACACTGACATGATCTCTACAATCAGGGAAGAGATCTCTTATCTTTCTTCTTCCCCTTACAAAACTTCCCCTAATCGCACCCCCTCTGCTGTTCTGTGTTCATTCGTACCCGCTACAACGGAAAAGGTTTCTGCTCTGCTCTAGTCCTCCCGCCCCATCACCTGCTCTCTAGATCCAATTTCCTGGCATCTCATCCGTACTCTGTCTTCTTCTCTTTCTCTACCTCTCAGTAAAATTCTCAATCTCTATCTCTCCTCTGGCATATTTCCAGCGCCCTTCAAACATGCAACTATAACCCGAATTCTAAAGAAGCCCAACCTTGACCCTAACTCCCGTCCTATCTCACTTGCCTTTTACACCCAAGATGCTTGAAAGAGTTGTATATGCGAGACTAACAGACTTCCTCGAGTCCAATTATCTGCTAGACCCGCTTCAGTCTGGTTTCCGTGCTAAGCACTCCGTAGAAACGGCACTTACCAAAGTATCCAATGATCTACTCGCTGCAAAATCTCATGGTCACTACTATCCGAATTCTCCTTGACCTTTCTGCAGCTTTTGACACTGCTGATCATCAACAGCTTCTTCTCATCCTCCGCAATATCGGTCTACAAGATATTGCTCTCTCCTGGAGCTCCTCCTACCTCTCCCATCACTCTTTCAGTGTTTCTTTCTCTGGCTCTACTTCTTCTCCCCAACTCCTCTCTGTTGGTGTCCCCCAAGGTTCAGTTCTTGGTCCCCTACTGTTCTCAATCTACAGGTATACTGCCTCCCTTGGTAAACTCATTAACTCCTTTGGCTTCCAATATCATTTCTATGTGGATGACACGCAAATCTATTTGTCCTCTCCTGATCTCTCCCCATCCCTCTTGACTAGTGTCTCTGACTGCTTCTCTGCTATTTCTAACTGGATGGCTGCCAATTCATGAAACTGAACTTGACCAAAACTGAAATTCTGGTCTTTCATCCCTCACGTGTTGCTACTCCTGTGTCTGTCTCCCTCCAAGTCAACGGTGCTACCATCAGCTCCACCACGCAAGCTCGTTGCCTAGGTGTTCTCTTTGACTCCGACCTCTCCTTCACACCTCATGTTCAGTCTACCGCCAAATCCTGCTGCTTCCATCTCAAAAACATTGCGCGCATCTGAACTTACTTAACACCAGATGCGACTAAGGTGCATGTCCATTCTACTGTCCTCTCACGCCTTGAGTACTGTAATCTGCTTCTCAGTGGTCTTATGCTGCTTATTACTACTACATAATGCTGCTCCCACCTATCTATCCTCCCCAATACACAAGTATGTCCCGTCTAGGCCCTTACGCTCTGCTGAAGACTTACGTCTATCTTCTGTCTGTACTCCTACCTCTAAAGCTCGCCTTCAAGACTTCGAGGGCTGCACCATTCCTGTGGAACTCACTTCCCTCCTCTGTTAGATGCTCACCCAGTCTCCACTCCTTCAAAAAATCATTAAAAACCCACTTCTTCATAAAAGCGTATCAATTAAACTTTCAATAGCTCCCGACTGATTCCTCTCTTGTAACTGTCATTAGTCTAATACTTCCCTTACCTTTTGTGTCACTTTACCCCACTCCCTCTAGCATGTAAGCTCATTGAGCAGGGCCCTCAACTCCTCTGTTCCTGTGTGTCCAACTTGTCTGGTTACAACTACATGTCTATTCGTCCACCCATTGTAAAGCGCTGCGAAATTTGTTGGCACTATATAAATAACATAATAATAATAATAATAACAACAACGTGTAAAATACAATTAATCTCATTACCTGTGTACCTAATACCTTTTTTAATTTTGTCTGTATAACACCAGATTTAATTATACCTGTTCTTTTAAATCTATAAATGTTTATATAAACATTAAACATTTAATTACATGGTAATTGTGCTCATGTATAGCAATTATCAGAAATGAATTGCATTCAAAAAATTAAATGGTTGTTCAAAGCAAGGGGATTTCTGTTTGAAGCCAAGTCAGTTAAATGTCTGAAATATGTATAACAAAGTGTTAGAGAAGATCTAACAAGAACATTCTTATAATTAGGTAAATGTTCTGACTTAACTAGCATGGTAGTTAATTAACCAAATGTGTGTAACTGCTGTGAGGCACACCGACTGGGCCCATACACCCTTCCCTAATTGTATTCCCTCTACATTTATCTTAACATCTTAAACTTTTGCAAACCATTTCACCAATATCATCAGTTTCCCTTTACTGGTTGACATTTTGTACTTCCATTCATCCTCATTTGTCCCATACCTTCTTCCTAGCATTCTCTTTCATGGTGTATCTTCAACAACCATCAATCATTCCAGATTCTATTAATCTCTCCTATATCTCTATTTACTTCATTTCATTTTCCCTAATATATTTTGTCCTTCTATCCCTTGAGTCATCTACATTCACTTTGTGACTCACCTTTTTTCATTCCATCTTTCCTTAATTTAACATCCCTTTCGTTCTATGCTTTCTTATAGTATACATGCTCTCCTCCCACTTGTATTGCAGTTTATAGTCTCCCTTCCTCCTTGTTGAACACTTTGGTGATTTATTCCAGAAGCAATGGCAGGGTTATTCACTACGAGAAGTCAAGGTGACTTTCATATTTCAGGTCAAAATAGCTAAAATGGAAACATTCTCTAAGCCAGCTCTGCTTTCAGTTCAGCTAATTCACTTTGAATTATCACTTTAGAAAACAACCCTGCTTATTGTAGTAAATTGAACTGAAACATTTAAAGGGACACTACAGGCACCCAGAATACATCAGCTCATTGAAGTTTGGGTGCAACGTCACTGTCCCACTTAATCCTGCAATGTAAATCATAGCAGTTTTAGAGAAACTGCAATGATTACCGTGCAGGAGTAAGACTGCATCTAGTATTTGTCAATCAGACAGCTACTAGAGGCACTTCGTGCTTGCTATGCGATTTTTTTGTCACCTAACGCTGGACGTTCTCATGCCCTGCATGAGGACATTCAGCGTCAATAAAATCTTTCCTATGTGGAGCGCCTAATGCACATTAGTCCTTTCTCACTCCCAACCCCCCTCTCCCCTGTCGGGTGACTTTGGAGGAGGCAGGGCACTGAGGAATGAGCCCAGGAATCGGGTCAGTACAGCAAGGGTTAATTAACCCTTTCAGTCAGGGCTGGTGCAAGAATTTTTGGCTGCACATGCAAAAATGGATTTTGAAGCCCTTCCCCACACACACTGGTTCCCTGGGTACTGATAGGCATGCAACACCTCCCCTTGCAGCTGGAAAGGCCTACAAGAAAGCTCTGGTTAGTGCCACTGGCCTACACCCAGCCACGCATCAGCTCGCTTATTGGCTAACAGCGCATGGCTGGGCTTAGCTCAATAACAAGAGTTTCTGGTGGCAGCCTCCTGAAAATTAACCCTCTCCCTAATCAATATTAATAATCACATAGGCCTGCAGTTTACTTCCCAAAAACTGGAAGTCCTTATTTCTTTGAGATTATACCCTCCCAAACTAAATTTCCACATTTCTTTGCAATGTACCCCTTTCTCCTCAATTCACATCATGATATAGCTTCCCATAGCAATTAGGTCAATTAACCCCTTCCAGGTTTCCTGTGTGTACCCTTTTAAAAGCTTTTCCAGCTAATTTTACTCGACACACTTACAGAGTAACAGTCACACAACACTCACTCACAGACACATAGACACACTGTCACACAGGAACAAAAATTCACAGAGATATGTGTAACAATTACATACAAACATATTCAGTTACAGTCAAATAAAATCACAATCAGAAATATTTTCATACACATACACATTTACAGTGATACCTACACACTCACAGACTCACACCTACAGTCACACTCATAGATGCTCAAAATCACACAGACACAGACTTACAATTACACATGCAGGACATGCACACTCAGAGTCAGAAATTTATACTCTGACACACACAGACAACACACTTTTCCAGACCCAGATACCCACTCACATTCACAGACTCAGATACCCACTCACTTATACAAACCCAGAGACCCAGAAACCCACTCACTTTCACACACCCAGATTCCCACTCACTTTCACAGACCAAGATACCCACTCACATTTACAGACCCAGACACCCACTCACATTTACAGACACTCACTCACTTTCACAGACCCAGATAACCACTCACATCCTCAAACCCAGATACTCACTCACATTCACAGGCCCAGATACCCACTCACTTTCACAGACCCAGATACCCACTCACTTTCACAGACCCAGATACTCACTCACAGACCCAGATACCCACTCACTTTCACATACCCAGATTCCCACTCATTTTCACACAACCAGGTTCCCACTTACTTTCACATACCAGATACCCACTCACATTCACAGACCCAGATAACCACTCACTTTCACAGACCCAGATACTCACAGTCACTCATGGAGACACAACAAAGGTGATCCACCCTCAGTCCTTTTAGCTCCTCATGCACACTGAGCTCCTGTTGCTTAGAGCTACAAATTCTTTTCTGCTCCATAGCATGCCTCACTGTACCAAGTTTCCCCCGAATAGTTAAGGAAGGGGGAGCATAATTGTTGCCCACGGTAGAGGGGCTGGATTAAAAGTTGCAACAATGTTTTAAATTATGGAAGATTTTGATATGGAGCAGAGGGAGCAGTTGAGGGACCTTGACTGAAGTTTTCTTCCCTGACTGAAGTTTTCTGTTCTGTGGATGAAAAAAAAAAAAGGAATAGTAGCACCTTTTCGCTGCTGACAGGCTGTTCAGACTACCACTAGCATCATGGCCACCCCATCCATGGATTCTCTCGTCACGATCACCAGCATCTTGTTGGACTGTTATCCAGACAAAGTGCCTGCTTTGTTCGGTTATCTGGATTTAATTTGGGGCGCAGACAAGATATATGGGAGACAAAGCTGGTTCCGTTATGACCAGCAGTTCCGTCAGAAGATGTCAGCCAGACGGGACTTGGAGTGCACGACGGTAGTTTGTGGCTACTGCTGATGACACCGCGTCGCCCTTCCCCCATTCCAGGAGCAGCTGGGGCTCAGAGTGGTGTGTCGGCAGGACAGCGTAAAGGAGTTTGTTGGCTCTTTAAAGAGAGCCACTGGAGGTGGTATGGCTCCTGCAGATTCTGGCACAAGTGCTCCAATTGTGGCGAAGCGAACCCAGCCGTTAGATGTTTCAAGAGAGGTAAGGCTGGTATTAAGTCCGGTAAGGACGACATTCCTCGATCGCCGCAAGGATGCCCCCATGGCTTGACCGGTACCCTAGGCGTCGTGAAGCAGAGACTTTACTTGACGGGTTTTTGGATTCCCACACATTCTGAGTTGCTGTCTTTTGGGGCTAATTTGCGTTCTGTTGTGGGAAAACGAAATATCTTGGCTGAGAAATTGGACAAGGAACTCGGTTTGGGGCGCATAGCGGGCTCTTTCAACAGTCTCCTGTTTCCCAACCTATGGGTCTCCCCCCTGGGCTTCGTGCCCAAAAAGGAGCCCAAGACTTTCCGTCTCATTCACCAACTGTCAGGCGGGTCAGTGAATGATGACATCGACAGGAGGTTTCTAGAGTCCATTATGCCTCCTTTAACAGTGTTTTAGATCAAACCAAGTGTTGTTTGCTTGAGTATCTACCCCCTGTCCATATTGTTTGAAACAAGATGCATGCATGCAGAGGTAAATCACACTGAGACACAAGTTTGCCAGTTAATGAAAAACTTCGGAATGTTTTAATCACGGGGGACGGAGAGCCCCTTATAAAGGCAGAAATACATCATATGCAGAAAGCAAGATAACAGAGAGAATACGTCTTTAATCGGTCAAGTGTTAAGTGTCTTATCTAATGCACTACCTCCAAAGTGTGATGTCACCATCATCCTGGATGCGGCTCTCTGGACGAAGACGCCATCCTAATACATGATATTCTTTGGTCGATGGGAGGGGGTGCTCTAGCAGCCATTTTGAGCAACTACTGATTACAGGCATACACAGTAAATAGACATTTTACTAACATTAATTTCTATCCACAACAACAGAGCACTAGAATTGGTTCGGGAGGCAGGGTTGGGGGTCCTTCTCGTGAGTCCGCGTTCTGCTTGCTCCCAGTCCACCCAGACTGTTTCCACTTGCTGGGTTGTCAGCTTTGGGGAAGTTATTTCTTTGACAGGTGTTTGCCCATGGGCTGCGCCATTTCTTGTGCCTACTTTGAAATGATTGCAACATTTTTGGAATGGGTGGTTTCTCAGGTGGCGGGTCTGTCGTCCATGACCCACTACCTGGACGATTTTTTGTTTGTCGGTACAAGGGAGTCAGAGAGCTGCTCTCAGTTGTTCATGGCCTTTCAACGAGTTTCGGTGCAGTTTGGTGTCTCGGTGGCGGAGAGTAAGACGGTGGGACCGACGGATAAACTTACATATCTTGGTATTGCAATAGATTCCGGCAAGGTGGTATTTCGACTGCCTGATGACAAGCTACGGGAGTTGCTGCGGATGGTTGATCTAGCTAAGGGTTCCAAGAAGGTTCAGCTACGGCAATTACAGTAATTGTTGGGGCATTTGAACTTTGCTTGTCGGGTTCTTTCTATGGGTAGAGCTTTCTGTTGGCAATTGTCCCTCGCCACGGTCGGGCACTTTATATGCATTACAAGATGGCTTACAAGGAGCATCTGCAGGTGTGGAGTGCCTTCTTGGGTGCGTACAACGTTTAGTTTTGCTGGCTGCGTCTTGCAGTGTCTAACAGTGAATTGGATCTGTTCACTGGGGTTCTATTGGGTTTGGCACATATTTTCAAGGTCGCTGGTGTGCGGCGTGGATCTGAGCTAACTGGTAACCTTACGTTCCTTGAGTTATTCCCCATTGTGGTCACAGTTGAATTGTGGGGATTGGACTTCACAAACAGAAAGGTAATTGTTCACACGGACAACATAGGTGTGGTTCATGTGATCAATCGGTGGGACCTCGTTTAAGATGTCTGAGGCCCTTGATATGGGTATCCTTGTCACAGGTGACGAGGAAGGCATATAGCGCAGTCTGTGTTCGTTGGTGGGCACTAGGTAGGGCCCAGGAGTTTTCTTCGGAGGCAGGTAGGTTGTCGATGACGCTTGCTTTAGTGGAATCTTTGTGTGACGACGGTAAGTCTGCAACAGTGGCCGGACGGTCTTGGTCTGCTCTCTCCTTCTGTTCCATTTTTTAGGCTGGACGGATGTTTCCAAGCCTTTTTGCATTGCGCGGGCGTTAAAGGGCTGAAAAAGGGGTTACAGTCCTGACTGACGTCGTCCCATCTCGGGGGCTATCATGATTCAGATGTTAGAGTTTCTACCACAGGTGTACGAGGTGTTACTATTTCAGGTGGCTTTTTTTCTGTGCTCTTCAGCGCCCTTCGTATTGGGGAACTGGTAGTGCCTAGAGCTGATTCTCTAGCTGCATTGCTGCTCTCTGACGTCTCGTTCTACGCACGAGGAGTTCTGTTGGATATCCACTGTTCCAAGACAGATCAGGCAGGTAGGGGTGCTCAGGTTCGTATTGGCTTTTCTGGCGGGCCATTCTGCCCAGGTCTTCTGCTCTGGGAGTACCTGGGGGTCCGAGGAGGTCAGGTTGGTTCTCTGTTATTTCATCGAAATGGTTTGCCCTTAACCCGTTATCAATTCTCCAGTATTCTTTGGAAATGTATCAGTGGGACGGGCGGTGACCCCAGGCAATACTCCTCACATTCATTTAGGATATGTGCAGCTACTCAGGCCAGTTTACTGGAGCTTTTGACTGAAGCGCTTAAACGGCTAGGTTGTTGGGAATTGGGCCAGTTTCAGCTGTATGTACGTCCGCACTTGTTGTAAGGTTTTAGGTGGGTATATTAATGTTCTAACATGTGTTGTTTGTTTTGTAGGACCAGTTATGCGATACGTTTGGATTGTGGGACATTCATATATACTGGGCTGCCAAGAGGGCGGAGGATAAAGCGTATGGTCGCAATTTGGGGTTTCCGTATCATTCAGTTAGGGTACGTTGGCGGAGGTTGAGGGGGTTGTGTTTGGACCAGCTGTATGCAGAATGCGCGATGCTTAGCCACTGTGTTTCGGGTTCAGCGACCCTGGTATTACATGCGGGCGGGAATGACATCGGGCAACGGTGGTCGTCGATTTCGTTCATGCTGTGAGGCATGATATAGCGTGCTGCTTGGCACTCTTTAGAGGTCTAACACTAATTTGGTTGCAAATTGTCCCAAGACTGGTTTGGCGATTAAGTGGGAATGGTAAGGCCTTAGAGCTCTGTAAGTGTAAAATCAATATGACTATATTCCGGTTTGTCAGGAGTCTTGGTGGGGTGGTAGTTAGACACCATGAACTGGAAGGTGATAACTAACGTCAAACAGAGATATGGGGTTCATTTAACGCCAATTGGTCTGGACATTGTTAATGTTGGATTGCTGCCTTGCATAGAGGTCGTGCTGTCGGTGGGGGGGAATATGGAAGTAAGGAAAAGTGGTATCTGGGGAGACGACAGTTTGTACAGAGCATATTGCTAGTGATAGCTGTGCTAGGTACTTGGAAAATGTAATGAAGAACTGTCTGTTGGGCTCTCACCCAACTGACAGGTTTTATAATGTTAATAAAGCTGTGGCCGTTGCCCTTATCCACTTAAAAAGGTGCCCATTGTGTTATTGGGGGGCAATGGTGGGAGGTGTAAATGGGTCAGCAGTCATGTAGTATTGTGTTGTGGCAGCTCCTACCCAGGGCCGCCATCAGGGGGTGACAACCATAATGGTTGTCACGGGCTGGGGTGCCTGGCCCCCATGTGTAGCGGCGGAACTGCCACCAGTGCAGTTCCACCGGGGCCCGCACGCTGATGGTGCCCATCGGGTGGCCCACGCACTTAGGGCCACCCGATGGGCCCTATATCTTCAGGGGCCCGGTCAGCGCTGTGGTTTGGTGCGACCGGGCCCCTTTAAAAAAAAAAAAAAAAAACGCAGCCGCAGCAAGTGCTGCTGGGAGGGTGGTCACTTCCTCCCAGCTCACTCCGCGCGGGAGGAGCGCACGCCCGGCAGTGAGGGAGAGCCAGCCATTCCCAGTCCCATCAGCCCCAGCCACCCTCCTGCAAAGAAAAGGTAAGAAACAGGCTGGAAAATGAGCTGTGTGTATGTCTGTGTATATGTATGTCTGTATGCATGCATGTCTGTTTGTATGTATGTATATATGTATGTATGCATGTATGTATGTTATTATGTATGAATGTGTCAGTATGTCTGTATGCATGTCTGTCTTTATGTCTGTATCTATGTTATTATGTATGCATTTATGTCTGTCACTATGTATGTATTGTGACAGAGTCTATGGGAGGGTAATAGAAGGAAGGTATTTAGGACCCAGAATCCTCCATAGCCTGTACTCATTCACCTGCCCAATTAGCAACTGCTGAGGCTTTAATTAGTTAGTGCTCAAATTTGAGCTAGGATTTTGTTTGTAGACTTTCCTTTCTGTTTTGCTGCAGTTTTAAACAAACTGATTGCTGCATGGATTTTTGTGCACGATGTAAATAAACCACACCTTTTTCGCATAAGAGACTGTTGTTCTATACCTGTTACCCTAGAGGACTGTGTTGCTTTGCCCATAAAGGTCACAGTATATATGTCTGTATATCTGTCAGTATGTATGTGTGTATGCATGTATGTATGTATGCAAGTATCAATGTATGTCTGTATGCATGTATGTATGTATATATGTCTGTCTGTATGTATGTATGCCAGTTTCAATGTATGTCTGTCAGTATGTATGTATGTATGTCTGCATGTCTCATTATGAACGTATGTCTGTATGCATGCATGTATGGCAGTATGTATGTATATATGCATGCATGTATGTCTGTATGCCATTATGAATGTATGTGTGTATGGAGGTCAGTGTATGTATGTCTGTAGGTCATTATGAATGTATGTCTGTGTGTATGTATGTCCTCATGCATGTGTGTCTGTATGTATGTTAGTATGTCTGTCTCTCACTATGTATGCCTGTGTGTCTGTATATGTGTGTATATCTCAGTATGTATGCCTATATGCGTGTATGTGTGTCTGTTAGTGTGCATCTGTGTGTGTGCATCTGTGTCCTTTTGTATCAGTGTGTGTGTTTGTGTGTGTATTCCTATGGGCGGGATTTGGAGGCGGACCCTGTGGGGGGGATTGGAGGCGAGCCCCAGACCCTGAGCTGAGTTAGGGGCCCCAAAATTTCTGGTGGCGGCCCTGCTCCTACCTGTAGCTGGAGCCATCCTTCAGAGTGGAAGCTTGTTTCCCACTCCCTTGTGGTCTAATGACATATGCCATGTTATGGGAGGGCTGATTTAGAACAAGGGGGCAGAGCTTTGCAGACAGCAGCCAATTAAACTTCTGCAGGGCTGTTACAATGCCTCAGGGAGGTCCTGCAGCATCCAGGCTTCCATAGTGTGTCCGTAGCAGCAGCTCTGCTCAAAACAGCGGCAGTGTGTGAGTTGTGAGGGGCGGCTGCTGTGGGCTTAGGGTAGCTGCTAGTTGCATCTTTCACTAAAGTAGTGCCCTAATAACTGTGTACGGGCAGAAATATTTAAAAACCCAAGTCTCTGGCCAGGTGCCAGAGATTTGCATTTTTGTGGCACCCTAAGGCGGCTGCTTGTGCCGCCTTATGGATGCGCCAGCCCTGCTTACAGTGCTGGTGTGTGTCTGTGTTTGCAAAGGGTCAGAAAGACATAAAGTGCAAGGAATACAGATTTGTATTCCTAGCACTATAGTATTCCTTTAAGCATATAGTTCAGATACATAAAAATTTGCTGCAAATATGGCGTGCCTAGCACTGATGAGCAACATATATATGGAAATTGCCACCCTGTTGTATGTGGACGTCAAATGGTACTGGTAGTTAAATGGTTATTCTAACCACCATGACTTGGGCTAGTTGCACCCCCTGATCCAGGCTACCGAATGTCAATTCTGTGTATAACATACATCCGTTTTCAGCACACACTACATGTTGGCTGAAAGCAGATGCATACAAGGGGTGTATTGACTGCAAGGGTAAGTGTTTTCTCCCAATAAAATTGCTAGTTTGAAAAAAAAATATAAAAAATCCCAGCTTTGCTCTGACAGTGAAACGGTCCAATCACACTTTAAGCTTCTTTATGAGATCTGTGATTACAGGCATACCCCACTTCTAAGTACACAATGGGACCAGAGCATGTATGTAAAATGAAAATGTACTTAAATTGAAGCAATACCTTTTTTTTTTTTTTTTACTTCCCAATGCATGTACTGCATTGCAATAGTCATTTACAGGCATAACTGATATAAATAATGCATTGATAACTAAAATAAATTTCAATGATCAATCTTAAGTTCCTCAGGGAATCATTAGTACTGTACAGTAATACTGTAATGTGTTAGGGCTACTCTTACATTTTATTGTTGAATGACTATCTGGAGGTGGTTATGTCTATCTGGAGTTCCCCCATTGAACTTCCTAAATAGAATTGAAGATTATACTAGCTTTAGTGTACTAATAATCTTAATTTTAGTAATGACAGGAGGCGAATATTTGCATATCTTTCTTTACTGTAAACTCCAGCAGCATAGAAACAGTAACAACCAATCAGAGAAAAGATATGGTGCCCATAAAAGGCCCTGTCTATGACATCACTTCCTCTTTCTTTGGTGCGAACAGTAAATAACAATAAAACCTAAAACAAATTACGTTAACAGTTCAACAGCATAATAGTGAAAATAACTCCGGTAGTTCCTTGATGTAACGATGTGGGAGATGAGCCTTTGTCCCGAATAGAAGACGTGCACACTTGTCGAGAAGGCGATCACACTGCAAGACAAGGAAAAAAGTGAAAGGTCTCTGGCGTGATAACTTGTCCGCATATCCTAGACATAATAATCCTGCCATAACACAAAACTGTCCGAAAGGGTTCAAGTAATGTATCCGATTAAATTACTGTAATAGGAAGAACTATAGACATACATGATGTACATAGATATAAGGTTACTACATTCCATCCTATACCATCCCCTAAACACTGTTAGGTACGGAATATACTCACCTATGGTACATGTCTTCCTGAACCTATGAAGCATTCTGTTCCATTGATGAAATTAAGGGGGGGGTCCAATAGGGTGGGAAATATTCGCCTCCTGTCATTACTAAAATTAAGATTATTAGTACACTAAAGCTAGTATAATCTTCAATTTTACCACATGACAGGAGGCTTCATATTTGCATTTTTAAAGCTTGGAATTGATGAGTGTGAAGGAAGCATGAGTTGTTTGACGGAAATAGAAAGTCCTGAAAGTACTTTCCCGTGACCAGTCTGCGCAGCGCATGATGTCGATTAGCGAGGCGCCCGCCGTTAAGGCTTGGGAGGCTGCCGCCCCTCTGACCGAATGTGCGCCAAAGTGAGGTTCAACGCCTGCTAACGATAGTAGCCAGCGGACCCATCTAGCCAGTGTAGTCGTGGACACCGGTCCATGAGGCTTCACATAGGAAATCAACAGTTGACCCGTCGAACTGGTTCGAAGGGGAGCTGTGGTTTCCGTATATCTCATAAGCGTCCTGACAACGCATAGTTTGGGATCTGAGCCAAAGTACGGGTACGATATCGAGGCGGAATCCGATTTGGTCCGTCTTGATATGGAAAAAATAACTCCTTCTGGAGTGATGGAGAACCCGTCCACGTCGAATGCTCTAACGTCTGACACTCGCCGGAACGAGACGAGACATAGTAAGAGGGTCAGTTTAGCTGAAAGTTGTTTCAGTGACAGATAGGGATTATCTGGCCATGTTCTAAGAAAATCCAGCACCACGTCTACCTGCCAGAGGTTAGAATATTTGGGTGCCGGTGGTCTCGTTAGTTTAGCGCCCCGTAGAAGTCGGCATATCAGTGGGTCCTGACCCACTGGTCTGCCTTGTATCGGGACGTGTGCCGCCGATATGGTTGATCTGATCACGTTGAGGGATCGATACGATCGTCCCAACGAGAACAGATGAGCTAGGTAGTTAAGGATCAGTGGGATAGGGGCATTAAAGGGATCGGAGTCCCGTTCCACACACCACTTACTCCAAGCCGCCCATGCGGACATATAGCATTTCCTGGTGCCTGGAGCCCAAGAGTCCCATAGGAGGTCCTTAGTCGATTGTGATAGGCCGTGGACTGACCAGGAGCCCCTGAAATCGTCCAAGCCACTAGTTCTAGTTGCCCTTCCAGGACGAGGGGGTGTGGTTCTCCTCGAGGTCCCGTCAGAAGTCGTGGGAAGGCAGGGAGTAGCCGGGGGTGTCCGTGGGACATTTCCAGGAGGTCTGGGAACCACGGTTGACTCTGCCAAAGCGGGGTTATCAGTAGAAGCGATAGTTTGCGGGTGCGTGTGTATCGCAGTACCCGTGGTATCATGGAGAATGGTGGGAAGGCGTAAGCCCCTAGGATGGGCCAGTCTTGCAGGAATGCGTCTGCCGCTTCGCTCTTCGGATCTGGGAGCCAACTGTAGTATCTCGGCAGTTGGTGGTTGGTCCTGGAGGCGAACAAGTCTATTGTTAGCGGGTATGTCCCTCGCCGTAATTCTTGGAATATCTCCCTGTTGAGTTTCCAGTCGCTGGTGTCTCGCCAGTGGCGTGAGAACCAATCCGCCGTCAGGTTGGCGATTCCTGGTAGGTATTCCGCCTGTAGCGTGATGTTCCGACGCAGGCAGAAGCTGTAGATGTCCTTCGTGGCCTCTGTCAGTGCTCGAGATCTCGCTCCGCCTAGGCGGTTGATGTACTGTACCGCCGAAATGTTGTCCATGCGGAGCAGAATACAGCAATTCGATTTGTCCTTGGCCAGGCTGCGGATGGCGAAGGATCCTGCAATCAGTTCCAGGCAGTTGATGTGTAGGTTGGTCTCCTCCTCTTGCCATGGGCCTCCCGTGGAGGCGTCCGCGCAGTGAGCTCCCCATCCCCATAGGCTGGCGTCCGATTCCACGATGAAGTCCGGGGAGGAGCCGAAGATAGCCTTTCCATTCCAGGCTTGCATGTGTAGTAACCACCATCGAAGTTCTGTCCTCACTTCCGTCGACAGTGGGATCCATTGGTCGTACGAGTGCCCAGTGCGGAGGTATGCCGCCTTCAGCCGTTGCATGGCCCTGTAGTGGAGCGGGCCTGGGAAAATCGCCTGTATGGAGGAGGAAAGGAGTCCCACGATCCGAGCGAGCATCCTGAGTGGTATCGTGTCCATCCTCAGAACCCGTCTGATTTCCTTCCTTATCGATGCTATCTTTGTCGAGGCGAGGCGTAGTACGCAGTCCTTCGATTCGATATCGAAACCGAGGAACTGAACCGACTGGGAAGGAGAGAGAGACGATTTTTGTCTGTTCACTACGAAACCCAAAGATTCCAGCAAGTGAACGACAAACTTTGTCTGCAATCGTAGTCTGGAGGCTGATTCGCAGAAAATTAGCAAATCGTCCAGGTATACGAGACATCTTATGCCGCGGGTTCGTATGTGCGCCATCACCGGTCTCAGGAGCTTCGTGAAGCACCACGGGGCTGAGCTGAGGCCGAACGGCAGACATGTGAACTGGCATATCCGTCCTCTCCATAGGAAGCGGAGGAAACATCGGCAGTGAACGCTCACTGGAACGGACAGGTACGCGTCCTTTAGATCCAGGCGTGTAAACCAGTCGTTCTTGATGAGGAGGTCTTGTAGAAGGTGGATTCCTTCCATCTTGAAATGCCTGTATACCACAAACGAGTTCAATTGTCGGAGGTTGATCACCGGTCTGTAGTCGCCTGTTTTCTTTTTGACCAGGAAGATGTTGCTTATAAAGCCTCCCCCTTCTGGTGCGTATTGTATCGCGCCTTTCCTGAAGAGTGTGTGGATCTCCTCGTCCACCAAGAGTTCTTGTTCCTTTGACAAGTGAATCGGAGGAGGGGGGTTGGGTTGTATGGGTTTTGTGAAGAAATCTATGACGAAGCCTCGTACTGTCTGTAGGACCCAGGCGTCTTTGGTAATCAGCTCCCAGTTCTGAAAGAAAAGGGACAGGCTGCCTGCTATAAAGTGTGAGACATTTTGGTATGTAGGGGGACTCACCATTGGAGAAACGGCCGCGTCCCCGACCTCTGAATCCTCTAGACCTCCCCGTCCCTCGGAACGAAGAGGGCCTTTGCGTCGTAGATGGGAAGAAACTTTGGGTCTGTGGGAGTGATCTGGAACCGGAGGTCCAAAAACGGCTGGTGGCTCGGTTCCGCTGCCGACCAGCCCTTCCAAAAACACCCCTTGTAGTCGGGGTATGAAAACTTGTTTGAGTGAGGTTTGGGCCTTATTCAAAGTGGTGAAAAGGTTCACGTGCTTTTTGAGTTCCGTGATAAAGGCGTCGCCAAACAGCTGTCCTTGGGCTTTCGGTCCGAATTCTTTCGCCCCGAGGTCCAGGAGCTTACTATCAATGCGGATGAGTGCCGATCTGCGTCTTTCGGTGCACAATGCGGCATTTGCGTTGCCCAGAAGGCACACCGATCTTTGAGCCCATTCCCGTATGATGTGAGGGTCTAGTTGGGAGCCTTGGCTGAGGGCTAGGTCTGCGAAGTAGAGTATTTTCGCAATGGGGCCGAGTAGGTCCAGCACCTTATCTTGTGTCGCCTTCATGCCTTTTTCCACTCCCTTTCGGGGGTCTCGGCCCGAGCGTGACATAAAGACCACAACTGTATTGTCAAATTCAGGGGTAAGTGCCACTTTGTCGGGTAACAAGGGTCTGGGGCATTCGGCCCGGAGACGTGCTCGTACCTCCTTTTCTAATGGCTTGCGTAGCCAGAAGTGAATGAACTTTGTCAGGTGGTCTGGTAAGCTCCACTCGGAAGACCGTGGGTGTCAGATGGAACGTGGGTCGAAGAGTGGGTTCCCTTGGTCATCTATAAACACTCCATCTCCGGTCTTATCCGTGTTGCTATCTCTGTCTCGGTCGGTGGTGTCGAGAAAGGTCTCCTTAACGTATCTCGAGGAGGTGGGAGGTAAGTCCTGCCATTCCTCTTCATCGGAAATTGATTCCTCCCCGTGCCACTCGTCGACCACGTCCAAGGTGCGTGGTACATAGGAGTCCTCTTCGTCGGAGGATGGAAATGGTTGGGGTGCGGGCTGTAGTCGGCCCGTGGTCTTACTCCGTTTGGTGGGTGATTTGCCCCTAGTCTTGGTGGAAGGGGGGCTTAGAGTCTTTCGCTGTCGTTTTACTTTGGACATCTCTGAGCCCGAAGCCTCCATCCGTTCTGGGGGACTCATGTCGCCCTGACTTTGGGGTAGAGCTTTCAAGAGGGCTTTTTCTACAGATGCCGCCACTGCAGCATTAATCATAGCCTGAAAGTCCTGACTATTTTGGGTGTCTTCCATGATTTGTAGTGTGTTTTCCTCGGCCTGTTGGGCGATAATGAAAATCAGTGGAAGCGGTGGAGGAGAGTCAGTACATGTAGTGACAGACTCCTGGTACAACTGGGGGCCGCCCAGTTGGCAAAAATTGTGCTTAGAGGCGTATTGTATATGGGCTGTCGCCTAATACAGAGGCCGCCTGATATGAGCTCAGTGGTGGTGTATAGGTAGGGTTCGCCACAGTTGTACACCAGAGCTGTATTGCACGTTAGGTAGCAATCAGGGTTAAATGTCAGTTGAGGGCAGGTCCTCGTGCATATACTCGGGGTTCACCCCGGGTGGTGTGCCGTGGTAACCAGAGGACACCCACATAAGATAATGGTCAGTGACCTTGCATGCATATCTGGGGGGTCACCCCAGGTGGTGTGCCATGAAAAAATACCCAGAGGACACCCACATCAGTTTGCACCGTTAGGTACAGTAATATAATGTAACCCTTGAAGGGTGTTGCAATGTAATATGCCCTTGGCTGTAATGTAATATGCCCTTGGAGGGTACAGCAATATGGTATGACCCTGTAAAGGGTCTGGTAACAATATGCCTCTTGTGATTATATAGAAGTAGAACAATAGTGTGATTGTAAGGATACAGATGTATGTAACTTATTGCATGCAGTATACATGTGCCCAGAGTAGTGGGCAGTAGGAGGTTAAAATCCAGCCATCCTTTTCTACCCCATATAAAAAATGAAAAAATCTATATAGTGTGGTCCTTAGTAGGGGCCACCTGTAGGGGCAATGGAGTTGTGGAGCGGTGGTCGGGTGATTCCCGACCCGCTATACCGTAGGTAGAGGCGGCCGCCGAGGATCTCGCGAGATGCGAGATCCAAGATGGCCGCCGGCCGCGAATGCCGCCGACCGCGTGTGCACCCGTTCGCGGCCGCGGGTGGAAGGCGCGGCGGGAAAAAATAATAAAACTACCCGGTCCCCTTCTACCCGTCCCCACGAAGTCCCCGAGTGAGAAGGGAGTAGGTCCGCGTGGCGAGCACGGCACCGGCAGCCGGCGCCCGCGGACCTTCACACAAAATAGGGAAGTCTGAAAAAGGATATATAGTAGATAAGGAGGGGAAGCAGGGAGACAGGTGTAGAGAGCCAGGAGTAGTAGGATATAAATAGTTAGGTATAAACATCAACAAGTATAATAAATTATAACAAGCCACAGAGGGTAAAAATACTCTGACCTGTAGGCTGGAGCAGCAAAGAAAGAGGAAGTGATGTCATAGACAGGGCCTTTTATGGGCACCATATCTTTTCTCTGATTGGTTGTTACTGTTTCTATGCTGCTGGAGTTTACAGTAAAGAAAGATATGCAAATATGAAGCCTCCTGTCATGTGGTAAAATTCACAATGATCCTTTTCTTAGGGTCATGTTGAAAGCTTTTGCATTCAAAAATATTGTCAATTTCTGTGTCCTTCAGGAATATCCAATATGTATTCAGAAGTTAATGTACACTGTTTGTATATATCAAAAAGCCTTATACTGTACATTGTTTTATTCCACATGTCTCTCATTCGACAGCTTAGGAAAGTTTGTAATGAGTTGTGACTCAAGTTGAGTATGCCTGTATACTGCACGGGACCATGGCTGATGTTACGAGCGGGTGTTGGGTTAATCATGTGAATCAGGAATCCCGCAGCATATAAATTCTACATCCTACAGGGCACCATTTTCATGTACTGCCAATCAACATAATGAAATTATGTTTAATCAGGAAAACATGGTAGATCTGGCACGTTTAATAAATTAAGCGGACACCATAGGCACTGTATCTGCTTCATCTCGTTAAACTGGTTCTACTGTCTGGAGACCCTGGCACCATAATTTCTTTCAGCATTAAACAGTTTTTAATGTTTTAATGCTAAACAAGAGTCCCTGGCAGTCCATCCCCTCTGTGCTGCTTTGGCTAATAAGGAAGTATTACCCTGAGAGGCAATGGGCAGCTGTGATTGGCTGACAGTGTCAGCTGACTGTCAGAGTTCCAACTGACGGTATGAATGGGTATGACAACAAGGATGTTTGTAATCGCTGCCTTAGCTACACATACTGAAGGGGCCGGACTGTGGGTGGCCAGGGACTCTTAATTTGTGGCATACTGCATGAACATGGTGCAACACTGAATGGAGGGGCAGTGCCCGGGCACTCCAGGCACTATAACCAATTCAAAGAGATGAAATGGTAATAGTGACTACAGTGTCCCTTTAAGTTTCTTTTCCTGGCTAATCATGGCAGCATCACTTGTGGGTAGCTCTGCCCCCAGCAGGAAACAGGACAGGAAATGATTAATGAATTAGAACAAAGACTGTGGGAATAAAAGGTCTCTCCTCCTTCTACCACTCTGTCTTTATTTTCTGTCCTCAACAGAACAAACAGGAAATATTTTTCAAAAAAACTTTTTATTTTGGGCCACCTTCCCATGTGTATCATGGGCCTTCCAGTTGAAGTTCAGCCTTTCTTCATCTGAAGAACTCAGTAAACAGCCTGCAGGAGCAGGACTAACTGAGTTAGGCACAGTTTAGTTAATGTGCTGCACCTTGGGATTAAATTTGGATTCCAAATACAGATTTAAGTTTAGGGAGTCGTAATACAGGGGGTCGGCTGTGCCTTAAAAATTCCCCTTATAATATGATCCCCCATGAAGATTTCATCTTTTCTAGCCTGTCTGGACCAAAAATATTACAGATTCCTGGGTCCTTTTTATTATAAAAGAAAGATACAATATAGAATTCGGCTGCTTTCCAAAACAGAATTTCTTCATAAGGTGTTGAATACCCAAAGGAGAAAAAGAGAGAGCCATGAGAGAGTGTATTTTACAGTTACTCCAAAACCAGGTTATAGAAGACGTCCTGTACAAAGAACAGTTCAAAGGCACTTATTCTACGGTCTTCCTGGCTCCAAAACCACAGGGAAAATGGAGACTAATTTTAGATCTGAATAATCTGCATTCCACGCTACAATCAAGAATGTTCAAGATGGAATCAATCTTCACTATTCTCCCCAACATCAAAAAAGGAGATTGGATGATGTCTATTGATTTAAAACATGAGTCATTGAAGATTTCTTCGATTTTGGGTCACAAACAAACATTATAAATTCAGAGGTCTCCCATTTGGGTTGAGTCTGGCTCTGAGAACGTTTTAAAAGATTCTTATTGCTCTGGCTGCCTTCCTTTGAAAACAGAATATTGAAATATATCACTATCTGGATGATTTTCTGATTATAGGGTCATCCTGTCATACAGTTTCCTTAAACACCCAAACTGCAATAAATTGTCTTCTAAATCATGGATTGAAGATACATATGGAGAAGAGCTTAATGTCTCCAACCCAAAGAATGATATTCTTAGGAGCAAATATAGATACCATCAAGGGGACAGGGACTTTATCTACAGGAAAGATGGTGAAAACTCAAGTAAAAATTCAGAACCTTCACGACAAACAATTCATATCAGCAAAAGAATTTATGAGTAACCTGGGCTCACTCACCACAACAATAGGAGTAGTAAAATGGGCACAGTGGAATATATGCCCAATATAGATGGAATGTCTACATCAATTAAAAAAGAAGATATGCTATTGTGACCAGAAAATCTTTCTTCTCTACATAAGAGAGAAGCTGAATTGGTGGGTAAAAAGAGACAACTATGTCAAGGATTCCCGTTAGAAGAACATGGCGAACCTACAAGGATGGGGTGCCCCGTTATGGCACAGAATGGAAGTGGGGGACATGGTCTCAAAGAGAAGAAACTTCACTCAAATCTCAGAGAATTGAAAGCAATATAGAAAGCACTGCTGAATTTTTGTCCATATGTAACAGACAACAGAGCAGTGGCCTCTTATGTGAACCACCAGCAGGGCATCCTAAGCAGAAATCTCCTGATAGAATTGTACCCTCTTATGAAATTTGCCCAAATTAATTTACAAGGTCTAAAAGCAGTATACCTGCCAGGACCGGAGAATGTTCTGGCAGATTATCTCAGCAGATCGGAGATTCACCAAGGAGAATGGAAATTACATTGAGAGGTTTTTTAAACAATATCTCTTCAGTTTAGGGGCAGATCCAGAACCCAATATCTGAAGGGGCACTGAATTTTAAAATTGGTGTGTGTGTGTGTGTGTGTGAGAGAGAGAATAGACAAAACGGTACACGCGTAGGTTTTTTTGAGAGAGAGAGAGAAAACTGTAAATCTGGCACTCAATCCTGAAAATATAAACGAGAAAATTTACACCAAGGTGCTGCTCTGCAATGAATATGTAGAAAATAATGGAGATGAGAGCACTCAATGGATTTTCAAAGTGAAAAAGTATATTTAAATGTTGCCAATACGGATCAATGTTTCGACCAAACAGGTCTTTATCAAGATGTTCATCAAGATCCATCTTGATAAAGACCTGTTTGGTCGAAACGTTGATCCGAATTGGCAACATTTAAATATACTTTTTCACTTTGAAAATCCATTGAGTGCTCTCATCTCCATTATTTTCTTTCTCTCTCTATAAATGAGTTATTGCAAATTTAAGCCAAACATTTGAAATTCTTGGATATTTTAGCCTTAATTTTGCAATTCTGCTTTGAATTTACTAGTTTAGTAAAGACCCCATGTGTGTTTGCATTTCTGCAGGACTCATTAAAGTGGCACTATCATGCCAAATCCTGGTTGTTTTTTTTTAACCCCCCTCCGGCCTCCACTACATCTAACTGACAACCTATTCACTCACAAATGCCCCTAAGCCCCCCACATTACCTATTTTTTATTGCTTATTTTCTGCCCCGATCTTTATTCAGGGTGCCACCATCTTTGTGTGGGTAGAGGAAGTCCCTGTGGGACACGTCATCTGCCCACACTAGATAGCGCTGAGAGTCCCGCACACTTGGGGACCCCTAGTCAGTCACCTTGTGGGGGGGAAGGGGGGGAATTGACTTAGGGCCCCCACCTGCCGCCCAGGGGTGGAGGCCGGGGGGGCACAGTAGGTCCCCCCCCTCATTATCTTTATGGCCCCCACTCGCCGCCCAGGGGTGGGGATGGGAGGACAGTAGGTCCCCCCCTCATTATCTTTATGGCCCCCACCCACCGCCCAGGGGTGGAGGCCGGAGGGGGGGTGGACAGTAGGTTCTCCCCCCCATTATCATTATGGCCCCCACCCGCCACCCAGGGGTGTGGGCCGGGGGGGCAGTAGGTCCCCCTCATTATCATTATGACCCCCACCAGCCGCCCAGGGGTGGGGGCCGGTGGGGGGCAGTAGGTCCCGTCCCCTAATTATCATTATGACCCCCACCCACCGCACAGGGGTGGGGGCCAGGGGGGGACATTAGGTCTCCCCCCCTTATTTTACTTTAGGGGTGGGGGCCAATAGTGGTTTTTTTTTTTTTACTGCTTACTAGACATGCCCCTACTCGCGGTATAGCGAGTAGGGGCAGTATTTACTAATACTAAGTAATTTTTACTTAGTATTAGTAAATGTGGCTGAAAGACCAATTTAGGTCTTTCAGCCTTTTAGTAGATAGCTCCCTAATTCCCACGGTATTACGGAGCTATCTACTAAGCGGCTGCAAGATGCAGCCACAGCAAGAATAGGATCGGAGTTTCATTCATTCGAATGAAATTCCGATCCGAATAAAGTGCCGAATTGCGTTCTAAAAGAAATGAACATACTGTTCTCATTCAGTTAGAACGCAATTCGGCAGTTTTGTGTAAAATGACAGGAAGCATCGCGGGAACACTGAGGAAAGGAAAGAATTATGGGAAACTTGCTCTGACCAGCGGAAATGAAGCACACTTTGCTCCTCCGCTAATCCTCCATAAGGCAAAGAGTCCCTACTTTGTCTTATGATTTTAAAGAAAACTAAAGAAGACAGGAAGAAAAGAAGAACAGATCCTGAGAGAGGGGGAGAAGAGGAAGAGATTGAGGAAAGGTAAGTTCGGCATGACAGTGCCGCTTTAATATAACACTTACTGAACATAAGAGTTCTACAGCAGTAAAAGTATCATATCACATCATCGTTTACCTACTATCCTTTATTACTCTGTACCTCTTTCCATATTGTCCCATTCTACAGTGGTGTCCTTTTCTCCCACACTTTCTGTCCTTCTGTACACATTTCCCCACTCTTCTTTTGTAACTTTTCTCATTTAACCCTCCCACACTTTCAACTTTGTACATATTCTCCCCACACACTTTCATCTTTCTCCATATTCTTTCCCCTCCAACTTCTGTCCCTTTTCTCATATACCCCCTCCTTTCTACATAATGCACACACAATCTGCCCCTCTTTCCATATACTTTCCCTTATTAACAGCTTAAAATAAAGTGATGCTCTGCCTACCTGCCCTGCTGCTAGTGTGGCCAAGCGGCATGGGACTGATGGTCCCAGCAGGATCTCAGTGCTGTTTGGTGCCACCTGCTGGTAGGAGGTAGCAGTGATAGACTATAAATTCTATCCCTGCTCCGTATTGCAGCTCAGGCACGAATGAAAAGTCCTGAGAAGGACTCTGACTCCCATGCTGCTGGGCTGTTCAGTGTGAGCAATAGCCCTGTTGCCTGCGCCACCCCCTTGATTTGATGGCCTCTGCCAATAATACTCATATTCCCATATATTTCTCTCTGCTTCCAGATCCTCTATCAGGAGGACAAGATGCCATATCTCAACAATGGGAATTCGATCAGTGGTATGCATTCCCTCCGCTACCAATGATACTTAAGAATATTGAAGAAAATGTGGAAGAAGGATTATCACCATCAGTTTTGCCAAGAGGTCCTTGGTTCCCTCTCTTGAACAGTACGATCTTGGACCATCCTTGGCCACTGCCTCAGAGACCAGATTTACTGATTCAAGGGCCGGCAGTTCACCCACACCCCAACCGAACTTGGGGGCCTGGCTCTTGAGAGGGAAAGACTCTTAAATCAAGGATTATCTGAAGCTGTAGTAGAAACTCTTTTTTAAAATACAGAAATAAGTCCACATCAGCATGGTACTATATGATTTGGGAAACTTTCCGATCATGGGCCAAGAATAATTCCATTGACTTCCTTCATCCTAATAATAATAATCATATCTTGAATTTCCTTCCTTCAGGATTGGAAAAAGGATTGAGTCTTAGTACTCTGAAAGTACAATCTATGTAATGTTTTGTAGGCCTCAGATCCCCTAATTAGGAAATTTTACAAAGCTGTTTCTAAATTAAGAAGTGACTTTCTCCTATCAATTCCTTTGCAGAGTGCAAACCACATGTAGAAGAAAATGTATTTTTGTAAAATGTACCTTTATTTTTGTTTCTTCAACAAGTCCACACACACCTCTGTAAAACAAAATATTAAAGGGACACCAAAGTCAACCAGACTACTTCATCTCAGGGGAGTGGTCTGGGTGCAATTGTCCTAACCTTTTGACACTGCAATGTAACATATTGCAGGACAAAAATCCATCTCTAGTGACTCTCAGTATGGCAGCCACTAGAGTTGGTTCATCTGCACAGACAGAGAAAAAAATTGGTCATGTGATGTACAAGCACCTATAGGAAAGAACTGAGTACAATACTTTACTACAGGGAAGGTATAATGCATGCACTGCTGAGCATTGTATTGGTCCATCATGGAGAAGCCCATGCTTCCTCTGTATCGTCATAAAAGGCAGAGAGGTAAAATGTATTGAGGGAGCCTCAGTTGTGGGAAAAAGTAAAACTTTAAATAAAACTTATTTTATTCATTTTTGCTGGGAAGAGCGTCAGAGCTGGTCCATGGAGGAATGGAAGAAGGTTGCCCGATCTGAAGAATCATGTTTAATTTTTGATCAGGTTAATGGCTGGGTGCATTTTTTTATTTTTTTTTTAACCTGGGGAAGAGATGGCAGCAGGATACACTACAGGAAAAAAGCAGGCCAGCGGAGGTAATCTTATGCTCTACTCAGTATTCTGCTGGGAAATCTGGGCAACAAATCTTATCCATTGAGGCCCCACCTCACAACTTGCAGAACTTAAAGTATCTGCTGCTACTGTCCTGGTGTTAGATCAATTAAATCATATTGCCTCAAAGCAGTTTTAGTAGCATTAGGGAGACATACATGTTAGGCAGGTGGTATGAATGTTGTAACTGATCAGTGTATGTGAAGATGTGTATGACAGCCATATGCATGCACCTTTAGTTGAACAGGTTGAATCTGACAGTTAGCCTCTATGGTTTTTCCTGCTTCACTACCTGCATGTAGTAGTGACATAATCAAGTTGACAAAAAAAAAAAAAATGATGTGTGGGGATAGAATTAGTAGGAGCTGCTCTTTCACAAGTCTTCCCTACTTAGTAGAATGTACATAACAATAACTGGTAAAGGGACACTATATGCACTCAGAACACTTCAGCTCATTGAAGTGGTCTACGTGCAGTGTCTCTGTCCCACTTAGCGCTTCAATGTAAAACAGCGGCACTAAGACAGCCTCTAGTGGCTCTCTACCAGAAAGAATGTTACTTGAGTTTTGGTCCACGAACTGACATTGGATGTCTTCAAGCTCAGCCCGTGAACATCCAGCGTCTGCTATTTCCCCATAGGAAAGCATTGATTCAATGCTTTCATATGGGGAGATCTAATGCGTGCGGCATTCGCCAAGGATGCGCCTTAGCACCCCTTGTTGAGTGACTGAGGCAGAGCCGCGACCTAGCACCAAGGGATATCAAGGTGGAGGGTCAGTTAAGTAAACAAAGCATTTTTAACCTTTTATTCACCGCGGCAGGAGGGCATAGCTATTGCGCCATTAATACAGCTTTGTACTCCTGGCACCATTGTATCGCTATATATATATATATATATATATATATATATATATATATATTTATTCCATTTAGGAATACTATTGTAAAACACTATTTGACATATCAGTTGTCCTCTAACCTTTGATTTCATTCACAGCTTTATCTACTCATGGAGAGTCAGTTGTACTTATGGTCCCTCATTCATGTCTTTGATGTGTCCTCATCTATTCCCTGAGCGTCCATGAGACTAAATATTATCTTCAGGGTGTGATAAGAAATTTTCAAATAGACATGCTTGGTCAATTCGCTCCTTCTTTGCCACTTAATTGTGCTTGTATGGAGGGCTAGGTGATAATCAGAGTAATAGAACTGCACCTTAAACCAGCCCACAAAGATACTGTTTCTTACAAGCACTTCTAGTGATATGTATGTAGAAAAAAACTGCTGCGGTTCAGTACTAACGCGGTGTGTTTAAAAATCAGAAGTTAGTTTTTAAAGTGTGACTGCTGACTGCTTGACTGCTTACATAGAACTGGTATGTGGGTTTCAAATATCAGTAATTCACAGATGAAAGTGCCCAAACACTTTCAAAATAAGAATGCTTCATGCAGCACTCAACAGTAAAATCAGTCTTTGCTTCAATTCTCACTTAAAAATAAATCAAGATTTTCTTTCAAAACCAAATGGTTCAGAAATATTACTTCTTGCATTATTTCAATGTTGTCATGTAAGCAGTTTAACAGAGTGGACTCATAAGCTTGGGAGTTAAAACCCACAAATGTGTAAATCCAGGTATGAACAGCCACATCTTATTCACCAGGACCTCTATAAGTTGTTTAATGCAATTACGCTTTTAGAAAAACAATGTTTGCCCATTCAACCCTTACGGTTATGCCAATAATAGAACCTCCCTACATGTCATGACAGTTCTGCTTAAAGGACCACTATAGTTCCAGGAAAACACGCCTTTTCCTGGCACTATAGTGCCCTGAGGGTGCCCCCACCCTCAGAAACCCCCTCCCGCCGGGCTAGATGGCGAGGAAAGGGTTGAATCTTACCTTTTTCCCAGCGCCTGGTGGGGAGCAATCCTCTTCTCCGGCTGAATGTGCATGCGCGGCAGGAGCTGCGCGCAGATTCAGCCAGTCTCATAGGAAAGCATTCATAATGGACGCTGGCGTCTTCTCACTGTGATTTTCACAGTGAGAAGCACGCAAACGGCTCTAGCGGCTGTCAATGAGACAGCCACTAGAGGCTGGATTAACCCATTTATAAACATAGCAGTTTCTCTGAAACTGCTATGTTTATAAAAAAAAAAAATAAATAAAGGGTTAATCCTAGAGGGACCTGGCACCCAGACCACTTCATTAAGTCATTTAAGGGCTCCCATCCAAGGTTTGCTCAGATATCCTGCTCTCAGGGGCACCAGAAAGCCCAGCATGAGTATATCATTACACATACTCATCTTGTGCAAAATTAACAACTGTTATGCCATTAATGGCTGGTTAGGAAAACTGCACTGCTGACCCACCCCCTTTTTCAGGCATAGCTGACTCCTTGTGCACACCCAATCTCCATTCATGTATCCCAATGTCAGGAGGTATATCATGAGGCCTTGTTTAGATAGCAATTTCATACCATCTCAAATGTTTTCCAGTTCTGGATTCTTGCTTTTAACATTTCCCCCCCACTCACTGTTTTGTCTTCATAGCCGAAAGCACTTTGCCATGTGCCCAGAACATGCCCATGGATTGGCTAAATTACAAGGAACACTTCTCATCTCCTACAGAAATGGGAGTAAACAACTCTACGCCAGAGGCAGTAAACAGTGGTGCTTTCTTCGTGGAGATCTCTGCACAACCAGTAAGATCATGTATTATTTTAATAAATTATCACTTTCTTCACTATTCACCTAAAAACCTTCCCATTCCAGTGCAACTCCATAAAGGAAAGGACATGTACAATTTTTCCAACTCATGCTGATGGCTCAAGCTTCAGCTACATCTATCAAAGCTCAAGCAGGGAGATGGCAGACATGCTTTATGATTTCAAGTGAGTAGAAGTCTTACCACAGTTCATTTTTGAAAATTTAGGAAGCTCCTGCAGGCCAACCTTTAGAAAATTAGCACTAGACTGCAGTTTAATTATAACTTTTTCCCCCCTTTCTTTCAGGTACCCAGCTGAAATGACCCAATGGGCAATAGAGTATCTCAAATAAGAGGTGCACCACTTCAGTTCTTGGATGGGAATAACAACCAAAATACAGTGTGATGCAGTCTAGAATCAACCTGGTTTACCTTTTACAGCAAAGGAAGCTATTTTTTTCTTTCTTTCTCAAATCATGATTGTGGGAGAGGGCAGAGAAAACAAAGTTGGTTAAAAAAAATAAAATATATATATTTGAGCAATGAAAGAACAAGCTGAAAATGAACATATTTCATTTAATATACCCAGTTATTGAAGATAAAATCCCAAAAATACTATACATAGCACAAAAAAAAAAATATCACACTAGCAGCTTGTTATGGAACACATAGTGGAAGTGCATTACAGCTTTAGAAGGGGTACTATGTATAAAATATAAAACCAGACAACTTGGAACACCTTCCACTTCAGATGTTGCATGGCTCTGTCAGATATAAAAAAAAAGTGAACCTTGTATGGAAGAAGTTGGTCTCATTGACTGGACATATAGGCTTCTTGCCGTTCGCATTTAAAATAAATTTAAAACCGGAAACACATAGGCTGCATCTGAACTGTACAAATGCAGGCATCCATGATGTGAAAGTTTCCTTTGCCGTTTTTAAATTTCGGCATGGTGTAAGTGTAGGCATGTCTACAAATATTTAGAGTTTTAATATGGCCAGCAACTAAGCAAATTCCTAATTTGTCTTAAAAAGTCACTTCTAAAATGTTGCACAACCTTGTGGAATCTAACCAGCACTATGGAAATGAAAGGGCTCTCCAAAAATTGTCTTCAAGTGCAATTATGCTTTAACCCCTTCAAAATAACCCATCAGTGTATACAATGTATAAGTATATTAAAAATATATGAAATTGTACAAATTCACCAACTTGTCTTTAAAGTCAACACTAATTAAATCGGGATGCATCCATCCACATACGTGGATTGCACGTCATCTTCAGAGAACTCTAATCCCGCAGATCAGCAGTATTGTAAATGACAGACAAGCACATCTTGGAATCCATGTTAAAGAGATTGAGGAAAGGCCAACTTCTTCAGGTTATTCTCACTTTATATGGACTTCTCGGTGCTAACCGATAGATGGCTAAAACCTCTGCACCAACTCATCATGCTGGATAGTCCATTAGGTAATGAAATGTATAAAAAAAACAAAAACCTCTTTCAAAAGCAAAGTAAGCATTTATCTTATGGTTTCAGTGGCAGTATACTTTACCCTTTACGGTCAATATACATTAAGTATATTGTATTAACATACAGTTAAATGTACAAATTTACAAAAGCATTTTTTTCTTGCACCATACCTTTTCAAAACCTGCCCTACTTGATCTATGCAAATTCTTAATTGCCTTTAAGGCACACCATATCAAATTAACATACCCGGAACAACTGCACAAATTGTTAAGAGTCTCACACGCACTTTCCAGACAAAGATAAAACTAACGCAGAATTTTATTCTTCTTATATCCACTTCATTTATAATAAAAAAAATAAAATAAGGAGGGGGGGGGGGAATAAAATAAAAAAGGTTTATTGGGAAAAGGAGGAATAGTAACCCCATTTGTGCCAGTATAGGAAAACTATCCTAAGTAAATGGCAGGTAGAGGGTTAACAGGGGGAGGGACCCTCATTGCACAAACTGCTCACAAGTAATAAGATGTTCATATTCTGTAAATCTACATCCACAGAGAATGGAGGGGGCAAAATAGAAGTAGAAGGGCAGGAAATAGATTTACAGAGGCAAGGGTGCCAATGGTATTTGGAAGCAAAGAGTGCTTCCAGATTCCTTTGGAAGGAGCGTATCCCATTCCCCTTTATTTTGACCAACCTCTCACATGTGGAAGAACTAACATGTTCCACTTCGCTGCCGTACAATTGTACAGAACTTTACACCTTTAACTCTGTCTGTGCTGGACAGGCCTGAAGCAGTCAGGTGATGGGGATATGGGCACAAACAGTATACGGTCAACGTCTTCCTCCCCTATCTCTGACTGGTGTACTCCTGCTACGGCTCCTGCTGTGTCTCTTGGGATCCCGACGTTCTCTCTCACGGACACGTTCCCTGCTGTGCTCTCTCCTTTTTTCCCGTTCAGCCTCACGTGCTCTGTCTCTGCTACGCTCAGCTTCTTTTTCCCGCTCTTTAGCACGCTCTTTCCTCTCCTCTTCCTCCTGTTCCTCTAGCTCTTTGCGTCGCTTTTCACGAGCCTTTGCTCGTTCCGCTTGGTCAGCAACCTTTTTCATAACCTGCAATAAATATTTTGTATTATCAAGCTTATAGCGCCAAAGTACCGAGACACAGAGCCACAACTTTTGTGTACCTACCTGATCATCTGTTAGAGGCAGCCAATATATACAGGGAGCAGCTTTGGTTTTGTGGAACAAATCATCCAGAAGTTTTGCCGGAGGTTCCTCCTGAACTTTCTCTGCAAGTGTTGGGGGGGAAAATATTGTTTTTTTACATAATGTAATAGATATATTTGTATATATGTATCTTTGCTACAGGGGAAGTACTATGAAGAGAACCCATTTTATAGTTCACTCAATAATTCTATACATCAGGCACTCAAAACACTCCCTAGCAATTACCTTTCTTCTCATTTTTCTTCTCCTTTGATTTGGCATGCTCTTTGCGCCTGCGGTCTCGAGATCGTGACCTAGGATCTTCACGAATTTTGTCTCTGTCCCATTCCCTTTCTGAACGAGTCCTCTCCCGCCTCTCCATTTCTCTTTCTCTCTCTGCCCATTGTTCTCGTACTCCTCGTTCATGTTCTCTGTGCTCACTCCTTGAAGTAGGAACATGTGCATGGGAGTGAGAGTGAGGAGGCTCTTCTAATTTTGGTTCTGGAGGTCTTTCCACAAGAAGTCCCCTGTGGAAATCCAACTAAAAAAAAAAAAAGCGTTAGGATAGGCGAAAACCACAAAAAAAAAAACCAAACAAACAAACAAAAAAAAACTTAAGCACTGTAAAGCCCTCCTCCCTTTTGTTAAGCACAGACTTTAAAATTGAGAATCCTTCAAGTTGCACAGGACTGGCCAAATATACACTTCAGTAACACAGCACAGAATTATATGAATGGTGAAGTGCCAAGATCAGTCTAGTCCCACACTGCTATATTTCAAAACAAGCAAATCAGGAAATACCCACGGCTGACAGCTTAGATGTACCAAAGGTGTTTTAGAAAAGTGGAAATTCCCTTGAGCTTGAAACACAAGCCTGCATGTACAGACAATTTAACCCCAAGTAAAACACCCTTTCCTATGAATTACATTTTTGTGACAATTTCGGTTCTGTTAAAGAATAGGTTTTTGTACAAATATTTCACCTAACTTTATTCACGTACATTTTAATGTTACTGTGCCACCATCATAAAAAAAAAAAATATTGCCTTTTCTCTGTTCAAACTCAAATTTTGAGGATCAAGCTTCAATAAAGTGTAGTGAAAAACAACAATGGGCATTTATATAGTGCCAAATTACAGGAACAATAAGTTAAAGAGGACCCTGCTCATCAATTACAATTTTTTACAAAAATGTTTTAATCCATATGATTGTCATTTGGCTCACAGGCAACATGTTGGACTTTCCTGTATCAAAGTACTTCCATCTAACCAAATATGTACATAGTTGTTCAGTGTAGAATAAACCGTTATAATTTGCCATTACCTCATCTTGCTCCGCAAAATCCACAGAGAGAAATTTGGGGTTTGACTGGGGCCACTTCACACCATGAAGAGAGTTCCTTGTGGCAACTGCTTCTTCCACTGTGGAGTACTACCAGAGTAAGCAAGAGTGGGAAAAAAAAAAATTAGATACTGGTATAGCTGTCAAAGGAAAGTAGATAAAACAAGCAATATCAGCGCCCTAACCAGACATCCTGTTTGCAGCCATCCTGCATAGGCGCCGCACGGAGTGGTTCCCAATACTGGAACGGGCCCAACCACGCTAGGAACCGCTACTGCCAGTTAATGGCTTAATGACCAACACCGAGTAGGAGAGGAGTACAGGTCAGAGCGGCCCATACCACTTTTCCTTGCTCCTGGTGGATCATAGGATCGCACAACAACACATGGCTCAGGAGCTGAGCCTTACAGTCACCTTACATTATTTAGTTCTTGCTTGTACTTTTCTGAATAGTTCATGATCTGTATGTAATTTTACCCAATGAAGTGCCTCAGTTTGGTACCTCTAAGAGTACATTGGTTAATTATGTAATGGCCCTGAGTGGCCACAATGCCAATAAAATGAACCAGACAGGGAAACAACAAAGGAAGATAAGGAAGTGGAAAAAGGGAGAGGGAAGAGGAGGGTGAGGACAGACAGTATAGAATGGGGAACAGGAATGAATATGAGAAAAGGGGAAAAAGGAGGAAAGGCAAGAGGAATGGAAAGACCACCGTACTGAGTGGAGACCTGCGCGTCTTTCTTTATTGGCTTTACCTTGCGGTTGTTAAAGGTCAATAACGGTTTCATTAACATGAAAAAAGAAAGAAACAAAAAGGGAAGGGGAACAAAAAAAAAAAAAAAGTTCCTCATGTTAAAAGCCCCGTAACTGAATCGTGACACCAGATAAGATGATATAGCCTGATGACTGTATATGCTGCGTATAAGAATGTGCAGATGTTTTGTGACTAAATGTCCCTGTTCAACTATTCCTGATATTTTGCACCCAGTTTGAGACCTGCAAATCTCATTATGTTATGTTCCAACTCGGTAGACCTGCAAGTTTACTCTCCCATTGCTCCACATTTACTATATAATTTCCCTATGAGACCTGCGTGTCTTACGTTTTTGATCTATGCAACTGAATAAGAAATTTCCTATAAAAAAATGTTAGTTAAAAAAAACAAAAACAAAAACCTATAGCAGGGTCTGTAAGAAAAGTCATTTAAGAATATTAAACTTAAACAAAAAATTTAGAAGCCGGTAGGAACTGGTAGAATAGTGGCATACAAACAATATTCTTACCGTGGCATAACAATGT